ACCCGCGATGTCAGCCGTAGAGTCCGTGAAGAACTTCCCATCGAAGCAATGAGCGCGGACCGCCTTGATTACAGATGCCGCGCGAGATTCGTACTCTTCCGCGTAGCCAGGTCGACCGACATCTCGGACCAGACGAGCAGCCTGCTTCAAGACATAGGCATAAAGCATACTGAAGTAAGTATGGCGATTCGATTCCCGCCCTGATGTTGGAACTCCCTTGTCTGGGTGCGTATCGGTTGCGCCCCAAGAAGTGACCCAGTCGACATATTGCCAAACATCTTCAGGAAACCCACTAACAAGACCCAGTTCATCAATATGAGCCTCGAAGAACTCGAAGACACCGTCGATTCGAGGGAGGAATGACCGTGTATATGCTGTGTCGCCGAAGTAGAGGTGGTGATCGTAGATCTGGAGGACCCAGTACAGGGAGAAGCCAGCGATGATTTGCGGCACGTGGGAAGGGAAGCGAGACTGTGTTAAGCCCTCAGGGGTCACGGATGCAGCAAAGTTTGTGATTGTCTGCCTCATCAGTCTGTCGTCACCGGAAAGGAGATAGTGAAATAAGCCCACGGAACGGGAATCACCGGAGTACCTAGAAAATGGTCAGCTCAGGACAATGGACCGTGAAGGCAATACTGACTGAAGTTGCTCGTAGAAAGGGCAGTCTGAGTATCCGTCAAACATGCAATTTCTCATAGTTCTGATGGATACATCCCATATCTGTTTAGCGTCCTTGTCTCCTGGCTCGTCCCAGCTTGCCTTGACTGCAAGGGGGTAGTTAACTTGCGTGGCATCAAAAGAACACAGCTCCACAGACTCGGATCCAATTGTGATCTCCCATCGCATAACACGGAATGTTCTAAACCAAAATGGTTCGTAAACTATAGTCTGCGACGCTGGTAGGTCAAGCGTTATGTCATCGTAAGGACCGATGATATGTCCATTGGTCGCGTCCAACCTGTCAGACTTAGACCTGAAGAATGGATAAGAGCGCGGTTCATTCTCATAGCCCTCGCTGTAAGTGATCTTCATTCGGATCTGGCTCTTTCGGGTCGCCTTGAACGTCCAGCGCAGAAATGCCGTTGAATGCACGTCCGCTTGGACTTCGAGTGTGTGTGAAGACCCAGCTGCAAGGGTAAGAGGAGCCTGTCCTGAGAGATATGCGACCCAGTCATCAGAGTTCAAGGTTCCGACGTTCTTTCTGACGGTGTTGACAGCAGCAGGTGTTTGCTCTGGAGTGGGGATCACGCGAGATCGAAGACGCCATGGTGGAAGCTCTCCGTTGAGTGTCTTGATGTTGTATGGCACAGGTGTGACTTTATCTTCTGAAGGGCCAGGTACGATGTGTTCGTTAATCTGAAGAGGGTCAGTGTACATTTCGAAGACGAAGTTTAAAACCTACATGAAGGAAGACATCGTCCGGTCTTCCCGTAGGGAATAGGATCGAGTTATCCTCTTGAGCCAACCAGCCTTCCCGAGAGTCAAGACTGATCAACTGCCCATCCGACTCAACACCGCCAGTAACAGTCAATCCAGGGAACGAAGTTCTCTCGAAAGGCATTCCACCTCGAGACGACGGGAAATAGCGAATCACTACAAAGTGAATCTCATTATCGCCCTGTTTGAGATGCGTAGCAATATCGAGCGAGTCATAGTACCATATCAACGGACTACCTCTCGCTGGCCCAACAGCTACTCGAGTGCCGTTGATGATGAGTTTGTACCGCGTGTCGGCCGAGAAATGGAGGAGCGCTCGAGTCGGTCGCGAGGCGAGAGTAAACTTGCGGCTGAATATGACGATGCGTGCGGCAGTGTTTTGTTTGGAGGAGTCGACCCAGTCAGGAATCCAGATCCAATTAGATTGGAGCTTGTTAATGATCTGTAGAGCGTATTAGCTTAATGGTGCACTGGATGGAACAGGTCAGGATGGTGTTTACTTGTTGTTCCTGTAATGGCGCCATTCTGTCACTTCCTAATACGGTAGATGTTTGACTGAAGCGAGTGATCATGCAACGAAAGATAACAGACTATTTGAAGTTTAATATTCAAGAGGTCGCTAGCACATTACGGCTTTCATTTGAAAGCTCGTATCGCTTCGGGTCATGTCAAAGCGAGCACGCGTTCAGTGCGGGGGTCACTGATCCAAGCACATTTGCTAGCATGCGTTAGTCTGACGCCAGCTGATCATTTCCTCATTCACGACGCTAGCTGCCAGTGAGGGGAAATGGCATGCTCCAATTCAATGCGGGCATCGGGTCAAGTGACTGTGGAATATTTACCGATGCCATGTTTCTTCTGCTACCAGTACGACTAAAAACTAAGCTAGCTACTACCGTTGCAAATTCAACCCATGCAAAAACTTAGTTCTCAGAATGGCCGCGCCCCAGTCCGCGTCTTCAACCACCGACCTCCGACTATTGAAGCAGCCACTATGTTGCCCGCTACAGCGTCACCAGTAGAGCTTCGGAAGCCTGAAGAGTAAACGTCGCCTTTCCCCCCGAGACAGTCGCCGACTCAACCGTGCTCTGACCTTGAATCTTGCATGATCCATTCTGGAATGTCTGCCCAGCGACGGTCGGGCTCTGACCGGCATCGACTCTGGACGTGGAAGCAGCGGCAGTGAGCCTCTTGGCTGAAACAGTGGAACCAGAAAGTCCGGACAGAGTAAAAGTCTGAGAAGGACGAGTGCCAGTGGTGTAGTAGTCAGAGTTATACAGAAGAACCCTAATGGGCTGGTCATCTTTGTAAATGGCATATGCAGCGTAACCAGTCGTCTGATCATCCAAGGGGGCGATCTTGTCAGCGCCAGCGAGAGCCATGGTGGCAAAGTAGGCGCCGAAATAAGGAGAGCCCATGGAGTACTTTCCCCACCAGCAGTACTGGCCTGTTGATCGTGTTAGATGCTACCGGGATAATGGAATGTGATCTACTTACAGTTTCCGATGGTACCATGGTGGAAGTACAGAGTCTGCAATTCGTTAGTTACAGAATCAGAAGAGAGCCATGAACGGGGCTTCGTACCTCTGTACCCATGATTAGGGCTTGCATGACATAGTCGAGGAGCCAGAGCCCAGCGCCGTAAGTTGGGCTGATGCCGCCACCGCCCTGAGTAGCTAAGGACGTCTTGTTAGCCATGGTAACTACTTGGCCGGGATAATAGCCTTACCAGAATTGGTCTCTCCAAAGACATGAGGCTTGCCCTTAGCAGTTGCAGCCGCGACTTCTTTCGCGAAAGGCTTGATCTGGGATGCAATAGCGCTATGGCTCATCAACTTTGCTAGATTGGCAGTGCTCTTGGACTGCGGGTAGTTGTGCGAGCAGTACTGTCTAACGTAGCTGTTGGCCTGGCCCTCGGCTGCAGTCAAACCTGTGATGCTCATAGGGCTGGTTCCGAAGAACACACCGGCGGAGATGAGGTTGGACGCGGAGAGATTGCCGCACACGGCATCTTGCCACTTTACCTCGCTGGCGTAGTCCGCTGAAGCTGTCCAGGAGGAACCTTGGGCGATAGGATCACTGCTGCTGAAAACTGACCCACCGTAAGCTGTGAGTAATTTGTTGATGGATAGGACTTACAGTTAGGTTCGTTGCCAAGCTCAATGGCATGGAGGCTGCCAATCTGATCAACCGCCTTGGATGCGGCAGAGACGGTGTTCGCGAGGTTGTTAAGTCGACGATTGAAGCCTATGGTCACTTTTCCGTCGTATGTGCCTGCCAAGGACATGAAGGACGGCCCGAACGTAAGCGTGCTTGGCGCATCTCCAGCGTTGGCCACTGTATAAGTGACCTGCTGGCTAGAGGAAGCATCGTAGGTAGCTCGGTCCCTGTTCACCATGTAAGCAGCAACACAACAAGCGACAATATCAATCATACTGTGTTGTTCCACCGATTCTGATAGACGGCCAAGTTCCCGAGAGGTCCTTCAAGTTCTGAAGACAGGTGGAAGTGCTAGGTACATCATTCCAGTAGCCTGGGAAAGCAAAGAACTCAAAGCTGCGGATGATTAGCAAGTCTATCTTACGTCGGCCATAGTATGACTACTCACGAAACGCCGACTGGGGCATCGGTAAGCTGGGCGCTCGAGTTGGCGGGCGGAGATGATGGGACGTTGAAAGATAAGCCCGAAACAGTGGCAGCTTGTGCGATGAGCCAGGCAGTGCTAATACGTGAAGCCATTTTTATCATACAGTTGGCAGTGAGATATTGGAAGAAGCTTTTGAGGATGATTTTGATAGTTCTTTATTCTACGTGGCATTAAGCTCCCTTTTATTCTTGAGGCTTCACGGTTTCTGACTTACTTCGTTGATCGTCGGAGTCAAATCACCTGGAGTACCTCAATCCCGTTACTACGCAACTTGCCCACTTACACGATCAAGCAAAGTATACCAGAGCAACCCTGATCCTGGGGAACATGGACTAAAACAGACCTTTCCCCAGATTTACTCTAATTTCGGGCTTCTCTCCGCCTATTACTTAACCCTTCGCAGCTTAATGTCAGTCTCATGATCATCAAACGATATTTAAACCATGGATGTTCTTCCTCGGCTCAAACGCAACCGAGTGCAATAAGCTTTCTGCGCTGCATCTTTGACCCGAGAAAAGCTCAGCTCGGTCATTGTTCAGACGAAGATGGTGTAGGTGATTAAACCTGTTATGTTCTGTTAGTATGAAGATTCGGATATCGTTGCCGTGATATCCCTGACAGCCTCGTCTGATTGGATCTGCTACATGGTCTAGTAGTCGTATATGAACGGACTGGTTTCCGCGGACCCCAGTCAAACTCAATCATTCGCCCTCCGCAGTGGGGTTTGCCCTTCTAGCATGGCCACTAGCTCATAGAAGCCAGGCCTGGGGCGGACAAGTCTGGGGCCCCGCGTTCAGTTGTGGAGGAATGGATTAAAAATACGACCTTGTTTCGCCAAGTTGTTTTCCATAAAGATCGAGCGGAACCAAGATCTCAGCTGCATCAAGTCCAGATCAGCATCAACACCAATACCACAATGCAGCAGGCAAAAGCTCACACCGAGACCGTCGAGGACACAGGCGAAGGACTTCTTATGAGGTCCAAGCTTGATGACTTGAGCGTTTGGCAAAGTGTTCGCAGGTTCAAACGCGTCGGCTGTATTGCCATGCTTGCAGCCTTCTCCGCATCTCTGGATGGATATCGTAAGTCTTGCGCCGGGTCTTCACATTCGACTATTTGCTAATATTCATTTGCAACAGAGATCAATCTCAACGGCGGAATTGTCTCCAACCCTGGATTCATACGACAATTCTCTACCTCTGGCACGACCATCATTGCGGGTAAATACATTTCGGCCTGGGGAGGTATCCAGTCAGCAGGCCAGACCATCGGACAAGTCGTACGTTAATCTTCATGCTCGAGATTTCTCATCGTTGATTGACGATATTTCTAGCTCCTTCAATATGCAACTGAGCGTCTCGGCCGAAAGGCTGCGATGATGATCATCTGGGTTGTTCTCACCGCGGTACGTACGCCACAACTTCTGACAAAAGGATTGGGACTGATCACATTTTTTCAACCGAGTAGAGTGTATTTGCCGAATCATTCGCAACGCACTGGCAGCATTGGCTTGTGGCAAAGCTCTTTTCTGGCATGGGTGTTGGTATGCTGCAGTCCACCATGCCTCTGTACCTCTCCGAGATTTCTCCTACTCAGCTCCGAGGTTTCTTCATCAATGCCTACAGTTTGTGAGTCATGATAGTTACTGTCCATTCGCACCAGATGTACTAACTTTGAGTAGCTGGTTTGTCCTAGGCCAGCTCTTTGCCTCCGTGGCGCTCAAGGAGCTCAAAGCGAACGACCCCCTCGATTTCCGAACTCCGATTTACACTCAGGTGAGTCACCCATGACTCCTTGTTCGATCTCTTGGATTTAAATTAACACCACTTGTAGTGGGCTATGATCGGCTGCATTCTTATCGCCTTCCTTCTCATCCCCGAGTCCCCTTGGTGGCTAGCGAGCAAAGGCAAGGTTGAGCAGGCATCTCAAGTGCTCAACCGATGCTTCGCCAATGTCGAAGGCTACGATGTTAATCAACAAATCGTAAGTGCCTACTTGGTTTTTTTATTTTATCTTGATAGCTGCTAATTCCGGAGTAGGAAATCATGACTTCTACCCTCGCCGTCGAACGCCAACAAGCTGAGCAAAATTCCGAGCTGGGACCCTGGGCTGTGTTCAAGGGTCGCAACCTGATTCGATTCATCATCTCCGGTTGGCCCAAGATCACACAGCAGTTTGTTGGTCTAGCCGTATTTAATACCTACGCGACATATTTCTGTACGTGCTCGCTGCTTAGTGTCCTGCGAAGCTTCTAACAATATCTCACAGTCCAATATGCAGGAAACAAGGATCCGTTCCTCGTGACTCTCATCCTCTCATCCGTTCAGCTCATCTCGATGATCGCCACTGCAACACTAACAGATTCCATCGGTCGACGTCCTCTAACCGTCTACCCATATGCTGTCACGGTCGTTTCGGTTCTGTGCTTGGGTATCATTGGTTGCTTCGACTATACAGCCAAGGCTACTAGTTCGCTACTTGTAAGTCTCATCTCAGCGGGACCATTTCCTTCTTGGCTGATTAGTGTCCCTGCAGATTTTCTTCGCTTGCCTCGCTACGTTTTCCACGACTGGTGCCTCAGCCATCGGCTACGCCTTCGCGGCTGAGATTCCGCAACAGCGCCTCAGAGCCCAGACAGCTGGTTGGTCATTGGCTGTGTCGAACTGCATCGCTATCATCTTCAGCTTCTGTACCCCATTGATGATCAACGGATCGGCCAAGTGGGGAGTCAAGACTGGTTTCTTGTGAGTATCATGGATAAGGTTTCCGTTCTGTTGAACACTTGCTGATAAATACGGTTTAGTTTTGCTGGTACCGGCACAGTTGCTGTTGTCATCGCCTGGTTCATCCTCCCTGAGGTAGCACGCCGAACACCCGCCGAGATTGACGAAATGTATGTTAAACTTTATCGATGTTATCTGTCTAAGTATATGAGGCTAACGCTCAACAGGTTTGAGAAGAAGGTCAATCTTCGCAAGTTTGACAAATTTGTCACAGAGGTTCAGGTCAACGCACACGAGCTTCAGGACAGGAAGAAGACTGTTGATGAGGTTTGATCGTACCCATGATGGACGCAAAGGGATTTTGTGTCGGGGTATTCGCTCTTCACTTCTGATTGTTGGGGTTATAATACTGTGCTTTATATACTGCTATTATCCATGTTATCAAGATGAGTATCCATCAACAGCCCAAATGGCCTCAATGGGAACTATTCCAGATACCTAGTGAAGTATACACATGTAATTGGAAGTCTAATTATCCAAACAACGTTCGGAGGTCCTTCTTCTCCATAAGGCTGATCCAACAAACGTCCATACTCCACCGGGGTGCTTCATCATAAGTAGCCCATAATTCTTTCGTAAATCTTTCAGCGACTTCGATTGGACCAGGGTGCAAGCATTCTTTAAAGACACTAAGACGCCGTAAGATAAAGGCTCGCCCTTTGCTGACGTCAAGCGCCATCTGTGACACGGATAAAGGGTCCGCCTCCTCCTTGGAATGTTCAAGTGGGTCTTTGAGAAGGTCCAGATAGTCAAGAATGCTCTCCATTGGCCTTGGCTTGACCTGACTACCACCGCTGATGGAGTTTGACTCTGCGTCAAGTGGTAAGGTTGGTGTGTATCGAAGACCTGTGGCAGCACAGATATATAAAAGCGGCTGGATAGCGCAGCTGCCAGACTCGGACGGGATATGCTCCAGAACTTCTATGAGCCGAAGAGTTAGGGGTATGATGCGCTTGTGCCATAGCATGGTTATCTCTTGTTCACTGGGGTCTCGCGGCACAAGTTGAGAATGGGGCACTAATAAGGCAGGAAACTGTATATAGAGCTGTAGCAAGGAGGCGAGTTGATAGCCTTCAGCAACATGTAGGAGGTGAGTAGCTGGCGTGCGCTGGTCGCCAGTATCGTTGAGCGACGGCCTGGGCGAAAGCTGCAGTTGTAGTAACTCTACCTCCAACTCCTTTGCCTGCTCAATTCCTGGTGTTGTTGGAGGCGAGTCAAGATTTCGTTCATTAGTTCGATGGCGATAGAGCCGACAAAGGCGAATCGACCGCGCGAGAAGGGTCGTGCTCAGTAGTGAGACGCCAGTCCAGGGATGAGGCTCCGTTTCGTAGGAAGACTGGCTGTAAGTATCCAACGATCTGGATCTCTGGTAGGATGAGGGGAGTGCGCTGACTTGGTGAATATCAGCCTCCGGTTCTGGATCATATATGAAAGATATCAACATATCCCAGTAGGTGAGACTCTTGTTAAAGAAATCCAGCTTGTCAGTATCAGCAGCAAACTGTTGTTGTGAGCTCCAGCGGAGTAGTGTTTTTGCTTCTTGCAGAAACGGCCAACCCACTCGACGAGTATCCAACCAACAAATCGTCGTCCCAAGGCAGATTAGTGCGAATATGATACCGGTAGGCATCTCGTCTAGGACATTCTTCTCGTTGAGCTCTTGTATCTCAGCTTGAACGCTCAGTGTTGCTGTCTTTAGCAGGCTCATGGCAGAGTGCCTCATTTGCGGCAGCCGTGCAGACAGGAAACTGGCTGACATGCTCTGAAGAGCGGCAAAGACTGGGGGAGAGCTTTGCCAAAGGTCCTCGGCTATCTTTCGATTCATGTTAGACTTGGAGTCGAAACCGGACCATGCCGGGCATACTTCATCGAACCAACATTTCAGTAGCCGCATGGAAGAGTCTGAGTTAATCCCTGGTGGTTGAGTTTGGCCGGCTATACCAAGATCTAACCATGAGCTTTGTTGGGGTGACATGGCGAAGCAGAAGTCCGGTAGCCAGTTGGAAGTCGAAAAGTCCAAGGTCGGAGTTTCGATGGCAACCGATCCAAGGCTATCACCGAAGTCCTGATCGAACATGTTCGTAGAATCCAAGCCAATAAGATCTGTTAGGCCCATCCATTCTGATTCTGGCCAAAGAGCTGTTTCGGGGACCGGTATTGGGTAAATGTCCTCAGCAACTTCCTCACGGGTAGAGACATCAGCCCCGTCCAGAATCACATTAGACTTCGATCGGCTATCGTTTGGAGGCTCTGGCGACTTGTGATGCTGTTCCGATGTCTCACTCGCCGTTATCTCGTGTTTGTACGACCACCTCAACGTTCGTTGTGGGTACCCGTCGCACATCAAGCCCTTCTTTGCGCAATTCGTACACGTTGGCCTACTTTCGTCGCATTTGACCTCTTTGCGTCAGTATCTTGTAGACCATTTGAGATTTCGAAGTCGTACATGTCGCTGCTTGCATGAGTGGCAACCACCCCGGGAACGGCGCCCGTACGATCTCGTGTGCCTACCGCCGCCACGTCGGGGCATGGTAGCGTTCAGGTATTGAGCGTCTAGTATGCTTCCTCGTACTATTCCGTTCCGAAGCTTTGGGCAGACTTTGTCCGGCGGTCGACCGTCCATATCAGGGAGGGGAAATGGATCAGCACACCTGATAAGCGCGGAAGCGCGGGGTTCAAAGGAGCTAGCGAGGCCGGAAACTACTACGGTACCCGGCATACGGAGCAAAATGCCGTGATTTCGGCCAATCCAATGAGTACGTATGTTTTACATCACCACTCGTCATCCGGTTTTGTATAATGGTTTACTTCCACAAGTCGGGCGCTGCCGATAGCTCTTGAAGGCCAACTGGCCGAATGAGATCATTGTTTGAACGCGTTCCATATACCACAGGAAGGGGAAAGGAGACGACTTGTCGGTAGAACCATGATAGAACTTCAGAGCCTGATCTCCTAGACAATTCAGCCCGCTCCTAGATTTATGTATGCACGTTCTGCTGCTTCTCGGTGCATAACCTCGGTTTATTTATATTGCAAAAGCAGAGATGTCAAATGCCACTGTAAATTAACAAGCCTACGGCTCACAGCACTATTGATTGGCCATAACAACCTATTACTCTGAACCGTAACTATGAACAATCACTACTATGAACAATCACTACCAGTTTGTGTGTTTAATTCTTCATTTGACCCGTTGTCTGCTTTCCCCAACGAATATGTGGCTGAATTCAACAAACTCGTTCTGCCAGAAACAGTAAAACTATGGAAAGTTTCCCCATCACAAGATTCAGCTTCTTGACCATTACCAATCTAGCTTTCTGGAGGTGCCGCAGTCTACGGCTTGGCAGACTACAGTAAAGATAAGCCAATGTGGCCTCAGAATGTCGAGGAAATCTCAACATTGCGTGTTTACCAGGGTTTGACTTACTTCTTTCAGCTTTCGAGAGGGTGGCGTTACCATTTTGCTGCTTTAGCGCCGCGGGCTTGATTTCCAAGCCTTGGACTGCTTCCCGCCGCTGATGCATTTCAACCGCATCAGCTATCTTTGATTGGTAGCCTATCACTAGTCAGCTTTGTCAATATGAATTGTTCGACGCGGCGCAAACTCGCCGTTACCAAACCCTTTTTCTCCTTGAGTGGTGAGCTGCTTGTACTGATTCTCAAAGCCTAGTAGCTTTTGCTGTATCTCCTTCTGAAGTGAATCCTTGGTAGCCCCCTCGAGTTGGAAAGAGCCCTTGGGACTGTTGATGTAAATATCGCAGCGTAAATTGGTATGGTCAACGGCAACGGGAGAATAGGTTAGTTGATACCAGAAGGGCTGGTCCGACATTGTGTTTATTGTAGTCAAAGGGAAGAATAGTTGGTTTTCAATTGAACTGGGTCTTATTGGTCGCAATGGGTAGTCGGAGTCTGTGTTAGAGGACTTCGTTGGATGTGATGTAGCGTATGGTTGGTTGACTGTCGAACATTAGCATCTGCAGGTCAATTATAGCGAAGGCTGAATATGGGATGCTTACGGATAAGCTTCCAATTGAACTTCCCACTTAGCTCGATACTGTCTAGTAGCTCTGTATCTGGTCTGACATCGCCAGACTTTCCCAGTTCTACGCCCATTGAAGTCGCATTAGCGGTCACGTCTTCGTGACGGCTCACGTTGATATGAATGAAGCCTTTGCTGTCCTGCTTCGTGTGGATTTGGAAGAGACTGTTTAAACTCTTATCAAAACCGGGTAGGTCGTCGAAATAGGGAGCTTTGATGAGCTTGCCCTCCGTGTTATAGCTCCATCCATGATATCGACAGCCGAGAACGGTAGCGCTGCCAGACTGTTTCCGGGCGACCGGGAAGGCCCTGTGTCTACAGACATTGTGAAACGACCGCACGAGCTGATCTTTACCCAAAATCATGAGAATGCGAAAGCCAGCAACATCATAGACCACATAGTCGCCGGGGGAGCGAAAGCGTCCGCGGTGGCTTATACAGATCCATGTCTATCAATGAAATCAGACCATGGCGTCAGAGATATAGTGGATTTAGCGGCACTTACCTGGCTGAAGATTGCCCGTCGCTCAAGCTGGAATCGAACAGGATCTGACCACCATCCATCGGGCAGGCCAAAGGTTATATGTTCCGGCACTATCAGGCGGGTATGGCGTTGTTGCAGATATCGCCAGAAATGAAGAACTATAGCAGTGATAAGCACGCTGGTGGTACAAAAAAATGTCAAAGAATCCATTGAGAAGACAGTACAAGAACAGAAATGCAATATATCAAGTGAAATACATCAAATGAGAGAGGATATTCCTTACAGCAGGGCAAGAATATTTAGCACTCCAGTCGAAGGCGGCGTTTGCGCAAAGTGTATCCCGAACGCTAGCGTTCTCGTGTGCGGTTTCTCTATTAGGCAATAGAAATTACTATATCGAGGTGTCTATACGCATACATCGCTGACGTTTGAGCGAGTCAATCATAATAATGGCGTATTTTAAAGAGATACGCGTGGTATCATCTGGCTGAAAATATGTAGGTAAGGCATGCTGCGTGTAAAATTTCCTGATCCGGTATAGCGTAGGGTAGGCTCCCGGCAATGAACATTGACTTGGAGACGCGCATTTTTCACATATGGGTATTTCAATGTGCCCTGTTATTAAAAAGAGACTTCCATTCAAATTGCATCAAGTTTGCTTCGAAAAACCAAACATAATCGCAGTCATCCCATCTACAATTCACAATGACTAACTGGGATGTTACTCTGCCTGCTTCTTGGTACACTAGCTCGGGTATTTACAATCTAGAGAGGCAGGCAATCTTCCTTAAGGCAAGTTTAGGAAGGCTATTCATTCTCTTATTGCGCCATTACTGATGGTCACACAGTCGTGGGTTCTTTTAGGAGCCGTAACAAAGTTTCCCGAAACCAATGTCAACTACGAGCTCGAGCTGGCTCAGATCGACTTCATCGTCCGTCGCGAAACTGAAGATTGGAGGAGCATTTCAATCACCAAGAAACGCGATGTAAGCACAAAGCAAATATCATCCTCAGAAACCATGCTCATCATATAGGGTACCCGTATGCGATCGCACCTAACTCCAAATGGCCTTCTTTTTTTGACACTGTCTGACGAGACGTGCGCTTTCGAAGACTTCTTCCCTGGCTTTGAGGAGTCGACCGCTCATGCCGACTTTACTGAACTTCCACTGAGACGTCCTCTAAAGTACACTTCTCATAATAATTGGAAGGCTGCGGTTGATGCCTATCAGGAGTGTCTCCATTGTGCCTACGCGCACCCCGAGTTTGCAAAGACATTCAAGCCCGCGGGCTACAAAGTCATCAACAAACACAACTACTCGCAGCATATGGCTACCGCTACCGGTGCTGACGATGGTTTGTTCTTTTTTCTCTTCCCGAACTGCTCTTTGAGCCTGTACGCTGGGGGTTTGACCTGCTGGCGCATCAATCCATCTGAGAAACCCGAACAGGCCCGCATGGAGTTTGACTACTATCACAAGGCCCCTTCCGGAAGCGATGCGTTCGAAAAGTGGTATAGCTTCACGCGAAATGTTGCTGTTGAGGATATTGAGCTTTGTGAAAAGACTCAAGCGAATCTTAATATTGGTATATATTCGGAGGGTCTGTTGAATCCCGAGAAAGAGAATGGAGTTATATGTAAGCCTACCCGTTATCTCAGTAACCCCATACAATACTAATAGACTCTAAAAAGACTTCCATGGTCGTATACTTGAGCTGTGTTCGTCTCAGTTGGAGAAAGAAGAGGCTACACAAGCCTTAGCAAGGCCGATGCAGGGAAACCCAATTGCTCTTGTACAAACATCTGGCTAGACCTTGATAGTAATTTGGATGTTATGTTAGTATAATATTGCACTGTTATTTTATGCGAAGTCGCGGAGCTCACACGGCAATGTTGGTCAATTAATTTGATAGACCATCTGCTCATCTGGTCGAGATAGATTTAGGCAATATCCTTCGCTTTATTGGTAAGTGCAGCTCTGGATACAAAATAGGTGTTTGACGGCAATGGCATGTATGCAAAACTCAATGTATTTGTTGGCTATTATTGCTGTGCTATCTAAACCAAGTGAAACGCAGAGGTATTCTATCTTTGACTCGCCGTGCCATTCTCCAAGTTGTTCTCATACCGAAACGTGATATCCGTCTTAACCCCAATCCTCCCATTTGGCATAACCAACACCTCCTCACTACTATTGTCATCCAACCCATTCTTAATATTCGTCTCAAACGTACTCTTGGGTGCGCCAGTACCAGGATTGCTGCCACCATGAAGCTCAAGAGGCATCTGTTTGAAGCCTGAGAGCTTGCGACTGCTGGACATGCCAGAGCTGCCGAGGAGACGGGGCGCGTATTTCTTGGCGATGGCTTTGTAGGAGGGGATCGAAGCGGCGAGGATGCCGATGTTGGTTTCGATTACAGACCAGTACATCGCGTCGGAGATGACCCAGGTTGCATCGGAGGAGCTGAGCATTTTGGGGATGTAGGTTATTCGGATGATGGACGAGACGCAGGCGCTAGTATTGTTAGCGATGTGACAGCAACTAAGCGGTGATAGAGACTTACAAGAGTCCAAGACCCAGGATGATGGCCAAGCTGATCTTCTGTCGTCGAGGAACACGAAGCCTCGCTACCAATGGAATCGGCAACGTATACGTCAAGATATCCGTGAAGATGTTGACAGCGGCGTTGGCCAAGTAGAACGCATTGATGTCAACGCACTTCTTATCCTCCGGCAAGATCGTGATATCGTACGCGGCGGGGACCGGACTGCATTGGAAGATGCAAGCAAGGACATTCGCACCAGCCTGGCATCCAACAACGCCCATCATGACAAACGCTGTCTTGCGTAACATCTTATCGCCGAGTCGGGTGTAGAGGGCGAGTACTGAGATCTTGATGAAGCCGAGGCAGGCATTGTAGAAGATGGAGGATAGCCAGACGATTTGGAGGTAGGCGATGAAGTTATCGGTGCCGCGTTTGATCACGTCTTCGTAGTGGCTACCAAGGCCATGTTGGACGGCTAAAGAGGTTAGCAATGGCCAGTTAGCAAGCGGCAGTGAACTTACAAGCTATTGTGCAGCCGATGAAGCACCACGATAATATCTGGAATCTGTCAATATCTGCATATGTAGTCGCAAAAAGATCAGACTTACGGCTCCAACGCAAATCAAGTCTGCAACAGTTAGCAAAGTCTCAAATAAGTGGATCGAAGTACTCACAATCATCAGCCCCGAGCGACCTAACAATAAACGTCCTCGCCCACAATCTCAACACCACAGCACAAAAACTAATGACCGCAAAACAAATAGCGACGGAATTGACAGTTGAGCCTTGTGATTCAGTCATGGTTGCAAAGACAAACGAAAAAGATAGTACGAGTCCGAAAACCTCACCTGATGCAGAATCTTCAGCGGGTTAAATGGAAGAATCCATCGAATCCCAACTGAGACAAGCAGATGGCCTTTCATTACGGCTGATGGATTAACTCGCAGGTGTTATGCCAATCGTTTACCATTCTGTAACGAAAGCACAGACGAAAGTCTCGCCTCGCCAAGCGACCGAAGATCTTACTGCCTCCATCGCTAGCCCTGACGGCGCCAGGAGAAAATCTTCAGGGGAAATTCACATATCAGATTTGCCATTCGTCTCGGAACCAACAATGCCCCCATTGTTGGTGGAGATGCGCGTAATGATTGACGCTTGGGTAGAAGTGATTGGATGCCAGGATACTCGGATAAATGGCCCATGGGTTTGTCTGTGCGAGGATCTTGACGCCAATGGACCTCGGCTTCATTTCCGGAACGTTTTCCCCGCCCACTTGGTGTTGTTTTCTCCTTTTAGGTTTTTTTGGTCACTGAGGTTTGCGGGCTAGAGACAACGGCCCGGTGGGAGCTAGGTGTTAGTCTACCGGTTCTCCTCAGCGTGTCTCACGCTAATCATCGCCTCATCCTACTGACTTCCTCCTTCCGTATTTTATGCCGCGGATCATTTGCTAGAATCCACTTGGTCTATAGCCTGTTTTCTCAAGAGAATCTGTCATCTTTTCTCAAGTGTGGATCCAAGCAAACAAGGCACTTCAACCAACACGTTCCCCACAATGAGACAAACATCACATCATCCGAGAGTCTGTATGGAATTTCTCGTCAGGGGAAGAGAGAGCAGAAGGATCATCAAACTTCTCCTTTGACCAGAATCTCGGTAACGCCGTCGTGGTATTACCGTTGTATTACCCAATCTGTTCACATGCGAATCTTGAGTGACTCTTCAAGTGGAGAGGATTTAATATCTCAGCCGCGTATGGCGATCTTGGTAGCAGATCTTGGCGAATGTGGATAAGGACCAGGATCAGAAATTTTACCACGGCTCGGAAACGCGTATCCTGCCGAATGGCGGGCCTGGTTCAACAATCATCGCTCAGCATTCTCAGGTAAGTCGTCGTTTGATAGGCAAACGTGCATAAGCAATTCTTGGATCTTCAGCGGGTTGCTCTTCCGAGATGGGAACCGTTACATTAAGGAATCCACTTTACTACATGTTGCATAGCATGGAAAAGCAATCACGGGCCATTGAACATCCTTGGTTAATGATCGTCAAGTTGCGCAACTCGGTTATACAGGCTATGTAACAGCATGGGGAACAGGCCTGGAACCTGAATGAACCTACCGTCGTGTCGATCCCTCGTACATTATCGGGTTCGCTCCCCTTTCATTGCTTATTTTCGTGTTCCCAACAATTGGCTCATTTTGTTTCCTGCAGACACAATGGCCGTGCTTAGCTTTGCGAACGTCGCCCTGTTGGGGGCTGGGTATATTGCTTTTTGCGCTTTGTGGCAGATTGTTCGGTATCGCTTTTTTCATCCGCTGAGGAAATTTCCTGGGAACTTTTGGGGCACTGTTACGAGGCTTTGGATCACGTATCATAATGTCAAGGCTGATGAGTGTGCCACGTTCCAAGAGCTTCACAAGAAGCATGGTAAGATTGCCCTCGTCAATGGATGATGAAGGCGCTCACGCTTTTCAGGACCTATTATCAGAATAACGCCTACAATGTTGCTCGTCAGTGACGCGACGCAACTGCCAAAGATTTACAACCGTCACGCCAACAAGTCAAAGCACTACATCACCGGAAGCTTTGGCAAAGATGAATCTCTCTTCAATATGCAAGATTCCGTCATGCACGCCAAGTACAGAAAGATTGCAGCGCCTCTCTACAGCTTAACCAACATCAAGAAGATGGAGCCATTGATCGATTCCAACATTGAGAATTGGATGGCGCGACTGCAGCGAGAATTCGCCTCCACCAACAAGCCCTTCGACTTTGCGCCTTGGGCTGTGTTTATGGCCTATGATATCATCTCAGAAGTTGGCTTTGGTGCTCCCTTCGGGTTTGTCAAAGAGGGCAAGGATGTGGAAGGTCTTATCCAAGGCTTTCACGATGGTCTTACGCCCTTTGGTATCATGGCAAGGCTGCATCCCTTCACTAACTGGGTCAAGAGTACTTTCCTGGGTAAATACATGGTTGCTAGTCCTGAGCAAGACTCTGGTATTGGAACATTGATGAGATTCCGCGATCGCTTGATTGATCAGCGTTTCAAGGATATTGAGAATGGTGCGACAGATGGACGTGTCGATTTGCTTCAAACGTAAGCTGGCTTGTTTCACATCTCGCGCTAAATGCTGACATAGATCTACAGCTTCATCGAAGCTAAGGATGAGGATGGTAATCCTTTGGATATCAACTACATCAAGGCTGAGATTCTTCTCGTCCTTCTCGCTGGCGCTGACACAACTGGAACAGCCTTCCAGGCCATGATAATCCAAATCCTGACCAACCCAGCTGTGTACAAGAAGCTAATGACTGAGATCGATGATGCCACTGTCGCCGGTAAACTTTCCGAGATGCCCCAGTACGATGAAGTCGTCGAGAACTGCCCCTACTACATTGCCTGCGTCAAAGAAAGTATGCGTCTCAACCCTTCCGCACCAAACATCTTCCCCCGCATCGCTCCACCGGGCGGTCTTGAGATCTGCGGCCAATTCGTCCCGGAGGGTACAGAAGTTACTTGTAACCCTTGGCTCGTGCACCGTGACCCCAACATCTACGGCGATGATGCCGAAGTTTTCAAGCCTGAGCGTTGGTTGGACGAGGATAAGGCCAAGGTCTACAACAAGTATAGCATGGGCTTTGGTTATGGTGCTAGAGTCTGTTTGGGCCAAGATGTCGCGCGTATGGAGCTCTACAAGGGACCGCTGCAGTTCTTGAGGAGCTTCAAGGTCGAGTGGGTTGACGAGAAGAATAGGGGAACGTATGTTGTCAAGGGCGGTGTGAGCTATTTTGAGAACATGAACATCACGATCCAGAGACGAGAAGTTGCAGGATAAATTACATACCTACTGTGAATAACATTCCACCATGCTTTCTAGCGTCACCTTCTAAGTGACCTATTCAGTCCGTCTGACCCCACCTTCTCATGATCTTCTTCATGCTCTATTACCATTGGAGAGCTTTGCATGTTGTAAATTGAGTGCGAAAAAGGAGATAGAGAAACATCCTATCACTCCCAACTTATGTGGTTGGAGCAGAATGTCTCATTTGGTCGTTATTTCTGTTGATTGGCGATGTTAGCGGCAATATTTGAAGTGACCGTTGTCGCAGTGGTCAAGAACAACAGGTCATCTTCAATATACCTCTTTTCTACAAACGCCAATACAAGATAGCCGCCGAGTCCCGCTTCCTTGACATGAAAATACCTCTTCTCTTCGTTTTCCTCTTTACCAAAAATGGCTCTTAGGTTGAGGATGAGGTCATCGTAATCTTGGACCAAGCACGACCGAATATTGTGTCCGAAATATTCCTTGCCGCTTTCCAGGAAGACAGACTCATTTACTAGGCTCATTGTAAACTTGAGACGTGTGTTGTCTTGTTGTCGGGATTGAAAAGTGATCGGTATTCTTTCTTATGCTGAATTTGAAGGGCAAATAAATAAGAATCTGGCGAATCAGAGATTTCGTAGATTGGTGCCAGGTTGTGAATGAGAAGGTTTAGACTGATTGAGTACTGTCGCGGGTAAGATGCAATGTGGTCAGCGTTGGAAGCCAAGTTGAGTCGTGTCGGGAGCATGAGCCTCTTATTTATTCAGCATTCGAGAAAGCCACAAAGATCTATCTTTAATGCCAGAGAGTACAACATTTAAAATCTGCTATTCGCTTTCATCGTGAAAGCTTCTAGGTGAAAACTTAAATTGACGGGAAAAGATATCGTGTTCTTATTCATCAGCTGTGTTTGCAGCCTAAAGCTTAATCTTATTGACGGCAGTCATCACCATAGTTATTCTCTTTGGTCCTACGGCCGACCTCTGACATGAAGACACAGCATGTTAACTTTTGTGACCCTAGCATAATGCCTAAGTCGTTTACGAGATGTGCTATTGACGGTCGAGAACTGAAACTGTGAGCTTACATGAATATCCAGAATGAAGACTCATCATTGTACAGGATTAGGTTGAGTTGACAGACCCTACAGCTGATGGGTCACGGCACGCGCCTCGCACACACGAACCTACAGCTGATGCTCAGACTGCGCGCCCCTCACACGATCCGCGATTATAGATTAATAATAAATGGTATTTAAAGACCATCCCGGTAGAAGTATTAAGTGGAAAGACCAAGCTTTGCTTACAATGTTCCAATAGTATAGCAAAATATCACTAAGCATAGTGATACTAATTCGAGGAGACTGGTACTCTGACTTAGCTTACGATCCTACAGCCTCTTAGCTAAGATAATACTGAACTATTTTCTTGCAGCCAGTAGGAGCATTATTTGCAGAAGGTTTTATTATCACGCCTGGAGAAGCTTACTATAGGCACGGAAGTAAGATATACCACATCTTTAGTTGCATTAACTGCTTTAAAGGGAAGTATCAGTATATCACCATTAATCAGCCCTCGCGTTCTCCGATTTGGCTCCCAGTCAACTCTACTACAGACCAGAGTCAACACCTGCGTCTTTAAATTCTACAAGCTCATTAAGTATATTCTTTTTCTCCCAAGAATAGATTTCATAGCGTTCAAGATCCACATGGCAGGCATAGTACTCGCCAGACTTTCCATCCCCTGCAAAAATGATGTCTAATGCAGACTTAAGTGCAGTCTCGCTCTTGACATCTTTGCCACGAAGTGTGAATTTGAAGTAATCAACGCCTTCCAACCCTGTAAATGTATCCCTCCCTACGAGTGGCATCTTGTTGCCCCTGGCTTTGTGTTTTCATGAGATTATAAAATACTTGTGCAGATTTTGTGATATACAGCAATCTCCTAAACTTGTCGTTAGAGATTGGGGAGAGCTTGAGAGAGATGTATGTAGTATTTGTAGTCAGAATAAAGAACAGTATTATGCAGCTACGACCGCCAGTTGAAGTCTCTGAATAACTCTGTCGCAGTATCTGTGGCAAGATCTCTGCATTGAATAAGCGATCCAGCTGATGAGTAGGTGCGGTATTGTGCTTCAATCATGACTCACCTTAATTGTCAGCTCAGTCTTTCATCACATTTATCGAAATGTAAATGCCAAGCCTTGAGCTCAATAAACAGTCTGAACCATTTCACTTATATCTCTCAGTATTCAGACTAATATCACAAAAAGGAAAACTTTGTTCTCACCTCAGAATGAAAGACGTAAATGAGCCCCTTCCCGAATGGAAGCACGGTATACTATCCAAGAAGGTCCATGATTGGGACGCGCTCCGTACAACCCAAAAAGAGATTTATGGCGGGAGATCACCAATCGGTGAGAATAACTGGTTTGCTACAGAAGTGGGGGCGAATACAGTGTTCAGGGTGTGGAAGGGAGAGCCCAAGAACTTGCTGGAGGAGGTCGCCAAGAAACACATCGTGGAGAAGTCATAGGCATCGGCTCTTACCACTTTCTTCCGATCACAGCATTTCAAGGAATCCCCTCGTGTGAGGCGCGTCATGTGAGCCATCAGCTGTGCGGTCTATCAACTCAAAAAAACACTCTAATCAAAGTCGACCGGGACAGTATACCAGCTACCCAACACAATTGCCAAAGAAGGACTACCATCACGAGTGGCCTGGAGACAAAGATCATATGATAGCAGAAGTGGGGTGACTCTGAGAGAGACATATCGACTGTGAAAGTAGATAGAGTTTTGCCTGTCATTCATATGGCTGAGTGGGACATTCAGAGGCGTTTGAAGATTAAGCCCTCTCAATCAAGACTTTAGGTAGAACATGTCCTTTCACATAAAGGTAACTGACTCCCAATACCCCAGCAATCCAGTCAAACTACAACCAAGTCACTAAATCAGAAGTAAGTGGGCTTAGTGGAAGTGTGTGGGCAGAAGAATATTCTACAGTATTGCTGCTAGTATTGCTATTTCAAGGTCAACTAACAGGTGGTGTTTGGATAGAAAATATAAACCTTCACACGACACAAAAGGCACCGACAGTTTAACGCGATAGTAATACTTGGACCTGAACGAGAATTCGAAGCCTTGGTAACGAAAATGCGAGGAAATTCATCTAAAGCAAGCAAGAGTATCAACCACACTGTCAACTAGGTGAGTATACTGAGGGCGAAAGTAAGATTTCATTGTTCTGAAAGGGGACACATCATCCTATCCTGAGATGCTACACCCATGATGCACCTTTATCTTTTCTTTGCCTGCTTCGCTGCTTTATCTTCCTTTTTCTGTTCTTTTTGTGCGTCTTTCAGTGAGCCCTGTCGAACACCAGAGTCTTCCATCTCTTGAAGTTGGGGTAGTAGGTCCCTCTTGTCCCATGATGAAATGACAAAATAAGCCATGTCCACCTCGCAGCAATGGTACTCGCGAGATGTTCCATCACCGTCGAAAATGACGGTCAGTACCTTTGCAAGTTTGAATTCATCCTTGACGAATGCCAAATGAATCCTGTTCTCATTGTAGTGGACATTTGGAATGCCTTGGAATCTGTCCTTTGACACAAGAGGCATCTTGTAGTCTTTATGTTTTGTAGTCTGATGTTTCGTTTGTTGATAGTGTGATTTGTATGCGCATGTGCTGGTGTCTTGTGTTCTTGGCTTTTGGTTGGGCACATGAGGGCGGAACAGGTAGCACTTATAGAGTGGAAACGAACCGCACCAGATTCAGCTACCAGCTGCTCCAATCACTGAAAAGCGCTATCGTAACAACTGTGACAAGATTCTTCACCTCTAACGAGGCAATTCGACTCAATGGTTGCGCGGTGTGAAGATACGTCTACTCCCAGTTGCCGTTATCGCCAGCTTGTATCACGGTTCAAACCTCACGATTGTCTCTGATACTCAGCGAAAGACTCCTAGGGAATAAATCAGAGTCCTTGATACATATGAAACACTGCCATGTTGCTTGACATCGTGACTTGATTTCTTGTTCGGCTCTCAATCACCAATTGAGGACGGGGCTTTGCTCAACCTCTCAGAGTCTTATGGAACTTGGGGTCTCTCAGCCAAATTCCAGAATGAACATGTGCACTCTCACGTAGGGTGCTGCGTCAGAACTTCAGAAGCTGTATCAGCTTAATCACAGAAGATTCCAACCACGGTCATCAAATCAGAGTCAAAAGACCACACTGTGATTGCGGGGGCAGAGGTACACAGGTTCAATTTGAAGGTATAATACAAGCTTCCTCCCCTGATTACTCTGCATTTACCATTACCACTTCAACGAACAAGATCGAGAGTCACCACAGCAAAGCAATTAATAAAGACCACAAGACAGTCATTCCGCGCCGCCTCATCTCAGACACGGGTGATTTTTCCTTGCGCCTAACAGAGATATATGGCTATTTGCCCAATGGTACTTGGTCGTGGTCTCTGCAGCCTACGAAACACAATCAGATCGCGTACGCACCCAAAGCAGAGCTGGAGGACCTTTTGGCGGAGCTCCAAAAGAGTGGTTTCATTGAGAAGAAGGTAGTTGAGGGGACGGCTGCGGCTACCTAGCTGGAGTGGGAAAATGGGATACAAGGAGGACAATGATTCCAGGCGTTTACTTGTATGGTCTACGTGTATCTTGGGCTGACATATGCTAAGGCTCCTTGAGATGACTTTCTTGCAGCATCAACAAGAAAGGAAATCTTCGAGAATAGCTCCCATGCGTAAAAGACTTTCAGCTGCAAAATCGTATTTGACCCGACAAAAAAGTCTAGTACATATTTCACACGATGACTGAGAGGCAAACAGAAACAAGGAAGGCCAGTTATTTGAACTTTGAGCAATGATAGCCATACCCTCTTTTGACAACTGTGCGGCTGAGTGCCACCAACCCACCATTGAACAGATTCGTGGGCACAAGACCAATGCGAACGCAATAAGCTCTCGCTTGATCGCTCTTGTAACCTCATGGCTCACCGTGATGGCCTTATTGAGCACCATTCTATTCGACACCTATCTGAGCTCTCGGCAGCTGTTATTTCATATCGATATGAGACCAAGATCCCAGAAAGGCCGACTCTGTCAATTCTCGTCAGTATGGATCAAGAAACCAATTAAAAGATGTTACATAGAAAGGGTACGTACAAGTGTGGCGAACATGCCAATAATTTCAGATCCCTTTCCGTCAACTGTAGTCCAGCCTTTCTTTGTTCCATAAGGGTAGTCAGGTGTTTGGATAGTTCGATCGAGATTGGTTCGAAGCTAACGATATTAGCAGTGTTTTTCTCGCAAGAATAGGTTGTGCGATTACCCTCAGCCCAACTACATGTGATCCACTCGTCTGTACGTCAATACTAGACAATCGCTCACCAGAAGCGCCGTCAATGTGGAAGGATAGTGTGCTATCATGAGAGTCGGGACTGAAGTTCCTACGACCGGGGTAGTTCTCGTCAAACGGGCCAACATAACCAAGCTGGCTGTTGTGTGAACTATCGGTGTAGCGGAACTCAATTCCCGCCACATGGCAAATGTCGAAGACCCATACGACAATTTCCGACAGTTGGGACAGATATCGACCATCTGAGCCACCGAAAAGAACGGTTGTTACTGGAAGATTTTGTTTAGCCCGTGGCTCATCACCTCTGCTTCCCTTAAAGAGTAGCCCTTCTCCGGGGACTTCGGGATACCAGAGACAGTTGTTCAGCCAGGTCGTCTCCTTGTCGGGTAATGTGTCGCGACTAAGAGAAACGAGCTTCAGAGCCTAACAAATGTCGGTAAGTCAGTAGTCTCAGTACACCTCATGGTATAGACTTACGTCAAACTCGGCTTTCACTGCAGAAACTCCTTGGGATCCTTTTAATCGCCACCTTGGGAAACCAGCGGATTCGCCTGCCCAGCCAGTGAGTGTTCCATCGGCACAAACAGCGGCAATTCCCTTGATGCCGCATAAGTCTATGGCGAGTTCCCATCCTAGTATATGCTCGTCAGGATCAAGTGAGATATGTGATGTGGCCTTCGTATGCCGGTATCCCAAGACATGAGATCTACTATGCTCATCAATCATTTTTAAGCCAGAGATAAACCTTCCAGCGGCTGTATGAACGAAAGATACAGACATTTGTCGGAGTTTCACAGGCTCTGAAAAGTATAGAGCACGGGCCCTCAGAACTCGAGAACCGTAGAAGAAACTCTTTCCTAGGTTGGCAACGGCGCGTGAAGCTGTATGCCATGAAACCTCAGCTTTGGGGATGTTTTGATCCGACCTGTCAGGACTAGTATCAAACCACGTGCTTAAAAGATCTCCTTGGCAAGAAACGCCGTCTAGTTGAGTCAACGTAGCTTGAAGTTGCTTTGAAAGACCCCAAACCCGCTTGCGGTTGGCCATACTTGGGATCCCGCGCGTCCAGATCTTAAGCGAATGATATAAAGCTCTCCATGATTGAGGGGGCCGGCCATGAACCTCAGGTAAGTGATCAAATTCGTGGCCAGGTTGGAAGCGTGATGCCCAAAACCTTTCAGGTAACTCCAAGGTCGCAAAGACAGGGGACGCAAGCCGCAGGGAGTGAACATCTGATGTCGGTAAGAGAGTAACAATTGTTTGCAGAAGTCCCGGGACTAAGCGCGAGAAACTGTCGCTTTGGAGACTTTGTACAGTTGGTTCCAAGCGACTCAAGAAGACGTCATTCTGGAGGCGCGCAGCTCCGTCGATGGCATTGACAAGCCCGGGAACGTGGTATGGATCAGATCGCAGCATCTGGGGAATAGCCTCCAGTGATTGGAAACAGCTACTCCGTACAGGCATATCGAACTGTTGTTTGATTGAGGATGCTCCCGCGTAGTCGTGGCCCCAATCAAGGAGAGTATTCGTGTCAGTCGGCATAGAAAGACAGGCCGCAAAAAGCACATTGAGATTTGGTTTGTAGTTTTTGGTAAATATGGACCAGCACGAATCTTGGAAGCCATAACCCCAAGTTTCATCGGCTGCGTCGGGTTTCAGGTAGACTGTTATGTTGCTGGGTGTCAAGCCAACCTCTATGGTAGGGCCTGGGCCAGAGCGGTTGTCATAGCGGCTTTGGCAATTCGCTGGGACATTCACATAAGGGTCATCATCATATTCTCCCCATCTTCCAACGCCAGAGACGGCCGTGTGATTCCAGCTTGTACCCTCGATAAAAACTATGCAAGTCAGATCACGTTAACTCATGCCTCGATTGGGCCTGGGCTACTGACCGGCACGGATTTTCTCAATCCAGGCCTCGTTGAGGTCCCTGGTAAATGGTATACCACAAAGTGTGCAGTATTTCATAGCGGGAAAAAACGATTGCGATCAGTATTGCTACCTAGTATATAAAGTGAAAGTTTGGAAACCTCAGAGGCCTACACAACAACAAAGTGGGAACCCCGCTAGTACCTAAATTATGAGGCAGTAAGATACCGCCTACGCTAAGCGCCCGTTCACCGCGGCCGCCCACCTAAAACGCCTTTGTGGGTACTTTATTTAGCGCCGCCGTGACAGAGACAGTCCGTTGAAATTGCGAACGTCGATGACTATACTCCCAGGTTTGAGGGGATCCGGTGCCGACTTCTCCAGCTGATAAGCGCCCGATCGAGGAGTTGGTTGCCGGTGTGGTGTGGTCGAGAGAATGGTCAACGTAGATAGCCGCAATTCTACCAATGCAGCAAGGACGGCGGCGAGGTTGTTTGTATATTTAGTGGTTACCTATAAGCTATAAGCACTGATTTGATTCCCACACACATTCACTCGGATGCTGATTTGTTGGCTTGTCCAGATGGCAAGGCCATGCCCAATGCATGGGATCGCAACATCTATGGGTGGAAAAGTGCAATATGTTCTTTGAACGGCCCTCTGTAGAAGTAGGACTGGATGATCAATGTGCCTGCAAATGGGCTGGTCATTTCGGACTTGGGATCCCCTTTCATCGAAGAGTATCGCAAAAGCTGTTGCTCTCACAGGTGATTCGAGTAAGTGAAATCCAATGGCAACTCTCATACGACAATACCCTCGCCTTGCATGAAATATCAGTCTAGGCATCGCCAATTATTGAAGTCTGTCTCTTCGTTCTTGACTTTTCATACACTCTCAATTCCTGTTCCGCAAATCATAGCTAACTTCTTTAGTGGAATCGAAACCTTTTCCAACATATAGGTTGGGATAAGTCACTAGAGCTATCAAGGCATTACCCGTTGCCCCAAGCCTAGACTCGCTAGTTGACTCGGGGCTCATCGAGATCACGGTAATCCCATTCGTGGAAGTCTCCATTGTCGGCAAAGAAAGTCCGGCGTGGCCAATAGACGTTGAACTCACAGCTTGTCACTCAATAACATATCCCAAAGAGAAAAAGCACGAGGCAATAAATAGATAGTTGTCAACTACCTAGGGCGATCAATTTGGATCAAATATTTCACATGTCTCACTGCAAAATTAGTACACTTTATGGAACAAGTGCGTTAACAGAAACAAGTCTCCAAAAGAAGACCGAATGAATTGTATTAATAACAAGCCAAAGCGACCTCCGAGGTTGTCAATTAACAGTTAACTAAGCTCCAAGATACCAACGCTGTCGTACGCCATAAGGTCGTTAGCGATATTTCAACTGCAAGAAGATAGCAAGCATGATATGTGCTGTCAACTCCGTCGAAGATATATGTGGAGTTTGGCCATGTATCCACAGAAAGTATGTATGAATGTATTCGCGTTTGACATTAGCTCGAAACTTGGTTTAAGCTCAGTAAAAAGCTGCAATAAAGGCTTAGAAGACACCTTAGAAGGCGCTCCTCGTTTCATGGCATACCGAGATGATGTGTTGTAAAAGAGAAAAGTAACAATTTTAAATTTCCAGACTTATTTTCGAGCAGACCTGGAACAAGACGCAGCGCTGGTAACGAGATTTCCAGACTCAGTATAAATACTGGCCGTAAGCAGGAATATACGGGTACGTGACCGCTGGTACTAAGACAGGTACAGCATAAGCCACCGGCAGACTCTGGGCATAGTAAGCAGCCGTGATTCCCTGCTGGTACCCCGCCATATGAGCAGCGATATACGGGTTGTACTGCAGTGAAGAGGCGCTACCGCTCGAACTTGAGGTTGACTGGCTGCTCGGCTCGCTCGAGGGGAGGGGCTTTGGTACAGCACCCTTTTGATACCCCTTTGGCCGGTACTTAGCCAGACAAGCTGAGTTCTCTGTCCTTGCCGGATGGTACACCACATCAAACTCCCCAGGCGCAGCAGAGTTGGTGATAATACGTACTGGGCCGGGTGACCCAGACATATAACCCTTGTTCAGACAGAACGGGTACTCTTTCCAGGGACCCGACGACTGGAGAGAGAGGTTCTCTCTGTTGTAAAATTGTCGCGGGTATATGGACTGGCTTGACATAGGGCTAGCTGGAATCTGCTTTGCCTGCTCCCTGACCTGGCTTGCTGGGATTTGTCGGTACCACTTGTCCAAGATCAAGTCAGAGAGTGAGTAGTAAGAGCAGTCTGACCCTGTCTCCCAGGTGTTTTGTGAAGATGGAGGGGATGGCAATCCTCCTTGGTTATTAAGCTGGTCTAATTGACTCAGCGCTGCAGAAGTAAGAGCAGACATTTTTAAATAGAGATATGTCGCTTAGAGAAATGTGAAGGTGAAGGCGAAGGTGGGATGAAAGTCGGAGATAAAGAAAGTGTGGAGATATAAATTGAGAAACGACAAGAGTCGAAGCCTGTTCGCTGTTGCTGTGTCGAAATGTGTAGCCTAAGCTTGATTGTGTAGAAATGGAGAGACGTATGTGCGCTACGCTGATATGTAGGCCAAAGTCTGTCGACTTGCTGGACGAAGAGAGTGAATATGTAAGTCGTTGACAAGAGAAACATCCGATAAAGAGATAAGGTAGCGTTTTCAGATAAGCGTAAGCTGAGAGCAGAAGACAGAGACTTGAGAGCAGGGAACTGAAGAGTATGAAGAAGGGAAGATCAGAATCCAGAATGAAGTGGACAAGGGGTAATTTTATAGCCAGTATCCGTCAGAGTTTGAGAAGAAGCGAGAGTACCAAGCCCTATACCCTACTGATTCGAAAAGATAATGGAGGAGAAAGGAACGAGCCATTGTGTTTTGTTCAAACTTTCTTCGCAAGTAAAGTGAGGCTGACATTGTGATAGGTTGAGTTAAGGTTGGCACTGGTGACCGTGAATGAACTTTATCTTCCCAGTACGAACGAGAATTAAGCATGTCAAACGTCAAGATTACCGGTGTTAAGTATGCTGGTTGTTTTGACAGGTCTAGCGTAGAGTCGAATAAGTAGTTCAGCAAGAATGATAAGCCATAAATGAGCTAAAGGAAGGCCTTGACAGCAGGATGAATGTTGTATCAAGGCGTTGGAGAAATGGATGATCACTGTGCGTCCTCTTGTGGAGGAAATGTTTCTCCCACTATGTGAGCTTTGCCATTCGATAGTCCCAAAAGCTTCTAATTTCTGTCTGCTTGGTTCTGTCTGTTGGGTTCTGTCTGCTGGAATAAGCTCACGGCCACGAGTCTCAACTGCAAATAAGACATCTATCTCACAACTTAAACATTATACCAAAATGTTTAACTGATTCTTACAGCAAAAAGCTGATATCATGAAAACCTAAAAGATGACTTACTTATCCGCCGTCACGGGTTTCAAGGAATCATCCGGAACCATGTATCATTGGTAGTTGTGTAACGTGAGAATTAGCCATGAAGTAAGACGCGCGATATAACCCTCAGACTGGCGGCTTCAGTCACAAGGTAATACGGGAGAAGGGAACAAAGTGAAAGTAAAAGCTGTATTTCCTGAGACATCCTTCGATGGTTCATGTTAACCCGTGGGTACCCAAAACTAACTTTCACGACTCGCCAAGAATTTAAACTTTGGGTTGAAGACCTTGAGTTTCCTTTCGGTCACACGTATGCCAACACTTGAATGCCTTCGCCCGCATAATAAGAGTAACTTTTGGCATAGGCCGAGTTAGACCTGTGACACTCACGAGTCCAGTGGAAAGGATCAACTAATCTGGACGAAGGAGAGGGCTAGGGTCTCTGTCGACTTATTCGCACATTGATATCAATTATACTTTGCTAAAGCATGGCTCATGGTCGGTGACACGAAATTTCATGATATTGTTTAAGATTATCCCCTTTTTCATCACAATTCTTGCCTCATGCCATATCCGTGATAGGCTTTTGAGTCTCCTACATACATTGATCTTTCATTAACAAACTTTGGTACCCTCACGCCTTCTCTGGACCCTGAGCATATTGTCTCCAAAGAGGGTTCTCCAATAAACTCTTCATCGCGCTGTTCTCCGTACCAACGAATACCTCAACACCAGGACCCGCCTCAGGCCTATCAGGCAGCATAATATGCATCGAGTGAGTCACTCCCACTGAGGGGGGTCGAATAGCCTTAATCCAATTCCCCAGAGCAGGACCCCATTGAATGTCATAGAAAGGAAACTCTCTCCAGGACGAGAACAGGGCATGGTTACCTGGCATGTCGAGGAAGATGGCGGGTATCAATCGTGACACGTTACCTAGATTGTCCACAAGGGAGCTAATGGTGGCGAGATACGTCTCCTTGGACTTGTTCACGGCGCCTCGGACAACAAGAGCTATGTCTGCTAGGCTGACGTCGTCATGTTCTAGAATCTTCTCGATGTCCATGACGGCTGGTGCGAAGCCAAGAATATTTCCGAGAGTATGTTTGTGAACAGGTTTGCCAGCACGACGACGAGCATCCAGTGCTAGACCAACCATAGATGGGCCAGTTGGCTTGTCTTCGCCCTCCTTCTTCCTATGTTGGGCTGTCATGGTGCATCGCCAGACCAAAGCAGTCAAAGCATCGGTCGTGGAGATGTAGGAAGAAACATCGTCAGACTTGAAAAGCTTAACATTTCGAGGCGCACATGCTTCTTTGAGTTCTTGGATCTTCTCAGGTGAGAAGTAAAAGACATGACCATGGTGGATGGGTGAAGCTAGCTTCGGTGGGGGACCCTCGGGCGTGAAAGGCACTTCGATGTACTCGGGATGATCCTCGGGCTTCCCGACTATAGTATCAGATGGCTTCATCAGCTTTTCCCTGTCGTCGCAGGGGATTTCAGCTGGGTTGGAAATAGGTAGGCCTTGAGCTTTGCGGACTTCCTCGGCAAAGATCTCGGTGAACTTGTACGCTGTCGTTCCATCGATGTAGGCGTGTAGGAAGAGGACATTGAGGAGCAAGCCACCCCTGATGAAGTTGAGTTGCACCATGGTAGTGTTCAATCGATCTCCAGCACGAGGCCATTCCCCACCAAGACCTCGTTGACAAACAATATCAGGATCCAGAACAGAAGTAGGATAACCCCGATGCTTCAGCTCCTCAAAACTAGGAAAGTCCTGGTCACGAAGGTCCTTGACAAGAAAGTCATGTTCAATCTCATCACCATAATGACGAAGCTGCAAAAGCCCAGTCTCCAGATACTCAGCGGTAGGAACGGCCTCACACCCCGCGATGGGCGTGCGCTCCTTGAACGCCGAATAAGCCCTCTTGAGAATGGCCGTTACCTCCTGAGCATTATAGCTCTCATCAAGCTCAAAGTGAAGAAGACTTCGGATCCATCCCATAGGACCAATCTTCTCGGTGGGAAGTAAAGGGGGAGCAAGGTCAGGAAGTGGTGTGACCTCTTGGGTAGCGACGGTCTTGGAGTGGAGAGCGGGTTGGTCAACGACCAGAATCTCTGTTTTTGCGGGAGCCATGGTGAAGAATGAGAAAATGTGGGTATGCTTTGGTTTTTCGTTTGTTTTGGTGGAAGGGGGCCTAGCTTCTAATACTTGAACAAACGAACGGGTTTATCCAACAGCCGAAGGTCGCCACACGGAGAGAAGGACTATTTGGGTCTTGGGGATTCGTGTTGTCCATGTGTGTTTCAGGGCGTGCTGCTGAGATGGTTACATTGTTGGTTCCGAGTATGAGGATCGACGGTGTTGGTCGAGGAGGCTAGACGGGACCAAGCTTTCTTGGGCAGCTCGCTTGTGATTGCAGCGTTGCGATAGAGGTTTACATCCATCGACTGACCAACCTTTCGGGCCAGGGGTGAGAACAACTTAACAAAGCCGAATGTCTAATTAGCCAATAAGATCTAGTATTTCTAGCTGAGGAACCCGAAGATACGTTGTATCGACTAATTGGGTATTCTTGACCCATAAAGAGACAACCATAATCATGTTTCAATACTAACAGACCTATACAAAGAAGCATCAGAAGTGGAATCCGGTCTAGTGGACCAGGTATCGAACTCCAAAAACGAATCCTCGGACCAAATCCGACATGCCGGAGCCGTTAGTCGCAGGGTCGCTTCGACTCCTTTACCCCTTCGAGAAGCTAAAGCCGTGATAGCCTCTATATACAGATAACGCGCACCAAACGAACCCTTCAATGAAACATTACAAGCATTTCCGTGGGTCCCAGCGGGTCCTGCAGGTCGAACATTGACCAAGGCCTGAAACGTGCTCTCGTTTGGCTGTAAATCCCCGTAATATCCGACCGGAAGTACGTCGCGGTGACAGGGATGTACTTCCAGGTGGTGCCATTCCAGAGCCGCAAGTTTCGTCTTGGCAGTTCATCTCCCGCTCTGATAATGCTCAGACCTCAATATGAGAATCACAGCTCTTAACACCAAGATTTTATGGGATCAGAAGGCGATACAGACTGGTTTAAGAGGAATGGATTGTTTTAGAGCATGGTTTAAATGGTTTAGATAGTAAATCGCCTGAATGCCAGAGGCCCCTTGAAGGATTTCTGATGCTCCATAGCAGCCAACAGAAGGTAGCATCGGAGTGGACTCCAGCCCCGTCAAGTTCGCACCAAGTTTTCACAAATGGCCTGTTTGGATTCATTCCGCGTAAGTAAACGAAGAAAAGGACGAGCCCGTAACGGCTAGAGATTGGCAGTGAAAGCATTGCCACTGGAAAAAGAAACGATGCTGAGCTCCTTCTTGTCCCCGTATCTCGCCATGGGGTTTACTTAGCTAGGCTTGTTAAAGGCCATTTAACTAATCAACAGCCCATGTTATAACTTGAACTGCTATTTTTGCGTGAATTCCTGCATGCAGCTAGTCTGACAACGCAGATATGGCAGTTGACCCTAACATCGTAGCTATCTTTGGGCCACCGCCGAAAGGGCTGGATCTCGAGAAGAATGTCATCACCACCTACAATGTTGTCGTTTGTGTTGTTCTCGGCATTGCTGTCACTGTTGTCGCGTTGCGGTTTTACGTGAGGAACATGAAGTCGGCGAACATCGAGATGGACGATTGGGCGGTTTTGGTCAGTCTGGTAAGTGCTTTCACTGAAATCGTCGGACTTTTGCTGATGCCATGCAGGTTTGTGCTTCTGCTACTGTCGCTATGACAATCTTGGGTCAGCCCACTCTGTGAATACCTTCGAGTCTTTATGTTAATGGATAATAGCGGGCGAACATGGCTCTGGAGCTCATGTCTGGTCAATCAAGCTCACCACTCTCGTCGACGTCTTCAAGGTGCGCCTACTATCAAAGCTCTCTCAACTCGATACTTACCAAACTTAGATCGTCTACGCCGAACCCTTCGTATACGCCCTCGCCGTCACATCCGTTAAAATCAGCATTCTCCTCCTCTACCGTCGCCTCTTTCCCCTCGGCATCGACAAAAATCGAGTTTATACAATAATGTTCTGGATAGCGACCTTTCTGACGACCATATACCCTTTTATCCTCTGGATCACCATGCCTTTTGCCTGTCGACCTGTCAGTCATTTCTGGAATCAGTATCTGGGGGCCAAAGGCAAATGCATTGAAGTGAAGTTGTTCTTCCTTGTTCTTGGGATCATGAACATGATGAACAATATCATCATTCTGACTGTTCCGATACCGAGAATTTGGACACTTCACATGAACAATAAGACCAAGATTTCTATCATTTGCATCATGCTTCTTGGCAGCTTGTGGGTGATCTTACAATACTGCGATGAGTTTCCGGCTGACTTTCTCCAGTGTATGTGTCGCCAGTATCGCGCGAATCTACTACCTATGGGGCTTCTTCCAAAACCTCGACGCGACATGGTGGATGGGCCCGTCATTCGCGTGGTCCAGCCTCGAGCCCTCCGTCGCCGTCATCTCAGCTTGTCTGCCCACACTAGCACCATTATTTCGCATCAAGCGCATTAATTCTACTTCACGTGGTACACCATCAGGACCAACCGACTTATCCAAATCTGGTTCTAAACACTTCCAACTCTTCAGTGTGAACAGGATGAAAGGAGGTGCTTTCGGTAGTGATGATGATGAGGTCGAGTTGACATACGATGTCGGGAGAGGCGGAACCGGTGATGGGTCAATGTGGAAGAATCAGGGGGGCTCGGCTGCTGAGCAAGGGATTGTTGTCCAGACGCAGGTTTCGGTGACGCATCAAGACAGGAAAGGTCGAACTAGCACTGATTGAATATATATTTCTCGAGACACTCAAAAGATAAATAGTCTTCTAGAAGTTGGTCTGTAAGATGATGCAAGTCAGCACTCTGCTATTTCTGTTATTGAGATGGTGCCTGGGTTGCTCTGACTCGCACCACAAAATAGTGGTCCCGACAGTGAGTCAGGGGACCAAGCCATTGCAATGAAAATGACGTACCCTATAGTCTACAATTTGTATTTTAAGCCTTATAATTCTATCAAGGCTCAAAGGAACAACATGTTCACCAGGAACAGACATGCATAAGGCAAATCACAATATCTTCACTAAGAATCAGAAGTTTTGCACAAATTCCATTTACTACCAACGCCCCATGTACTAGCGAACAATCTGCATACAAATTCTGAAAAATCACGAGTTACTAACCCCGTATCCCACTAAGTGCAAAAGCAACGCAACTCAAACAAAGCCACGACCTGCCTGATTTCCCCTCAGCTTTCCCTTCGTAGATCATGCTAAAAAGCGTCCTGAACCCCCAGATCCCCGCGTTTCCCCCTGCTCCCACAATCACCAGCTGTTAAGACCTCGACGCCCTCCGATGGCTTGAATCTCAACAAGCTCTTTCTCCAGCCTGCCAATCTCGTGTTTGTAAGCAGACCGCATAATTCCGTTAAGTCCTCGATAGAATTTTTGTTGTGCTTTCTCCTGGAGCACAACGATCTCCCGCTCAATCTCGCCTCTTCTTCTAGCCTTGGTAAGCTCTTCCAAGTACGTCAAATATCCCTGAGGGACCATGACAAGAATGCCACCATCCCTCTTAATACGGTTGGGGTCCTCACCGCGCTCTTTGGCTACCCAGTAGTCAAGCTCGTGCTGGGCAGTCTCACGAAGCTCGCCGTATCCTTGCCTACCCACCATATGACTGCCATCGTGGATTGCCTGCTCGTACATTGCGGCTGTCAGCGGATCCAGACGCAAGTGCTCCACGACGAAGTTTCTTCGGCCGTCTGGAGTGAAGAATGTTGCAGTACGTCTGCGTGCCATGAAAGCAGGCGGCCCCTCCATGTGGGCTGGTGGTTCGGCGGTGTACACTGGCGGATCGGCCTTATACACGGAAGATGATGGTCGATCTTGTGTCGACTCCTTGTCACCATCCTTCTTCATCCACTGCTGAACTTGATCAAACGGCATGTTGCTGTTGATTTGTGAAAGTTGTGAAAATGTGTAAGATAGAAAGGTAAAGAGTTTGAAGGTTTGTGTGTGTTGAGAGAGGATATACTCTGGGATGATTGCTAAGAAAAGCTTGGTGAGGAGGAAAAGAAACTGCCATAGTCGGGGCGGAAATCAACTATTTATACGGTATCTCTCATGACTGGAGTTCCTATTACTTCGATTATGTTCATCTCAAGTCCAGGGATTCAATTGATTTGGAGCAATATGTACCACCAAACTTATCCGCAAGTCAGATGAACTTACTGGTGATATCCTCATGATGTACGGTATGCCGAGGAGGAAGACCTTCAGTTCGCTCGAAACAACGGACACAGCGGATGAGTTCTGTTGCTACTATTTAGAACTTCGTGCATCATTCTGTGACTAACAGTCATGTGTGTTGTACACACATACCTTATGAATAGTTGTTCGGCGTCCTGTTGTTAGAACAATCTGGGGGCTTATCAGATAAGCAATGATTATCTTATCAGCTTATCGCTCGCAGTCTTGGTTCAGGAGTGTTTCTTTCCAGAAGAACAATGAATGACACAAATGCAAATAGTCCTCTCTTATTGAAGATAATATCTGAAGAACAGATTTCATGATAATGTGTTATCAACTAGTCCTTTTTTAGATCAGATTATTGATTTTAGAGTTTGGCGTGACGCGATCAGCCCCAAGTGGCTGCAGCTAATGCATCGCGTTCCCCTCTCTGATGGTCCTCCCTTGAGATCCTCAGCTGTTCTCTCATCTCAACGTTTGCAAACGTGCTCAACCCTCTCGATCACTATAACTTTGACAAAATTGAGCTATCATCCTTCGAAATGTCAGATCGATTTGACAGCTTTCCCTTCATCAGCCTGCTGAGTGGCTGGGGAGTAGTCAGGTAAGCCCCATGGCATTCGTACACGGCATTGAACTGACTGGTTGTTCCTTGTACAGTGGCCCTGGATTATTGTAAGTTCTCTCGAAGCTCATCAATCGTCCGTCAACTCATTGGGTGCAGCATGCTCCGCAGCTTGATATCCGGCATCTCAACCGCAACAGTGGCCGGCGTCTCAAGCGGCATGGTCGGCAGCATGATCTGGGGAACAGCCGGTGTCCCCTTTCTCATCGGATCATCTCTCGGTTTCGCGTTTGGTAGTTATCGCTGGTATGAAGTTGCGACCAGAGAAGCCATGGTTCAGCTGGAGCTGTACCCCGCGCTGCTGCAAATGCACATCACGTCCAACTTTCCATGGGTGCCAGAGCTGCACAGTAGAAAGCGAGATTGGTATACGGCTGAGACGTTTCGCAGATCTTGGGTTATGAAGAGCATGCTTGTTGTTGGTTGGCTTTCGGCTGAGTCGTCATTGCGTGAGATTCGTGAGCGGAGGGAGGCGAGATTGGTGGAAGAGTATGTCGCTGCTGAAGAGGAGTCAGAGTGAAGGCTTCCACTAGCAGACAATGACTTCGCTTGACTTGTTCAAATTTTCGGGGCCCTTAGCTCATCAATAAATCGATATGAGACTGCCAACGTTCCTCTCCCACTTCTGACGTGGCCTGTGATTGGATATCACCTAAAGGGGAGGAAAGAAAACACGGGACCTTGATCCTAAGTGACAAAAGGACTTGAGTAATATAGCCTAAGTTTAGGATAACTTTTTGCTGAGTTTATTAGAGCCTACGTTTAGGGTACCTTTTGCTAAGTTTACTTTCGCATCCTACAGTAAGGTTTGCTGTTTTCTTGCCCCCCGCCCGAGGCCACGATAACGCGTCGACCACAACAACCCCGCTTTTGGGATGGCGTGTCTCTGAACAGAGGCTTTGGACAGATCAACAAAAGACCACGGCGAGTATCAGTACCCAGTTCGAATGAATAAGATAAACATATGAAAGATACATTCACAAGCGAAATATCTCTATTTAGTCCGAGTGAGTCACCAAAAATGTGCTTGAAACATGTTGTAACGTGACCACAACAACCCCGCTTTTGGGATCACGTGTCTCCGTACCTAAGCATGAACACTCTCTGAACAGAAGCTTGGGCTGAACAAGAACATACACAATAAAAGTTTAAATATTTCTATTTAAACCGAGTGAGCCGCACGAAATATGGTTGAGACAGCCTTCGCTGACATGTCTAGATATCATCCATCACTGAGTCATCCACTACGAATACGATATCCATGACCGATTCTCAGCCTCAAAGCATGGCTTCCATAGCCCCAGCAGCCAAGCTGGCCGTCCTCATCGACGCAGACAACGCCAGCGCCGCCATGATAACCTTTGTCCTCGCCGAGTTCGCAAAATACGGCACCACCTTCGTCAAGCGCGCGTACGGCGACTGGACCAGCAATCAATTAAACGGCTGGAAACCCCAACTCCTCCACAACTCCATCCATCCTATGCAACAGTTTGCATATACCTACGGAAAGAACGCCACAGACTCAGCTATGATCATTGACGCTATGGATCTGCTATACTCGAACAAATTTGACGGTTTCTGCATCGTGTCGAGCGACAGCGACTTTACGCGTCTTGCGTCGAGGATCAGAGAGTCGGGATTGGTGGTTTATGGGTGTGGAGAGCGGAAGACGCCTAAACCTTTTGTCACGGCGTGTGATAAGTTCATTTACGTTGAGAATCTTGTGCCGAGATCTGGGACTCGGTCGATTACGGCTGGTGTTGCAGGACCATCAACTGCTAACCCACTCAATGGGGGGCCTCCGCGCGGCCATGCTCCAACCTCCGCATTTACCAAGGGTAAGGGTCCTTTGATGGAACCGCCTGCGCCTGCAAGAGGCTTGCTTCCTGAGCAACCGTCTCCATCAAATCGTGGACAAATCGCGCGTCTTCCTGAAAGGGTCGATTTCCAGAAGGATCACACTGAACAGCGGGCGAAGTCCAATGGTGAATCGTCGGCGGGACCAGCTTGGAATAGCACAACAAGCGGCAAGCGAAAGAGGCTCGATTCCGAATCCGACAGTCCCGCACGAACCAAACCTCGAGTATCATCCCCAGAACCAGGTGACTTGGAAACGGAACAGCGACCCGTGGATGATCAAGTCATAGAATGGCTTCGCGAAGCAGTTGAGGCGAAAACCGATGAAGACGGCTGGGCTGGTCTTGCGGCTATTGGAATGCTCATGAACAGATGGCATCCTGACTTTGATGTTCGCACGTATGGATTCAAGAAGTTGCATGAGCTTATGGCCTGGACCGGATTGTTTGAGTTTATGGATCAGCGCCCAGGGGAGGGGAAATCGGTTGTCAAGTATGCGAGGTATCTTTATTGACAGGGAAGATGGGGGTTCGGTCGTTTCGCATAGCTGAAATTTTGCTTGTATAAGGCACTCAGTTAATAAGGCCCTGATCCAATCGATCGGTACGGCGCATAAACGATCCAGACGGTGGACAAAAAATTGGTCCCTGCCTGATTAGGATGCCTTGTGGTGCTGAATGTCACGTTTTGAAAAAAATCGATCTCGGCCAATATATCTTAAGGTAATTGCTGTAAAACTACTCCGTAATTAGGTAAGTTTAGAAAAAAGTTACTAAAATATTGGGCATTTTACGTCAATTTTAGTGTACCGGTTTTTCTGCCACTTTGACAGAGCAAGTACTTAACCTAAATTTTGCACCGATAGAAGTCACTCCGCGCCGTATCGAGTGTGTATCGAGTGCGCCTTACGGATCGATTGAATCAGGGCCTTAGAAAGGAAATCTTGGATAGTAATGAATGTATGATCTGTGTAAATGTCTCTCCTCCTCTGCATCGTCTTCGATTTGTTAACTATCTTCTCTCGGCCGGATTAAGCTCTCAGCCACAGGTCTCAGCGGCAAATAACACTTCTAGCTCACAACTTAGACATTATACCAAGATGTTTTGTTAACTCTGTATTAGTACGTGTCATTTCCACTTTTGCTTACCTGGGAAGATAGCTATTGATTGCCAAGGTTCCCTAAAGGCATCCGGCACTCCCTCTCCAGTCAACAACCCATATACTAAAGCTATTTCTACAGAGAGCTCCGTTGCTCCCTTAGCATCACGAAGGGTAAAAAGCATCTCATCACCATGTTTAATATAAGACTTTATCATATTTGCTTGAATCTTCTGGTAGCCTGTTTGATTGCATCCAATTTGTGGGCAGCAACAAGGATAAGTATACTACACTAAACTACTAAAGTTCTACAGCCCCTCCCCTCAGACCCCATATGTGCACTCTTTGTTCAGAGGTGTGAGGACAATCCGGCATTGATAACTTTATCAAAGTCAATACCAAAATCCTGCATCATTCTGACAGCAACAGGTCGGCCACCACCCCAAACACCTCCACCAGGGTGCATAAAAGGACCAGCGAGATAGAGACCCCTCACACCAGGAACACGATATTGTGCAAGAGCAGGCGTGGGCCGATTGACGCCCATTTGATCCCCGGCCATAGAAATACCGCAAATATCGCCTCTCTGGAAGCTAGGTGTATCAGAAACGTGGTCAGGAGGAGTGACAACCTCGTAGGAGCGGATCATGTCAGGAGTGAAATCTTCAAGATATTCAGAAGCATACGCAAAGACTCTGTGGCAAAGATCGTCTTTGATAGAGTCCCAATTATTCCACCCGACTCCGGCGATCTCGGACTTGAGCATGACGACGCAGTGCAGCAGAGACTTTCCAAGTGGAGCACGCGTAGAGTCGCGTTCGCTTGTACATGAGAGTCCAATCATCAACTTTTCTGGGATCTTTCTTTCAGCCATGTCATCGTAGCTCTTTAAGAGATCCTCCATATTACCGGGACAGACAGTGTTCATGACAGTGCCGTTGGCCTCTCCTCCTGCTTTGAATCGTAGAGGACGGTCAAGAGCTGCGTGGATGACGAAAAGGGTGAACTCGGAAGACCGAGTTGCTTTGGCAGCAGCAGTAATGGCGGGATCGATTCCATCGACAAGCTGACCAAGCAAGTGAGGGTGGATCATGCCAATAACTGCCCTTTTCGCTTTTAACTCTCCAGCTCGAGTGCAGACACCCACAGCGCGGCCGTTCTCAGTAACGACTTTCGTGACTTCGGTGTTAAGACGGACTTCTCCGCCATGAGCCTCAATGCAGCGGATGACAGATTGAGTAAAAGCGGTGCCACCACCCTCAGGAACTGCGAGACCGTACTTCTCCATCAGGCCAAAAGCAAGATATCCCATGAGCCCTGTGCCTTTGGTCTTAGGATGTGCTAGTTGAATCTCGGTTACAAACCGAAGAAGGGCGACTCTCAACGATTTGTGAGTGAACCACTTGTCGATGACATCTGTGGAGCAGGCCTCGGAGGCGAATCCAATCTCAGCAAGGACCTCCTTGTCTTGAACATGTTGGAGGACAGTATCGGTAGGTGGCTCGAACATGCTCGGCAGGAGAGCATCGGTGATTCGGATGGCTAAGTCCATGAATCGATCGTATGTTTGGGCATCCTCTTTTGAAAACCTTGCGATGGACGCTTTGGACCGGGCACGATTCTGATACAACGGAAGCACTTTGTCCTGCATGATGATTGCATAGGCCGGATCGAGGGGCAGATATTTGAGGCCATACTTGGATAATAGACCAAGCTCGTCCTTTGTAATGAGTGGATTGCCCAAGATCATTTGGTGAATAGCACTGTGACGCTCACTGACATAGCCCTCCTCCGCCATGTGAAGGCTGGCAACGCCGCCACCAGGATAGCTTGCGCGCTCGAGAACAAGGACCTTTTGGCCGGCGACTGCCATGTAAGCGGCAGCTAGAAGTCCATTGTGACCCGAACCAATGGTGATTATGTCCCAGTTGGAATCAGTGGCTGTGAGACGGCCTAACTTGGAAAAGCTCTGGGCAGTCTGCGCCATCTTAATGAGCAATGGACTAGGAATAATGAAAAGTTATGTGAATATGTGAGCTTAGCTTGGTCAAAAGAGGGAAGAAAAATGTAGAATGATGCCGATGATGTCAAAGGATAGCTGTACGAAGAGAATACGGTGGACTCGCCCTTATTTGTATGTCTATAACACACAGCTAAATAGAAGTGATATCTAGCTAGCACAATTAATCCTGCAAGCTTGCCCTGAGATCCACCACTAGGCCAGTGGATGGACTCGTAGATTATGGGGCCGATGTGTGACTAAACAAGCCGAATAAACTAAGCCAAGCTAGTCTCTAGCGTGTGGGGAAGGAAGACCACCAGTACAAATACCGTCCTCCCCCGCAAATTCCGACAACTAACATCAACCTCCAGGCGAACATTACACATCCTCTCCGTACAACTTCACCAAAATTCCGATCTCAGTGGACACCCAATAACTTTCGTGCCGGCTCCATCATCAACACCGGTCCCGCTCAGTCAGCCAGTAGCTTCGCTCTTCTTTGCCGGCTCAACTACCGAACCCAAGAGGGCTTCGCCTAAATGTCCACAACATGTACAATTTGCAACACCCGATTCCAACGTGCAGAGCATCTTGAGCGACATATGCTACGTCATCTCGGCCTGCGGCCTTACCAATGTGCGATCTGCCATGCCCAATTCTCAAGGAGGTGAGGAGTATTCCGATCCTTGGCGCCCCTGTACTCTCAGGGGCTTGACACGGGCTGCCCTCGCAGCCCAACCATGTCTGTCCGACTAATGAAATGTTAGAGATTCTCTCAAGCGCCACGCCTTGAACCATTTAGATGCCTCCACAGGTTCAGACGCGCCAGCTGACCCTCCCCCCCGCCGGGGGCGATATGCCCTTCGGGCTTGCAGTTCTTGCCGACGTTCCAAGCAGAAGTGCGACGGAAAATTCCCTTGCCGCCGGTGCACAGCCAAGAAACAAGCATGTGTTTATCTGCCCAACGAGAGGCATCAGAATACTCTCATTGGTGACACCTCCCCGCACCCTGTTCCAGGCTTGGAGTCTGTAGACCAAGAGCATCCAGTGGTGAACGCCGACGTGGAGCTCCTTTCGAGCGATCAACAACGTATCGAGGTACGTCACTGTCATAAATTTCTGTTACCTTGACAGATTCTGAGCAACTGTACGCTGACACTGTCATCATTTTCAAGGCAATTGAGTCGGGTCTTGAACCGATCCCCCTGCCACCTGACTGGAACCTAGAGGCATGTCTTACTAGCGACTCCGTGTTCCAGGAGAAATATCACAGCACATTGCAAGATATCTCGTTCGTAAACGTTCCATGGCAATTTGATATTAGAGTCGGGGAAGTCGGAGTATCCGAATGTTCAGATAGAAATGATACATCTTGGGATAACCTTCTCATCCCGAACCCTTGTCCAACGAATCCTATTCCTCAGACCGACTTGCCCCAGTTCCCTGAACATGCAGGTGAGTTGAACCCACTATCATTACTAACATTATCATCTATACTCACAACACAAGTTTCAGAGAGTGGCGTGCGGGAAGAAGTTTCGACGACCTGCGAATCAGGCGCGTCTAACGAGCCCTCAACCAACTGCCCATCTGCTCTGGAGCATCAATTGGCACGGACAGCAGAGAATGATATTTGTGACGCCGAGAATTTTGGGCATGTACCCCAGATCTCGAACGATGTCTACAAAATCATCCGCACCAAGTTCGAGGATCTAAATGGCGACAGCAGTACAAGCCAGCCATTTACACAGACCGAGTTCCCTTCGTCAACTGTGTTGAACGCCTTTATCCAGTCGTATTTCGAATATTTTCATCCTGGCTTCCCTATGCTACATAAGCCGTCATTCGATCCAGGTTTCAATGAGTCAAGTTGGCTTCTGGTTCTCGCTGTTGCAACCATTGGCTGTCGTTTTTCTCTTGCTTCGTCGCCACAAATTCTATTCCTACTACAAGAAACACTTCGAAGGTCAATTATTCGAATTGTAGGTACCAATTCCATTAGTACTGCTCTCGAGATGCTAATCCCCGCAGCTTCATGTTGATTACGATTCATGTGTGGTTCACAACCTACCGTTAGCTCAAGCCGCTATCCTGAGTCAAGTAGGGATGATGTTTTCGAGACATCAGAGGTTTACCGATTATGCTGAGAGCACTGCCTGTCTCATTGCCACCATGTGTAGAAAAGCAAATTCCCACTCAGACTTTGAGCCTGGCCACAGCGGCGAAACGAGTTCATTAGAAAAAGAAGTTGCCGGGAATAGCATCTTCAACAAGGGCTGGAAAGCCTGGGTCGCGGAGGAAAGCACAAGCAGGATGGTGTACTGTTGCCTCGTAAGTTTATCCCAAGACGATCCCAAATATCATTCTTGGTTTCTTTTTATCTGTTCTTTCTTGTTTTGATCCTTTATAAATTGGTTAGGCTAGTTATACCCTATTGACCATGAGACAGCTTCTGGACTTCCAGTTTAGCGCCCTTTTCGATTTGCCCGCTCTTATTGACATTGACTCTATCCACTTGCCAATGCCATGCTCCGAGAATCTGTGGAATGCCGACACCGAAGAGTTGTGGTATAGTAATATGACACAAGAAACAAGTAAGGAAATGTTCCGAAGACTGTCTTTTATTTGTTATTGACGTTTACCTTTAGGGGAGACCCCCCCAACAACTATACGACAAAGCCTGCAGTATTTATATGATAATAAGACAACCTCCCCAGGCTTAGGTCGATTCGGTGCCCTGATATTAACATTTGCAATCTACCGCGACGAAATGGATTCAGAGGCAAAGTACAATTATCTGAGCATGGTACGGCCCGATGAGGCTCACATGCAGTCCAAAGAATCCCTTGACCAGCTAATATTCCAGCATAACCATACACTCAGCCTTTTTACAAAATTGCCTCCTAGGCAACTCTTTGCCTTCTCCGGTTGGCGTACGACAGTTGCCCAACAGAAGAAGGCGGAGAACCATATTCGTGATTGGCTCAGCGAAGATATGGTAGGCAGTAGACTCTGCCTTGTTCACGCTGCAAAGGTATATAGTTCCGTCCGCAGCACTCGGACGTATGGACATCACGAGGCCATGGCCATTCTGCTGTCAACAATAGCCATTTGGAGCATATCGTCAATTCATAGGGTAGTGAGCTCTTCCAGTTCCGCCGAATCTGCTCCTAATTACCACGCGGCCTGTGCCCAGGATTCAGCAGAAGGACTGGCTAACAAGAGGACGATTCGACTTGACAAGACCCTCGACGGATCACTACTAGCAGCTTGGATCGCTGGTCAGGTTGATTTCAGGCCATATCTCGCAGGCATCGGGACACTCGACGATCAGGGTACAGTGAGAAGGCTCATTCGTGACAGCCTTCAACAATTGATGTATTCGGTGACCTGGTGTCTCGGGCAGGCTGTCGCAGAGGTTCTTAAGACTCATTATCGAACTAAGACGGGGGATCTAGGTATCTCGCAGCTGTGACACTAGGCGTTTCATCCCAAGTACATAACAAAATAAATTCTTGGGTGTGATCAGCAAAATGCATTGATGTCTTCATTGGCATGCTCTGTCGAAGTCAAAGTCGCATCGCTTCTCCATAAAGCCTATCTTCTCTAAACTAGAAACTCAATACACATTGCGAGGTAATACTGACATTACAGTCGCGCGAACTGCATAGAATTGCTGTTCTAGAGCCTTGCTTTGACCAACGTTATCGATTTCGGCAGAACCTGCAAGCATCACGGATATCAAGCAAGCCTCGTTCCATTTCTCAAACAGGGTGGGATCGTAATGAATATCAGTCGCAAACAAGACCGATAGTGTCCTTCTCATTAACAAAACATGACTCCTGGAGGTGGCAGTAGGATGGGGTTCGATCAGCAGGGAGAAATTATTTGATGGACCAGCATGATTTGACGTTATAAGGGTAGGACTCAGTAATATAGGAGCCATGAAGATATACCATTGATCAATCTACCAAGTCTACGAGTGTCAGCAAGCTCGGCTTGGGCCAGAGCGATATCAACCATTACGGAGTCTATCTGTATTACAGACGAGGCTTAATATTTATAGAATCTCCTACATCTGATTCCCTAATCGAAACCCAAAGATTATGCGTCTTGAGGATAGATGGCTAATTCTGGATGCTAAAAGAATCACATTTGCAAACCTTAACTATCAATCACGACCCTACCAATACAATGATAAATGCCGAGGATAGAAGCCGATCGGTATGTGGGGGAATACGAAACTCAACCTTGAATGTCGTATCACGTGGGGCGTTCGTAGAAAGGCTCTCCGGAGCGCACAATGGACGTAGGCTCCGACGCTCTGAAACTGACTCAATGCCAAATATCGTCCAATACATTATTTAGGGAACTTAACACTCATTTTCCCGTTTCTTTGCAATACTCCATAATTATGGAATCATCATTATATTTTTACTATGTAGTAGACTGGACGAATACTCATTTATGAAAAATATCATCTCGATGCAAGAAATGTGTTCCCAAGTTTACTATTTACCTTTCTTAATTATCGTCTCTGGTTTTATATGCAAGAAGGAATACCGAATATTATGCCGATTTAGTTAAGAAAAGCTCTCCAAGTCTGATTAACACATCCGTTTCTTGGTTGTTTATTCCTAAATTCGTGTATCTAAATGCTCACATTACTACATGCAAATGTCCTCTAAGAGCTGCCATGGTCTCAAGAATAATGAGCGGACGGGTTCTAACCTCAGTTGCATAAATTCATTCGATACAGTAGACGTCTTGATGTCATGAAACTAATCAAGTATCTTTCAAACCAGAGACAACTTATAATCTGCTAGAGGGTCCATGCCATTTGCAGCCCATTCAGACAAAATATCTCCGAATTTTGGAGCAACGCTAGTAAAGAACTTCTTCTTCGCAACCTCATCCACAATCCGCTGTCCCTCTGAATCTGCATCTTTCCCATTCTGCTTCAGAAATAATGCAAAGCCCTGATTGAACTCAGCCGACGACGAGCCGTTCAGATCATGCACAGTGTCTGTGTAAGTGACGTCGGGGAAAATGACGCTGACGCCTATTCCGTGGGGTTTGAGAGCCACTGCCAAGCTTTGGCTGAGAGATATATCTGCAGATTTGCATATACAGTAAGGCAGCAGGTTAACAGCAACAGCCGGGCCTGGTGTGAGACCATTGGGCGATGCCGTGTTTACAATCCATCCCGAGCCCCGAGCCACCATCTTGGGAAGAAAAGCTTTGATGATGCGGATGTATCCGAAGACATTGACTTCTACTTGCCTCCTGAGACTCTCTAACTCGAGATCAAAGATTGACGCGCTCCGAATGAAGACGGCGTTGTTGTGGATAATGTCGGGAGTGCCAATTTCGTTCTCAACTCGGGCGGCGAAGGTGGCCACGGATTCATCATTGCTGACATCGCACTTGTAAGCGAACGCTTCAAGTCCGGATTTGCGTAGAGACTCCGCGACGGGGATTTGGAGCTCTTGTTGGATGTCGGCCAAGATGACACGGGCGCCAGCTTTTGCATATGCGACAGCGACACCCTTTCCCAGCCCGTGTGCCGCTCCTGTTACGACGATGATCTTCCCGCGATAATCCATTGAAGTGAGTGGTGATGAATGTAGTATTGACATTAAACTTGGATAGAGTAATAGGCAGTATTGGGGTCTTGCAAGAGAATACTCCTTGCATTCGGTTTATGATATCTGAAACCTGGAGTATTTGTACCTACGATCATCCTAATAGCTGACTGAAATTGGTTCGGCTGATCAGTTAGCGTCTTGTGGGGTAAGTCGGAATTTGTGGAGTATGGGAATCGGGAATATCCCCGCACACCCCATCAAACCTCAACTATCAGGCCTCGCAAATGAGGACCAGTACGTTAAGTTTCCCAAAATTACTGCGTTAATAATATTATAGTTCATACAATAGATTGTTGTTGAGATGATATAGTGATGTGCTGTGGTTTCTTGCCGTAGCCACTAGCTGAATCCCGCTGGATCTTGCCAGCAGCTAAAATTGTCGGAGCCCTACGATACCCCGAGCCCACGGTGACATCGGCTCAGCGGCAGTCCGTCGCTTGGTGAGCCCGGTGGCAGTTATCCCAGCTATGCCATTTCTAGCCCTTGCTGCTATTATGGCATGAATTCTAGGCACTGATGTGCGCTTCAATATTGATGGTTATCAGTCTGCTTTTAGGGCACATATGGACTCCAGCACTTGGACGGTCGCTGTGCTTAGTCCTAAAGGCAAATGCGTTTTCAGTAGTAATAAATATATATCCTATCAAAATTACTTTGCTGTTATATACTGACTTTATGCATTGGATTTAAAAGTCTATGAAAAGTAGTAAAAGATCCTATCTCCTCTTTCGTTTACCTTACAAGATATTAATCTCGCGTGCTCTGCTAGAAGCATCCGACATTCCCTCCCCAGCCATCAGCCCATATACAAAAGCTTCGCCTACAAGAGAAAAGTCTTCTGTCCCCTTAATATTACGAAGGATAAATGGCGTCTCGCCGCCATGAAGAATAGCCACTTTGTCACCGATCTGCGCATTCCAAGGCGCCAATCCCATATAACCCCCATAAGTCACCAACAACGAGCGATGCGCACAGGCGTCGTAAATGCGCTTGATGTAACCTCCATACTTTTTCTTCCTATGGGAGAAATCCCCCAATGGATGCTTCAGAATCTCGCGAGTTCTCAGATTAGGCACAGGTCTAATCTGGAGAAACTGGGCATTCATCACAACCTCGAGCTCCTTTATTTCGTCCTCAAGAGTGACCGTCTCAAATACTCCTCTCGATGCCATATCTGGGAGCTCACGACCCCATCCAGTCCGGTCGTACCATGTCTCAATGTAAGCCCAGTCATCGCTGTCAGCTGCTTCTGCACCCGCATAATCGGCTATCATCGTTCTCCAGAGGGCGTGAGTGCGACCCTCAGCACCACCATACGGGCAATCTGGAAGCTCAATCAGGGCAAGACTTTCCCATTCAACAAGAGAATTGATGCCTTTCCTGGAGATGGGGGGCCTGTCAGGTTCGGGATGCCATACGGGGCCAAGCTGTCTGATTTCATCAATAATCTGACCTCTGAGAGACAGAACCCGTGGATTAGGATGAGAGTTCAGTGCCGCAGTAGTCCTTCCAGACGCGGAATATCTAGGCTGCGATAGTGAGAATGTGATAAATGGCTTAGGATCCCATCGACTTGGACACTCCCAGTTGGCTACCCAGGACGGCAATCTGGATAGCTTCTGCCGAAGAAGCTCTCTTTCATTTCGCAGCTTTTGCTCTCTCGTCGTCTCCCCAACGCCATACACCACTCTTGCACGGCCAAGATTGTCCCAGACTTTGGTCCATCCTGGTGGGAGTTCTCTTTGTTTGATGAAATGCTCAGCTCTCACAGGTTGCTCGCCCGCCAAAGGGCTCGACTCAGAAGCCTGTTTGGTCCTGTCCCTATTGTCTCGAAAGAGTGACCTGTCCCTGCTGGGTATTCTCTCCCAGCCATCAGGCAGTCTTGCCCAGCCTCTTCTAGGATTTTTGTCTGGTCCGTCGGAAATGAGAGCCTGGATGTCGTAGTATCTCGACTGCTCTAGGATACTGTATGCCTCTTGCTGTGGAGTGCCAATATCAACGCCTGACCAATATCTTGTGCAGTTCAGTACATGCAAGTTGTTTGTAACTTGTATCATAGTCCTTGCGAACTCACGGTACACCTGCGGTACATCGAGATGATATCCCGGGCTTATCTTGGCAGCCACATCAGGATGTACAATACCCAAAAACCCATAAATCCTGTCATGCGCAACTGTGCACTCTAACGTTCTGAATTGGTATAGCACGTCCAAAAGATCGAGTCTTCCACCGTTCGAATGCCATTCTTGATGATACCGAGAGATAAGGTTGTACATCTGATCAGGATATATGTTTCGATCACTCAGCTTCACACCGAAGACCTGAACCTCAGCCTGCGTCATCTTGAGCCGTTTAAACAGAGATGCCACTAAATCCCATGTGACGACCTCGGCGCCGCATAGTATCTGGATGTTCTTTGCCAGCACGACCTCTTGTATGATCCAGGTTCGGCGCCACCAAGGTCGATCAAGAAGCTCGCGCACTTCCCCATTCGACTGCTCCTGTATTAATCTGGAACGATTCATCAGCGCAATAGAACTTCTAAAAGACTTGGTAAATGGAAGCGTTGGTTTGCCGTAGTCTTTGTCAATCTTCCACTGATGCCAGCCAACACTAGCCATCCTATTCTGGAGTAGTCTCATGCCCAGAATACTTCCATCGGTAGGCTCACCCAACCAGACCAAGACGTTTTGCGCTTGTCCGTAAATCTTTTGCATAAGGGGAACTTGTGTATTTTTCTCGTCCACGTCGGTCTGATTGATGCATATTGCGTCGATCCAGAGGACTCGCTTTTTCTTCTTCCACCGCAACCTGCGGAGTGCGGCAGCGGCATTGTCTCCGACTAGAAAATCGTGATTACTGAGCGAGATGTTAGAGCCGTTCCCGGGATCGCCCCAGGTGTATGATAGAGCCTCATAGGCGGGGTTGGAAGACAGAATAGCTGGCTCAAGGAAGCATTGTATAGGAGCGTCGTGTTCCGATGCGGGATGAAGTATCAACAACCTGATCTGACCATCGGATGATCGAAGAGGCTGGTAGGGCGTGGAGTTCATCTTGCTTGCTGAAAAAGCTTGAATTGGCAAGCTATTATGAGCTACAAGTGTCATATTATCGTTCATTTAAGTTCGAAACAGCTGGAGCCTGATTCCTTATCAGGGGGTTGAAATCCAGACCGAAGCGCTGTGGCGTTATGCAGTTCGCTAATGGTGGTACTTGATTGGTGCTGGTCCACTATACCTTGTTCCCAGCACGAATCAGCTGGTATAGCTCAGTCTGCAGCCTTATTCTTATCATGTGCCTATGGAATGGCACAAAGAAAGCCTCATTCAAACCATTGGAGCACTTCTGGCGATTCTCTTCTAGAAAGGCTGGGTTGAGGCACATGTTTCTAATCTTGAACGCAAGATACGCTAATCAGTTCACAATTATCCCGCCAGCTCAGCTCTCGCTGGATTAACAGGCAACTCGGACTTTCCCGTATCCTGCATCTCCGAAGCTTCTATACTATGCACCTGTTTAACACCTGTGGACGGCTTACCGTCTCCATCGAGCTCAGCCTTCTGATACCCAGATTCGGTAGTATGAGGGACTGCACCAGGAGGTCTCTTTGCCTTCTTGCCAATCAAAAACCCAGCACCGAGACCGAGAAGGATAAGACCAGCTACACCGACCCCCGCGCCAATACCTGCCTTTGCACCCGTCGAGAGTCCACCATTACTTCCCGAGGGTGAGCCCTCGCTACTTCCACTGGAAGAACTGCCGCCTTGCTTCGAACCCTGGTCTTCAAGATCTGCCTCGTCGGTTGGCGTGCTCGGTTTCCGTTCGGTTGCAGGCTTGGTATGGTTACCAACGCACTTGTAAGATCCTTGGACAATGGTATTAAGGAAGTGTTCATCGAACCAAGAACAATCCATAGTCTTGTCGCCTGCGAGATAGAAATCTCCTGTAATGACCTCAAGACCAAAGAACTCGACGTTGGTGAAAGGTCCGGTCATGTTGATGTTATCTGCCTTCTTGAGCAGATTGGCGGTAAAGTTGAGAAGGCGGGGGTTGTCGTGAACTTGCAAGTCCTTCACATAGTTCAACCTCGGTACTGAAAGATCATTCAGTGCAATGTTCTCATCGATCCCAAGCGTGCAGTTCGCCGTTTTGAGACTCGGAAGACTAAGCTCTGAAAAGAAGTTGGAAGTGAAATTGAGCTTGCCCTTGAACCAATCGACATTATCGCCGTGAACTTCCGTCAGCAATGGTAGGCTGGCGTTGACAAGATCCCTAAAGATACCGCCAGCGTCGCCTCCGCTGGTATGGGTAGCAGAGTCACTGCGGCCTCCGAGCTTCTTGAGGTTCGGTACCGATAGATGTGTATCTCTTCCGTTCTCCTTGACGCGTAAGAGTCCGACTTCAGAGAGAGACAAAGAAATGTAGTCCAGGTCCGGGTTACTCTTGATGTCGACCGTGTAATTCACAAACTTGAGATCATCCAGTTCGACACGCTTTAGTCCACTATTTCCGAAGATCATGATCTCGCGTTCGACCTTCTCCGCCGAGGAGGTGAAAAGGGCTCCCCCAGTGGCTTGAAAGTCGACACCTGAAACGCCAATAGTATAAGTATAAGAAACGTTCAAGTACAAATTGCCCGCGGCAGACTGGCTAGCTCCAGAACTGATCTGAAACCCTTTCGGTATGCTAAGCTTTGGATCCGTATTAATTGATATGTCGCCCCATCCCCAATACGCACCCAACCCGTCGATCGTTCGAAGAGCAGGGAGCGTTATGTTCAGATCTCCAGGTGTCTTAGTAATCTTGCCACTAGCGCCGTACATCAGTAGGTCGCCAGTGACGTTCTTGAGGGTCGAGCTGTAGAACGTAACGTAGTCGTCTGGGAAGTCGTTGTTGTACGTGATATCGCCGATGAGAGTTTCGACGCCAGTCATGTTGATGGTCTTGGTAATATTGATGAGTTGGAGATCGCCGGTATACGTTGGACATGATGCTGCTAGGCTCGATATCTGGGTCGCCTCGGTGATTGTCGAAGTCTCCTCGTTGGAACAGGCTGGGAATAATTAGGGATGTGCGACGCTCCAGAACACGCAATGACATACCAGCAATGACGTTATCAATATGCCCCGATAGGCATAATGCCAGCCCGAGACGGACCGCAAATTTTAGACGGATCATGTCTTCCTCTTCGCTGTTGCAGATGCGATGAGAGAGTGGGAACGAGGGATGGGTGCGCAATGGGGGGAATGGGTCTTAAGACATGCCCAGTCTAGGGGAGAAAAGAAAACTCAGGACCTTAACTCTACATGATAAAAATACTTAGGTAAATCTAGCCTAAACTTAGAAGACTCTGTGCTAAGCTTATTTTGACATCCTATAGTAGGGTCCGGTGTTTTCTTGCCCCTTGAGGCCAGTGCCTTCGCTTCAATCAGCCTTGAATGGTTTCAATTAAGCTTAAACAAGACTGTGGCGTTGACTAACTTTAGTCCGTGTGACTCGGTAGCCCAGGGTGCATCAGACAGAAGCAAAAACACTGGCCGTCAAAGAAGCCTGAGTGGACGCTTACCGCAAGTCGCATCTGTTGCAAAAGGTCAACGTCGATAGACTATAGGATAAAACCCATTGTCCGACTTTATTTTGTTCATTGACACAATTATCTCTTGCTGTCCTGTTAAAATATGCAGAGAGCAAATATTTGTGACTGCGGCTGTCTTGGCATTGCACCCCTGTTCAATGAGGCTTTTTGCGATAGCTTCCATTCGATCAGCGTTTTCAGCTCGGACAACGTGGCTGGCTGTAAGATTAAAATGCCTCCCACCGTCAGTCTGACTGGTCCGTAGCAGAGGAAGCAATAAATAACACCAAAAAAAATCAAATACCATGTTTCTCATCCCTCTCGACTACACAAGTGTAATAACAGGAAACTCATCTCTCGCTTCGAGATCCAGTGGCCGTCCCAAAGCCTTTTCGTCAATGAACCCAAAACCCAGCCTCTCGTAATCCTCTCCCCCATCGACCCTCTTTACCATCACAGCATGATAAGAAGTCTCCTCATCCATTTCTTTAACCTTCAGCAAGATGAGCGCAAAGAATTCTTTCCCCTCTAAACTCTTGACTATCTTCAGTGCCTCCTGCGGTGCATCATCAGCAGTAAAGTTAAAGTCGAACCGCGAATGCGTCTCATCATGTGCTGTACGGATCGGAGGGTTGTTATCATACGCAAGCCCAGGCTTCGTAGGATCCCAGTCTTTGACGTCGAGGTATAATCGCTCCATCGGCGCCTGGATCTGCAGCCTTCCACTTGTAACCTCGCCGTAGATATTCGTGCCCTTGAGATCAATCTTGACATCTAAGACTCTCGCAACTTCCTCGTAAGGTGCACTTACCCCGAGGCCAGGAATTCCGTCCATAGATGCCCACGACCAGGAGGGTGCTCTATACTCTGAGACGCGTCTGCAACTGAGGCCTTGCCAGAGCAGCCCTTCCAACAGTCTTGATCGCCAGAGTCCAACGACATACTCGTCGTTAAGGCGTTTGGCAAAGATATTCGCGAGACCAGAGATGGCAGGGAGTTTATCCGACGCCTCTGTCAGTTTTCGAGGGCCGTATATCCGGAGCAGACTGTACCATGACTGATACAGTATTGCTTTAGGATCATCTTGTTCCTCTTTATCCTCAGCCTCTTTTCGTTCTTCCCGTCCGTCTGGCATATCATGCACATTCACGAATCTCCAATCGAGAACCGTGCCATCCTCCCCTCGAAATCCCTCACTGCACTCAAAAAACATCTGCTGCTTTGTATAGAGCAAGGTTCGACACGGCAGCACTCGTTCTTGAAGAGCCCAGCCCCGGTCAGAGAGTGGATCATTTCGTAGACTCACATAAGGACTAGCACCAGATTCTCTATCGATCGGAAGATTGAACGCCATGACCTGTCCACTGAGCTGTCCGGATTTATACTCAAACGTCTTGTATTCCCTTGGATCTGTCATGCTGAAGAGTCCTTCCGAGTGATCCTTTGCCTTTGAGGCGGCGATGGTCAAGTAAGAGTTTGCATATATTGAAAGCATCTTTGCTGATTCTCGCTCCCAGTCCTCGTAGTCGCCTTGACAGATGCAGATGCTGTCTATCCATATATATCTCACACCTAGTTCTCGCGCTAGTTGAATGACATCTTGGTGCGTTTTTGATAGATCAGAGATATTGATTTGACGTTTGCGTTCTTCGAGGGTTGCTTTAGTGGTAGTGAATTGGGGCTCTTTGCCCCAACAGTAGCTGCGAGATGTCAGTGAAGGCCTCTTTTGGACGTAATCTTAGGAGATACCTGAGAGATATGTATCTTCCACGTTCCTGTCCGTCCGTTTCCCGGAGCTTTGCATATGAGCTGTTGATATCGTCACCAACGTCAACGACTCGACACGGTAACAGCGTCTCTCCAGGGCTGCATTTAGGATGCTCGTCACACTCCTTTACCCAGTTATGAGCTCTTGATATCGCCTTCGAAGTTCCCCCATACTGCTCAACGGGTCGTCCGCGAATGACCTGGGCGAAAGGATCACCTAACAACGTCAGTATCGCTACTTCTAGACAGAATTATCGAAGCTTACTATCGTCTACACAGAGTCCAATGGCCGCTACAAGCCGTACAGTCTCTTTTCTCTCGTCATCTGTCGTACTCATAACCCAAAACCCATCACCTCCTCCAACTAGCCTCTTGACAATCCACATCTCCCATAGCGGCCAACCGTACTTTCTTATCGTCCCCGCTTCCCACTTGGGCTTAAGCTCTTCGAGTTCTGCCTGGCATGATTTGACCTGAGTAAGTATCAAGTAGCAAATATCGCAGCCTTCATTGTTCGCAGCATTTCGTAGAGCTTCCAGACTCGGATGATGTAGATAGCCTCGGCTGTCTTCGGGCCAATCGTGACAGTCATGGAGATACGGATATCCGCTGACGTTAAGCCATGACTCGGGCGGGGCTATGGGAAGGTTTTCCCACGGGATTGCTCTGCAAAGATCGCACAGAGTCATTTTGTTGTACTCTAGAAGTTGTGACCTATGATTGGAGGAAGCAGCAGCGTGAAGTTCATCGAATGTCAGAAGGGACATAAGCACATGCCTGAGGCACCAACTGATAATCCCTGCTTCCCTGAGGTAGTTATCCGGACAAGTTATCCGGACAATTTAGCAACTGTATGTTCCTACTTCAAAACATACAAGATCTTTAGTTGCTGGATCTCAGAACAAGTATCATTGTATTATTCTTGCCAGCAGTGAGTCACCAAAGTTTCATCTGGTTTCTCGTATAGTCAAGCTGTACTGCCAAATTCCTAAAATAGCTCAAACAGGGTTTCCGCAGTGTTTTGAGATGACAAGGTAATGAGCATAGCGTTATAGTTGATTGAGATCCCACTTCTAGATTTATCAAACTTCATATGGAGTATATCTTATCATTTTTGTGCTCTCTACCCCATTCTTGACAAAAGAGTGCTACTGAATTTGGTCAGTGGAACCCCCACTTCTAGGTCATAACAGACAATTCCAAAAAGACAAACATATAAAAGAACAGATTACCTATGGAGAAGTTATTGCCTTGTACTTGACAAGTTTTTCCTTGTAAGAGTTTCTCTATCAACCAGGAAGCCTCAACGTTGTCTGCAACCAAAATCAGCATCCAACAGTGAACTACCCTACATATATATCTATGTCGTGAAGACTAACTGACATTTCCCAGTGTTTACATCTGAGACAGAAGCAATCACTTCTGTTCTACACGCCTACGGAACCGCACTGGAAGACCGAAATGTCAAAGAAACAGTCGGACTCTACACTAGGGATGGCGTAATAATGCCTCCCCACTTCAGCGCCAGCGCAGGAACGCGAGCTCTCACTGAGACTTATGAGCGAATTTTCAGTAGCATCCAACTCACCATCACCTTTGACATTGATGAGATTGTTTTGATGTCGCCGGAATGGGCTTTCGCAAGAACAACAGCAGAGGGCACAAAAACTATGCTGCAGACTCAGGCTTCAGAACCTCATTCCAACCAAGAACTGTTCATCTTGAAGAAGGAGGAGGGAAGCTGGAAAATCGCGCGATATGCTTTCTCTACAATGAAACCGCTTGTACAGGATGGAATTCGACGTAGCTAAACAGGCAGTCCTTAATACAAATGTTATCGCCGTCTGATCCTTGCCACAAATGTTTCCGATAAACACAATTCTCAGAGATTATCTCCAGAAATTCAAGGCTTGTGAGGCCCCGCAGCTGATCCCCCTATCCCATCCCGTTTCATCCCATTCTTGGCAGTCTCGGACTCATCCGCGTATTCATCCCTGCATCACATCCCCAATGCTCAAAAGCCGGGAAATTTTAAGTTGACCGATACCAAAAAAATCCTAAAAATAATTACGAGATGTAACAATAGGCGTATTTTCTTGCGTCATTTACCGGCGGTGAATCATCAGTCAGCCCACGCCCTGAACTCTCAACTGCCGGCCGAGCGTGCCCAATTCGGACCGGACTGAGTAGCTCCGCTGAACAATTCTTCCGTGGAGCGCTTACACTATGGAATAATATTCCCCGAAGCTTTTGGTCCGCCTTGTTTCAGCGCCCGCTGAAACTATTAAGGACCTACTGTACTTACACCGAATGCCGAGGAAGCCGTAAGTATAAGATCACCGCAATGTCTGTTTGTTTCAAGCACGATGATCTTTATCATTACTCATAAACTCTATCGACAATGTGGAAACTCCTTGTCAGCGGCTTTGTCGCCGTCGCGTCGTTCAGCGGCGTGAACGCTGCTTATCCTAACCCTGGTCCCGTCACTGGCGACACTCGTGTTCACGATCCTACGGTTGTCAAGACTCCCAGCGGTGGATACCTGTTGGCTCATACGGGAGATAACGTTTCGCTCAAGACATCTTCTGACCGAACGGCTTGGAAGGATGCAGGTGCTGTTTTCCCCAATGGTGCGCCTTGGACTACACAGTATACCAAGGGCGACAAGAACCTCTGGGCCCCTGACATTTCCTACCACAATGGCCAGTACTATCTGTACTACTCCGCCTCTTCCTTCGGTGAGCGCACTTCTGCCATTTTCCTCGCTACCAGCAAGACCGGCGCCTCCGGCTCATGGACCAACCAAGGTCTCGTCATCGAGTCCAACAATAACAACGACTACAACGCCATCGACGGTAATCTCTTCGTCGACTCTGACGGAAAATGGTGGCTCTCCTTCGGCTCCTTCTGGTCCGGCATCAAGCTCATCCAACTCGACCCCAAGACCGGCAAGCGCATCGGATCAAGCATGTATTCCCTCGCCAAGCGCGACGCCTCCGTCGAAGGTGCCGTCGAGGCTCCCTTCATCACCAAGCGCGGAAGCACTTACTACCTCTGGGTGTCGTTCGACAAGTGCTGCCAGGGTGCTGCTAGCACGTACCGTGTCATGGTTGGACGGTCGAGCAGCATTACCGGTCCTTATGTTGACAAGGCTGGCAAGCAGATGACGTCTGGTGGAGGAACGGAGATTATGGCTAGTCATGGGTCTATTCATGGACCGGGACACAATGCTGTTTTCACTGATAGTGATGCTGATGTTCTTGTTTATCATTACTACAATAACGCTGGCACGGCGCTTTTGGGTATCAACTTGCTCAAGTATGACAATGGCTGGCCTGTTGCTTACTAGAGAACTGGATTGGAGATGGTTGACCTGTTGGGGCGATGAGCTGGATCTATTGTCTGTACATGAATTGCATCTGTAAATACTTCAACTTCTATATATAACGCATGACTGTCTGCCGCGATTAACATATGTATCCGCATGAACGAAACGTCTATTATAATAGTGTATGTACCCTTGTATCAATCATGGTGAGCATACGATGACGCACCAGTCGCATTGGGATACAGATGTCATGGCTCTATGTATGTATGCCATAAGCGGCCCTCTAGCAAGGTCCTAAACCCTTCACTGGAGTCCCATTCGATACTAGGGATGAACAGGAACCAAGCCGAGGGATCGTCCCACCGCGTGACCAAAACGTGGTTAGTCGCCCCACGATCTCGGCAGGTAGCATTGGCAGTTTACACGTTTCCAGCTAATTTACCCAATGACTCGAGCGCTTAAGCACCCCGCAACGCCGATCCCCCAGAGTCGATGCGGGGGGAAAATCTTGACTTTGCGCACGAATAGAATTACAGGAAAGATTCGTTTACCCCGTGGAGAGGTTGTTCGGTCCGTGACGGGCCGGAGAACTGGTGATAGAGAGATTTCAGGGAATGGTGTCGCTTCGCGATCTTCGTGATTCCTATATAAACCGTGTAAGTCGCCGTTCGTCTCTACGGAATGAATAGCAAAACCAACCTTGCGAACTGTCTTCATATATCCCATCATGCGTCTTCTATCATTCCCAAGCCATCTCCTCGTGGCTTTTCTCACCCTTAAAGAGGCTTCATCCCTTGCCCTCACAAAACGCGACAGCCCCGTCCTTCCTGGTCTCTGGGCGGACCCCAACATCGCCATCGTCGACAAGACATACTACATATTCCCTACCACCGACGGCTTTCAAGGCTGGGGCGGCAACGTCTTCTACTGGTGGAAATCACCAGATCTCGTATCATGGACAAAGAGCGAGAAGCCATTTCTTACCCTCAATGGTACCCATGGTAATGTTCCTTGGGCTACTGGCAATGCCTGGGCTCCGGCTTTCGCAGCGCGTGGGGGCAAGTATTATTTCTATCACAGTGGAAATAACCCCTCTGTGAGTGATGGGCATAAGAGTATTGGTGCAGCAGTGGCAAATCACCCCGAGGGGCCGTGGAAAGCGCAGGATAAGCCTATGATTAAGGGAACTTCCGATGAGGAGATTGTCAGCAACCAGGCTATTGATCCCGCTGCTTTCGAAGACCCCGAAACTGGAAAGTGGTATATCTACTGGGGAAATGGCGTGCCTATTGTCGCAGAGCTAAACGACGACATGGTCTCTCTCAAAGCAGGCTGGCACAAAATCACAGGACTCCAGAATTTTCGCGAAGGTCTTTTCGTCAACTATCGCAAAGGAACATATCACCTGACATACTCCATCGACGATACTGGCTCAGAGAATTATCGCGTTGGGTACGCTACAGCAGATAACCCCATTGGACCTTGGACATACCGTGGTGTTCTTCTAGAGAAGGATGAGTCGCAGGGCATTCTTGCTACGGGACATAACTCCATCATCAACATTCCTGGAACGGATGAGTGGTATATCGCGTACCATCGATTCCATATTCCAGATGGAAATGGCTACAATAGGGAGACTACGATTGATAAGGTACCCATTGATAAGGACACAGGATTGTTTGGAAAGGTTACGCCAACTTTGCAGAGTGTTGATCCTAGGCCTTTGTAGATCGGATAGCTGATAATTTAATGAGTTGCATGTTATAGTGTTTCGGTCAACCTTGATACTACTTATTCTATCATACTCTGTAAATCCAGTTGCGTTTACAAGAATGGTTTGACAACAGTGTGAGCCTTGACTTTGCGTACACTATTTGTATATCTTTCCTTCTTTGAAGACTTATTGACACTCTGACACTCGTATATTATGCATATATATTTAGGGAACTTTGCTCAGCAAACAATAATGAGACCTGTTAGTCAAGGTATGCCTCGACGAGACCCATCGTGCTTGTGCTATTCCTATGAACCTTGACGACCTTGAACCTGGAATCTGCTTCTTTGAGCAGCTTCTCGAAATCACCCCTAGTCCGTTCCTTCGACCCAGCAACCACAAACATACACATATCGCACTGTCGCGATAGATGTTCCTGATACTTTGAAACCTCATTCAGCTCTGGCAAAACTTCCTCGTTGATCAGAAGAGGAGTACCAGGTTTGCATTTCTCAAGTGCGGGGACAAGACCTCGAAGGATCTTGATGCAGTCTTCATCCCGCCAGTTATGAAGACACTGACGCATGAAGAAGGCGTTGGCGTCGGTGATTGGCTGATCTTTGAAGAAATCATGCAGCATGAACGACACCCTGTCTGCAATCTCAGCTGGCAACTTTGCTTTCCCGTCATCAAGAGCTTCAGGGCTAACATCTTGAACGACAAAGCTCAGATTGGGGAATACGGCTGCAAGGTCCATGGAAACATGTCCACTTGCACCGCCAACATCAACTACCTTTCCAGGAGCTTCAAGCTTATCCCAATGGAAACCATCCCGAAGCGCAGTGACTGAGCGGTCCGATTGAGTCAGCGCAGCCATAGCCTTTGCAAAGTTGAGGCCCTTCTCAGGCACATCGGCGTAGAACTGATACGGCGGCTTGCCGTGACGCGTGGCGAATGGTGAATCAGCTTCTTTGGAGCCATTGAGATCATTTTGGACGAATTTGGCAGCGTCAGAAGCTGCTTTGAACATTTCGTCGAACTGCATCCAGAGAATGGCTTCCATGTCACTGTCCCGTGCGATGAGAGCAGAGCTAGCGGTGTGAGTGAATACATCTGGCTCGACTTCCTCAAAGACGCGTTGAGTTGCAAGATGCTTGATCACCCTACGACATCGACCTTCATCAATACCGGCCTTGGAAGCTAGGTCGGCAATACTGACTTTGCTGCCGAGAGGGACATGTCTGAAAAGTTTGAAATGAAGAGCAACTTGATATGCTGCGAGAGTGTAGTGGCTCATGTAAAAGGAGCGGTATTCATTGGCTGGGCCGTTGACAAGACGCAGAAGGTCTTGCGCTGCATCGTTGAGCTGAATCCTGGTGGAGTGAATATCGGCATCACCCTGGATCGCGTTGCTGTTCTGATCAAAGGTCGGTTCCTGCTGCTTGGTCTCTTGTAGGTGTTTCACGATAGTCTCCGTGGCTTGATGCACAGTCTGTGCCAATTGCAACAGGTTGGACTGGTTTGTTGTAGCCATCTTTTCATACAAAGCTTAAGATACTGAATGCTTTCTATGAATGAAGTTGGAGATGGAATTGAATTGTGCAAAATCCGATATATTCTCCTTCTTGCCAAGACTACCATAGCTATATATACCTGTTCTTCAACCCAGTTCCCTCATTCCTCATTATCCTTCTTACATATTATGTCGCCAACATCTGACGTCGGGGCTTTATTCACGGGGTGATAAGAATATACCGAACTTGCATACCGGCAACCATTTACATCAATCCATGCAGCCGCAATCACCATGTTTGCTACACAACATCTCTAGTTTTCGGGTCCCGAATAAGCGGAAAGTCCCGTCACCCAATGGCATTCACTCACACCCGTCTCAGCGCCATGATGATCAATCTCACTGCGCATGACATCTACCATTCGATTGGCTGACACGCAATCGGCTTATCGAAAATCGGCGGTAGCTCAGCCGCAGTGACACTCGTGCTCGCGAACATCGCGCTCTTGTCAAACGCGAGAAACCCTGTACCCTCGTAGCACCCAACATACTCGGCGTCGATCTCGTCGCCCTTTATGATGCCGAGATCGACCCAGAGGAGGATGTCGCCGTCTTGCATCACGCCGCCGGGGCCGTATGCTGACATGAAGTTACGTCGCAGCTTGACGTGGCCTTTGTCCCATCGGCCCATGTGCTCCATCTTGGAGAGGTCGGTCCAGTACAGGATCTGGGCTTGGCGTATGTAGTCAAGGCCTGGGAATATACCGCCATTGAGCGTGCCATTGGTGCCATTGGTTGTACCGTTTGACGAGCCATTGGTTTTACCATTGGTAGTGCCGTTTGTTGCTCCAAGTGACTTCTCTCCCGCAAATGCGTGGCATGCCCTCGCTGACACCATTCCCTTCTCCATACCTGCTGTCACAACATTGGTGACCCATTGCTTAGTAAGTCCATCAAAATTCTCATCCCAGTACTCGCGCTCCTTTTCCTTCATAGCACTGTAGTCTTGTCCCTCGATCACAATGCAGAGATTGTCCGGGAACTTGGTAACCTGGGCTCTTACACGACGGATCTTATCGGTCATAGGCTTTGGAGGCTGCCAAGCGTCCGAAGAGGAACTGAAGGTGTCACCTTCAAAATCAGGGGTCATACGAGAACGATATGCTCCCCAATACCCCGTCTTCTCAGTCAGAGGCACAAGTTCTCCGCAATGACCAAAACCAACTGGATTTTTGCCTGTGCACTCATGCATAGCTCTAGTCGCAGGGAGGCAAACCGACTCCCTCCAGAAGCCAGCATCATCTGGGAGCGATCCCCAGAAGCTTTTCGTAGCATCACTCTCCCACCATAGCTTGAAGGTTTGAGGTGAGGTCCAATAAGTCATCCAAACTCTGGATGGGATATTGTTTTGTTCTAAACGCTCGACTGGGACACCAGCATCTTTAATGAGATCGTCGAACTTTTCGATAAGTTCGAGCTTTTCGTTGCTTGGCGTGTCGGCATGGTATTGACATCCGAAGGTGCCCAGGGTAAAGTGGTGAGCGGAGGAGAAACGTGGGCGAAGCATGGTTGAACAATTGAATAAAGGTAAATCTATTCAACCAAGAGGACACTAGGTATTAGCGAGTTTATATGTTAGGAATGCCATGTCAGTGATTCGCTGCAATGGCGACTATTGTCAATGCAATTCATGCTTGAACAGTCCGGATAACAGAATTCCAGATCTTCCCCAGACCATGGTTCTGGAAATTAAATACCCCAATGCAGATCATCTTGGTACACCATCGTGGGGAAGCCGTTGGATACTTGATATCCGGATACGATATCGGGCGCTAAAATAGTTCGAGGGGTAGCTCCCTCACCAAGGGTCAGGGTCAGATAAATAGGGTCGTGGCAGCGATAATGAATCACGGGAATTCAATCGATTCGCCGGCATTCACTGCTTCTCGATTGCATCGTGAATCTTGAAAAGTATCAGACCTCAATTGGAGCATGAGTTATGCATGAATACTTCTTGCTGTAGCATCATGAGTCCTGAAAATGTAGTCATAAGACTCTCGCAGATCACTGTCTTGGGGAAAGCCTGCCGCCGTTCGGCAATCTCCATTTCTTGTGACTTCTGGACGAGTCTATCATATGCCTGCACGTTCATCTTCTATTTTGTATTATTATGTACCCGACTTATCTACTCGCCCTTGCCAAGCAGCACCAGATTAGCGACATTCATAATCGCAATAATCAGCCATATTACAACTGCGGTAGCCGTAGTATACCATGCATTTCGCATCTTCACATCCTCCCCGTCATTCCTTTGTCCTACCATCAACGTCGGTTGTCCTTCGACTTGCAGTCGTGCAGGACCAGATCTAGCGGTCATGAACTTATTCCTGCTCGTGAAGTAAATGAGAGGCGCTGTGACAAAGGGAAGAACGATACTCAACGCCACCTGCGAGCCATTGAGGGCAGCATTCAGACCGGACCGGCCTACTGCGCCAGCGATGATGATACTTGGTGTGATACTGATGCTTCTTGTCATCAATCGTCGTAGCCAGGGACGCATCTTGACGTTTAGAGCACCCTCGCTGACCATCTGGCCGGCGATAGTGCAGACAATACCTGCCGTGATGCCAGATAACAGCAGGGCCAGTGCAAACAAGATTCCCGCTGCAGGGGAGATTGACGATGCAAGGAGATCGTGTATGCTAAAAATATCGGCGTCAACGGCGTCTGGGTTCTTGTATAAACTCGCACCGGCAACGATTAGAATAGCTGAATTAACAAAGAGTGCAAACGTAAACAGGGCGATGGCGAGTTCGGCGATGGAAGTCCTAAGTGAGGATTGTATAGCTTCGAGCGATGGGATGTAGTAGGTCTTTTCCGAGACTTGGTTACCAGATGTACTGCTTGGGGATGGGCGGGGAGGCACTAGCCCTCGTTTGACATCATACTCGCGTAGACGAGGCTGGACAATGCCTGAGCCTAGGTAAAGGCTATGTGGCATGACTGTCGCGCCTAGGATACCGCATGCCTGATATAATCTAAAATGGTCAGAATACCTTTGTTACATAACGTATGTTGGAGGACCTACCCTTGTTGCTCAACGATACTTTTCGATGGCAAATAGCCTTTAAAGACTTCGCCAACTGAAGTGTTTTGTATCAACGACAACTGAATACAGAAGCATATCACAACTCCCATAACCAGGAACAGAATGAAGTACTCAAATATCCTCAAACCTTGCATGGACTTATCAGGGTTGTAGAAGAGCAGAATCACCATTACATCTGCGATGGAGATGGCACATCCTGCAACAAGAGGGATTTTTGGAAAGAGAAGATTCAAAGCGATTGCGAAGCCGATGACCTGGGGTCCTGGCATTAGTAAATATGACCAGAGGAGTATTCTAAAGCCGGCATACCTCGGCGATATCGGTCGCGATGATGGCGATTTCAGCAAATATGTACAGTATGATGTTAAGCCACCGCGGCAGAAATGCTCGACAGGCTTCGGCTAGGTTAAGTCCACTGACAGTGCCGAGCTTGATAGCGAGACTTTGGAGAAAGATTGCAAAGAGGTTGGACAACAAGACAATAAAGAGCAACTTGAAGCGGTAAGAGGCCCCGGCGGCGATGTCTGTTGAGTAGTTTCCAGGATCAACTAGCAGAGCCTTTGTAAGCCATGAACATACAATGAAGATGGGTATGTAGTAAGCAAGACCTACTATAAGCGACAGCTATTATGAAGCCTGGGCCGATAAAAGATAAGAATTTGATCAACGCCTTCTTGCATCGTTGAAGGCGCGAGAGGCAAGCGCCAGAATCTCTTCTGGGCGACGTTGAGCATTGCGGCTCTGTAGGCAATATCGCCGTGTTATTTACTTGGGTTTGCCCATCTTCGGCGTCCTGCTCACCCTGGTTGGCTGAGGACATGATGGTGGCCTTGGCGGTCTTGGTATTGGGCCAGGATCGGTTTTCTCAGGAGTGAAAAAATAAATGGAAACACGCTATACCAGAATGAGATCACGTGTCGTCGTGAGACAACGCGACTTTGGTGATGAACCCTGTTAAGAACATGGAAGGGCTTGAAGCATGGCTGTGATGAGGAGTAATGCTGTATTCATGATTGAGGTTAGAAACTGTTTTGATTGTATAGAATCATCGTGAAATCCAATGTATCTTCGTTCACCGTAAACAGATTCACCTTTGAAGCCAACTTGTCAAGAATGACAGACTCATCCTCGTCAACTGCAAAATTATCATCCATTTTATTGTTAAGGTTTAAGAAGAGCATTTAGTTACACAGGCATTATCTTATCACCTGGTAAAAAGAGCGGCAGAGATCCAATGGGTGATAGATTGGAGAGAAGGCGGAAAGGATAATTCCACTTCCGAATCACCCACGACTTCGGAGCGAGTCGGCTAAGCGGAAACGGTTCACTGTATCCGAACAGTGCGGATAGCACGCGCCGTTAGAAGCCAACGAACAACTACGCGGGGTATTGCGAGAGCTCGATTGTTAAATTAGCCGATTCTCTTTAAGTTCTTGAATACCTCTGTACCTGCTTCTGAATCATTAAAGAGACTTAAAAATACATTCGCGCCCTGAAATTGGCCTTGGTCGAAAACATGACGTCACAGCTCTGGTCCTCAACTCTATGGGTCGATTCTGGCAATACATGGCATAAACGCCGTGTTCCATACAAACAAGATGCAACATACCTTCACACCCTCGACATTTGGCAACCAAAATCTCTCGGAGGGTCTTCACTTCCGACAGCAGACGTGCTGCCTCACGGCAAAGGCCCTTGGGTCGTCTATATCCACGGCGGTGCATGGCGAGATCCACTCGTTGACTCCTCGTCCTTCGAAGCTACTGCCCTCAAACTTCTGAGCGACAAGGACACACCTATCGCAGGCGTTGCATCAATCAATTATCCTCTTTCAGGCCATCCAAATCATCCTACGCACCCCGCGCCACCTCGCGATGCTTCGGAGCCTGTTGATGTTGCTCGACAAGCGAAACATCCTGACCACATAATCGCTCTACTCACGGCCATCTCATTTCTGCAAATGATCTTGGGGTAGCTCATGATTATGTCCTGTCAGGCCACAGCTGCGGTGCTACCATGACGTTTCAGACATTGATGAACCCCGATCACTGGTTAGGTACTGCAAGGGGAATTTCGGTCCCGAAGGTGAAGAAGCCAAGGGTCATAGCTCCTCTGAACGGTCTCTACGATCTCGCTGCCTTTATCAACAACCCACCAGAATCTCACAAACAACTCCAGCCGCTGTATACTGACTTTACGAAAAATGCATTTGGCAATGACGAGGCGGTATGGAAGGACATCTGTCCTACTAGTGTCATAGACTGGAATACAGAATGGCCTGAGGGCAAGGTCGTCGTCATGGCCCAGAGCAAGGAAGATGGTCTTGTGCCATATGCCCAGACTGAGCTTATGAAGGATCACCTGAGAAATACATCAACGCTTGAGATTGTTGAGATGAAGGCTAGCGGTGATCACAATGATCTATGGAAACGAGCCGATGAGATCGCAGATATCATGAAGTGCGCGGTTGGGTATTTAGCCAAGCTCTGATTCTCCAAGGACTTTGATAAGTACAACTCAATTCAGGCCATTTCAAGTCGAAAGGCAACCAAGTCTGGTTATCAATAGAAAAACTCAATATCCGGCATTTTGCTGCCATCCTTCCACGATCTCATCACCGACTTAACTTCTTCATCCGTAAGCTTGCCTTCCTCTTTCCGGGTGTATCCCCTAACATACGATTTGACTTTCTGCTCCACTGTCCACTTTACCCCCTTCAAAAAATCTTTTCGGCCCAGTCACTTGAGTCTGTGCAGAATGGAAAAGGTGTTTTTAAATAGCGCGTCTCCCTTGCTAAAGTTTCTGGCCATTCCTATTGGCTAGTTGTCTTTGCGAGAACTAGTTGACCCAAATTGCAGGGTAAGTACTGCTTGTTTATTTATTTAGACTTACTTCTTTAATACTAATACTAATTAAAGACTTATTTTATTTAAATATCTAATTTGCCATTACTTTCAGATTTGATGCTTGCTTCTAGTAAGCGTTGACGCAATAACCGCTGCACCAACACCACTTCCAGGTGACAGCATCAACTCCACATCATTTTTGCCAGTAGGTGACAACTTCTCCCAACCAAGGATCTCACCTAAAGCTTTGGACAGCTCTCGTTTGAAATGAGGATGCTTCTCAAACAGAGAGCCCTCAACGCCAACACAACATGCCTTGAGATTCCTCTTCAAGCATATCGCTGCGACGCCTGTTGATGAGAGACGCGCCGCGCGGGTTGTTATTAGCGTCGCGACGCTTTTCATGAACTCGAGCTCTTTTAAGCTTGGAGATACTCCGAGCTTTGCGACAGAGAGGTCATGCGATGTCTTGAAATCTGTCGATGTGTCCCTAGGCCCATGGTTAGTGAGAAAGTTTATGAACGGTAGATTGTTGACATACTCTTCAATCGCCGACAAAAACGACGAATCCATAAAATACGGCTCCTGCATCTTCTCCAAACTCTGCCCCTCCAACAACGCTTCCTCCCTCTTCTTAACATCGAGCATGATCAATCGAAACAGCTCACCAAGATACAGCCCTGCGACCATCTTCTCAAACGCCTGCTGGCCCTTCCTCGGCGACGCATCATCAATCGCAATGTCAAAAGACGTCAACGGTAACACGACATGCTCATTGTCAAAAGCTCCCCATTCACAATTAATCGCCATGAGTGCTTCGGCTGGAAGTGCTTCCATGTCAAGCTTGGGGATGGACTGGCATCTCTCGAAGTAGGCGCCGTTGCAACCCGTGCCGAAAACGCAGCCAATTTCTGTTTCGGAGTTGATGTATGCTGAGGCCATCATCGTGGCGGTCGTATCGTTTGTCACGACTCGGACCTTGAGAGGGAGTTTCTGTCTCACGTCAGTGTTGAGGTCATACCATGAACGCATAATGCATACCCTTTTCGCGATAGCTTGTCTCAACAATGCCGCTACGTTGCGACCTTCACAGTCAGCAACATCAAAACCCTTCGTCCACCTCTGAAGAATCCCTTCATCAATAGTTCGCTGCGTAGTTGGAAACGAAAAGATGAAGCTCAAGTCTGTGCTTGTTCCAGGTTCAAATCAAGCTGTTTTGAGAAATTCCTCGAGATGTCCAGCCACAAAGTCCCAAAGCCTTTCGGCTGGCCCTGTCCTCAGTTCCTTAGGAAGTTTGTGTGTGACTTGGTTGACTTTGAAGCCCGACTTTTCTTCGGGCAGTTCGACGGAGAATACCCTCAGGTTTGTGCCGCCGAGGTCTAGGACGAGGTATTTTCCTGTCTCGTTGCCGGTTGGGTGTTGCATTACCCATGTTGGGTTCATTGGCTGTTTATGATTAGGTACCGCATCAGAATGTCATGGATTCTACACTTACGATGCTGCCGCCCTTGACACTCAACCCTGTATCAATCTTAGATTTAATTCTTCATGTGAATAGCTCTGTTTGTACCTTTATCTAGCTCATCAATAAAGTGTTTGGTGATATGCTTGAGCTTTGCAGTATCCACCGTAAACTCTCTTTCAAGCTCTTGTAGATATGTTTGAAGACTCGCCATTATTACGTCACTGGAAACTTTGAGATAGCAACAACAGTAAAAAGGTCAAACACTGGCAGAAGGCTTCTTATATGCTTATATACTACAATCTGCGCCCGCTAATCAATCGGTCGAAACACTGTTGTCGGGCCAGGGCAATTACAGCTGTCAATTCGCATCCAACAGTGACCTCGTGATGACGCTAGATCCACCTTGGGATTAAAAAACGTTCTGTAACTTGCTTTATCTCGCTCTAGTCTCTTCGTTGTGGTTCCAAAGGCCCGGTCCGATAGCTCCGGCGCAAAGGCTCCGGTTATCATGGTACCCTAGGCCATTAGCTCATGATCTCATCAGGGACAAACCCGTTTTGGGATATCCTTGCTAGTAAACTCACTTCGGCAAAATTCTCATTGGCCTGTCTTGTGAGACTTGGACGGATAAAATGTTATTGATATGGTAATGACTGATCTCATATTCCTGTTTCGACATTCTGACAAAATCATACCCCAATTGAACATAAAAGCATACTGAACTAGACGGTGATCAGTGGGACCTCGACATACAAATCATCGAACCTGTCTCCCAAAAGCTTAGGCAGCTTGCCTAATCCTGACAATGTCTTTCCCCACTACAAGATCTCAAACCAAGAATCGACAAAAGTCTGCTGGACGTCACTGCCTCCATCACCGTCGTCGTTCCACTCTGGTGAAGACCACTTGTTATGCACATCCTTCCACTGGTCGGGTCTATCCTTGGGCTTGCTGGGGGCCCAGGCCGCCTCGGGTGATTCCATCTCTGAAAACGGTTTCTTTGCTTTGAGGACTCTCTCACCTTGCGCAAGGTTGTTGAAGGCCGTGAGAATACCCTCAGACATAATAGTTGGTGGGCCTTGTATGAGGACTCCCATCATAAGCTTTAAGCTACCAGGATTATTGTGGAGCAAATCATATCTTGCTACCCTGACTGCTCTTGGTTGGATCTTGACTCTCATCATCTGTTTCATCTTGTTAGCAAATTATCACTACGAAATGGTGTTGCACCTACACTTGGCCCAAAGATCCGTTGGCACTTGTTTGTACTCTTGTGCCATGCCCCATTTCGCACGGGCGACACTATCTTGAACGATCTCAATCTCCATCTCTGACTTGGTCATGGCTTCTTTGAGGTGCATTGGCCGCGCGTAGATGGGAGGACCTTCAGACGAGATTTAGTTGATGACATTTTCGTTCTCGTCGACTTGCTTCACATCTTGTACTGCCATCTCGCATCCAACGACGAAGGAAAGAAATCCTCCTCGAATGGTCCAATCAGCATTCTGTTTTCGATCGGTAAAAGAACTATTGTTCAGAAGTCCTGAAGTGGCGAGGAACGTATGTCCTTGATTAGGATCTCCAGGCAAAGTATCTTCTTCGTCCTCATCGGCCAGAGCGCTTCGCTCTTCTGCCTGTTGACTGCTACCCAATGTCCACTCTGAGGAGTGCAGCGGCTGGGCCAGTGGAAGAACTTCGCAGCCTAAAGTTTATATCTTTGGTAGATGCTATGTCGTACTTACAGTATATGTAGAAAGGGATATGTTTCTCCGCAATTCCCAAAATGCATTCCTGTCCATTTGTTTTTGTTCAGGGTCGGCGACTTCTTAAAATCCCAATCTATGTCGTCTATCCGTTTCGTGTGGTTCTTATTCCAGTTGCATAGAAGGTCAAATGGAGCTTTTTGGAGTGTTTCCTTCCATACCCCTACCTCCGACTTATTACTCCAATTAACATTATGTCCCGCGATACAGGATCCTAAAGCGAAGTAGGCAACGCCATTATCTTCAACCCACGTGCATTGGAAAACGGTAGGCACAAGACCAACACCGATTTGCTCGTCTACCATTGCAGTGAAGGCTGGATCTTTTGGGGGCTTTGGAGCGTCTGGTGTCTTCCTGTCACCTCTAATCTTAGCACACCATCGACCATAGACTGCTGTTAGCGGAAGGAAGAAATTGTCTTTCTTAGCACCCCCCAAATCAGTTTTCAAAAGCGATAGAATGAAACCAAGAAGATCATAGTTATTCCAGTAAGATACTCTATTATTAGCCGTAAGCCTTGGAATTTCCGCAGCATCTGGAGTGATGTGTTTCCAGGTGCTGTTAAGGTGGAAAATGAATTCAGAAATTTTGTCTTTTGATGCATTTTTATCCTCCCACTCCTTAGTTGGCGTGCGGTAGATATGCTGTGCCGGATTGTACTTAGTGTTCAGCTTCAAGGTCTTTAGGTTGATAGGCTTAAAGTTGTGCTCTATCACCCAATCTGTTGGAACCTTCCTGTCTAACGGGCTACATACTTTTATTAGCCCAAAGTCTTATATCTTTGGAGGATAGGAACTAACCATAACGAAAGGAATTGCCTGTAGGTAGAGATTAATGTTTCCTTAGTGGTTTCGTTTGGGTGTGTCGTACAGGCGTCGGATAAAAAGTCAAATATCTGTGTTGACATGTCAGTGGGACTTTTGAATGCGCTGCTTTGAAGCACAGACCTTTCCCAATTGTACATTTCAATCAGGCTATGATTACAGAAGATGAGGTATGTCGGATGCGAGTCAATGGCTATCTTGAAGATAATCGGTGGTAAGAATAAGAAGTTCGCTTTCCAATTGACGGAAAGAGCCGTGTAAATAGTAAAAAGATTAACGTTGTAATAGACTACCTTGATAACACAAGCACTAACTAACATCTTTCTCTCGCAAACTGGCATTAACCTTATGTACCAACCTAGCCATACCATTTTCAGCTTAGTCACTGACATGTGACATCACCCTCCCGAGCCATGTATATAAATGTACCTCGATTAGCTCCCATCACAATCTCTGCTTCAACACCTCTACAATCACATTCTACCCCTGCACCCTCACACCACTTTCACATACAGCTGCTGCTCAGCATGAGTCAATACACCACAGTTTCCGACGGCGTAGTGGTGACCGACAACGGGGTACATCATGATCTTCCCCTTCTTGCAACCCAGCATGACTGACCGGCGAAATTCTAGGTTTCACCCCCAGCCAACTGGGTCAATTCTTACGAGGAAATGGGAGGGGACATGCTTTGGGGCCAAGGTGGTCAGATTGAAGATGAGGTACGGGGTCGTGGCATTGACGGAGATATCAGGCCTCACTACGGAATGGCACCCTACACGGGAGAAGCACTCTACCTTTTCGAGGTTGGTAGCGGCAGGTTTTTTTTCTACAACGCCATTGATGGGACCATGCTGCAGATCAACGATCAGAATGATCTGAAGAGCATTGTGGATGTCCTTGATGACGAGAACAGGGGCTTGCCCGCACTTGACATTGAGGAAGTCTAGCTCTGCGACTTAGGAGTGCATGTAAAGGATTTCCAAATATCACTCCAATAAACCAATCAATCAATTGTCATACACTGTGATTTAAGAAGGAGGGGGGAAGCCGCTCCAACAACTAGCTACCTTGAGTCCATGCCTCTTCCGCTCTTATCAGATTACGCAGTAAGATATCATATGCCAAGCTGTCAATAGTAGAGGCATACTAGTCTCCTTTGGTCCTGAGCGTCAAATTATCTCAAATAACGGCACGGCACGTTCTCAACGACGGGCTGATATCAATCGCCCCTTATTGCCTCATGCTGGAGCTTTGACCTCTTACTTCAGCTGAGATCGCAATTTAGGAAGAGATCTGCCAATATTACTTGGTTGCCGATCATAAAAGCGGCATATTGGAGCGGGGTTCCAAGACACTCAGGCCCCAAGTAGGAAATGGTATAGGCTATCAATAGGCTTGTTGACAGCTGAATTAGTACGTGTCACGCACTAAGGGCAAAAAGGCGACATCTGCAGATGCTAGCTTGGCCGCCACCCAGGGATTAGGAAAGTCGCCAAAGCCGCAATGCTGGTTTTGGGTCCTTGCTTTCTCGCAATGAAATACAGTATGGAGCGTCACTGAGCGGCAAGAGAATCATCCGGCAGTGCAGTAGGTCAGGTATGACGTAGTGAGCTTACGACAGTCCTTCTGCGCGCGTGTCTCTGCATAGTAACCTCTCGAGAAACAATAGTTGGATCTGCGTAAGATCGCGACCTAAGGTCAAAATTGCTACACTTAAGATTGCTAGAAAAGGGAATTATCAAAGGAAACCGATCCTACAAGCCGGAGGTTCTGGCTATGAGCATTGGCGACAGGCTACAGAATGCTAACATAATTGTTTAAAATTTGGCATATCAAAAAAAAAAAAAAAAAAAAAAAAGGAATGGAGCTGGAACGGTTAAATGGAATGGGCCAAGGGAAATATGCAACACTCAAAAGTTGCCATAGTTGCCTATAGGCGTCCCGTCGCTGCTTTGACCCACCAAGTGCTTTTGAGTCAATTACATATAATCGTCATCTTTTCGAAAACGCCACTGGACGCTCAATTGCCCGGTGTAACTGTCGCGTCGTAGTCAGCTGCCCGTCACCAATCCTTACGGTAGTTGGTGTAAGCTGAGACGCCATTCCCGCTGCACCTGGCTACTTATTCCGTCTGGGCGGATTGAAATGGGACTCAAAGCATGTATTGATCTTGGGTTCCTAGGGAAATACGCAGTACTTAGTCCTTGTCAACAGTAGTTGAGTAAAATTGCTGAAGATGCGCAGACAGCTTCATGAAACCCTTGGCTTTTCCATCTATGTTGACTCTCCAAAGATGAAAATTCTTAAGTACGAGCTTAAGCATTCGATTCGCTATTCAGGCCTGCGTTAAGTCATGATTTACAAACCCTTAAAATATTTGTTCTCCGCGGCGATAATCTTCTGCGCAGCTGTCTCAGCGATACCATACACCGCTGTCTGAATATGGCCCGACAGCTGGACAGGAATGATACTGGCATCAACTACACGGAGGTTCTTCGTGCCATACACCTTCAGGTTCGAGTCGACAACACCACCGTCCTTCTTGGGAAGCATCGCGCACGTACCAACAGGATGGTAAAAACTGTTGACTGTCTTGACGACCCAGTCACGTAGTTGTGCATCTGTCCTCTTCCCTAGACCCGGTTCAAACTCTGCAGCCCATACAGATCGCAAAGGCTCCGTCTCGGCGACTTTGCGGGCAAACCTAGCACCTTCAATGAGAGCTTGTATGTCGTACTCGTTGTTGAGATAGTTCAGGTCGATAATCGGCTTGCCCTTTACATCTTGCCCGTTGATGTGAACACTACCTCGACTCATGGGATGCATGATGGAGGAGAAGATGGTGATGAAGTTGGGGGAAGTGCCAGGATAGCCCTGAGCACCAACGTAATTGGCTTCTAGGAGGACCTCCAACTGGGGAATAGAAGGGTCGTTCAGATACTCAAGCTTCTTTTTGTCCACGACAGTGCCATTGATAGCGAAGCCATCTTTTGCAAGTTCATTCATCTTTCTTCCTACGGCATCACTGAGCTGGGCCCAGTTGAGAAAGGCATAGGCGCTGCTAGTATAGTCGTACCACGATACCTTGTTCTCAAGCCATAGGTTGAACTGCTCCTTCGCCAACACGCCATCGGGGTTGAAGATCATTTGGTCGAAGGACTCGTACCCTTCCTTCAGGATATATGTATTGGAGGTTCGAAGGTGGTCTTGGTAATTTTCGCCGACGCCTCGTAGGTCAAGCAATTGTTTTACTCCTGCTTTCGCAAGAACCTTGGCTTGTCCAATCCCGGAGATCTCGAGCAGTCCCGGACTCTGGATAGAACCTGCCGAAAGAATAACCTCCCTGCGGGCCTTGATCGTAGAACCGTCTTGGAGAGCGACGCCAGTAGCAACTAAGCCCTTGCTCTTCTTTGAGGAAAAGAGGACTTTCGCAACATGGGCATTCGTTTTGACTCTCAGATTACGCCCGGCCTTTGGCAGGTAGCTGTTGGCACTGTATGAGCGGGTGTAGTTGGTCACGTCAATATTGGTGGGTTGGAACATGACTCCAACAGGGTTTCCACCAAGAGATCCTCCGTCGTTGATCGGGACGCCCAACTTATTGACCGTAGACTGCCATGGCTTCAAAACATCCGGGACTATGCGATTGTAGGTAGAGCTGATAGGACCAGAGCGACCATGGACGTCGCCATCATTGCCTGTGAAGTTCTCAGACTTCTTCATACCATTGATCATGGTATCCCAGTTCCAGCCTGGACTTCCGAGCTCACTCCAGGCGTCGTATTCAGCGGATGCAGCTCGATCATAGCATAGGAAGTTCATAGCAGATGAGCCGCCGAGAACCTTGCCACGGTTGACGCTGATGGACCTCCCATTGAGGCCAGGCTGGGCAATAGAGCTAAAGTTCCAGTCGAGAGATGACCCCCAAGATTGAACCGCGCATCCCTGGTACGTTGATGCGCACATCGTCTAGAGCTTCTGGGCCAGCTTCTAAAAGAAGGATCTTAGACTTAGGGAGGCCAAGGCTCAGGCGAGTGGCGAGGGCTCCTCTAGCGGTGCCACCTCCTACAATGATCTAGTTATCGATAATATTAGCGATGCTTGGGTGAATTCCCTCACGAGGAACAGCTTACATAGTCATAGGTCTCGGTAGCAGCGACGGCTGTCACTAGGCTTGATATGATCAAGGTGCAGAGCTGCATCTTCGATCTCAACAGTACAATTCAGCTCGAGAATTAAGAGACTTAGGCTCGCTGCCACGACATCTCGAATTGAGCCCACCATTTTGTAGCTGTAGACCCTTGCGGCATGGCCATAGTCCCTGCATTACCCCATGTTACCAAACCCCGCCGGATATTCGAGCTGCCTAATTTATCATCACAATGATACCCTGAGACCCCTCGGCTCCCTTCTGGACCGAAGATACAGAACTTATGCCCAGATTAGGTAAAGCCCGGTGAGGCGCTAATAACAATAATACATGTGGAGAGATATATAATAGACAGAAAACTGAGTCTCGTAGTTACTGCAATTTGTAGCTTATGCTTGCTAAAATCTGTATGATTGTTATTAAGGGCAATACAAAGACTTGATCAAAATCCAGAAACGTCCGTCTTTGTCACGTTCTTGGTCTTAAAAGGCTTATGATTAAAGCAAGCTTTATATGTTTCAACTTCTCTGCTAAAAGTAAGATCAAGGCTAAATGGCAAGGTATGTCGTAAATTGAGGTATTATTCCCTGTTACCTGCAGGGAACATCAGGCTTTATTTGATCAAAGCCAATCGCATTGCAGATGCAAGTAAATAGACTTCGTAGCACCCGGTACACCGCTGTTCCCGGCCGACAACAGGCCAGTTGTGCCTTAGCCTCAGTCAGCGCGCTGGGGTCCCCGCGGAGGCCTACTTCAACGAGGGTCAAACGCCGGGAGGAAGATACAAGGAAAGGAAAGCGTAATAAGCAACATTGAGGCGCAGCTAGAGGCACAAAAGAGAGCTGTTAATAAATGCAAGGAGCTTTATTATACAGCTTAACAGGAGAGAGAGGAGTAAGAGGCTTAGAGTAAGGCATTTCTTATTATATTAGAAACTAACTTATATATAGATAACTAAAAAGATAATAAATAACAATTTATTAAACTCTAGCTTTAGCTTTAATAATAGCTAAAAACCTTACCTTTATAATTAAATAACTATAGGGATAAATATAACCTATAAGGTTAACCTTTAGGCTATAAATATAGGTAATAAATAAGAATATAGTATTTTTTACCTTAATATAAGCTTTTACCTAAAAGCTTTTATAATAACTATTATATCTTACTGTAAGCCTTAAGGTATTATAAAGTAAAAAGATTAAGAGATATATAAAGGGATGTAACCTTAAGTTTATATCTCTATATATATTATAATAATATAACTCTATAAATAATATATTAATTACTTTAATAATTTAAACTATTATTAATAATAACTTAATAAGTTAAGAAGTTTAAGACTATATTTACTAGTTCTTTATTATCTTTATTAACCTTAAAGGTATAACTAAATTATATATTAATATAAGAGATAGTGCCTAAAAGCTTTAATTAATTATTAAGCTATTTAATAGAGGCAGTTATATTAATAGTAAGTCTTATATTAAGATTACCCTTTTTAGCTATAATATATTTAGTATAGCTATTAATAAGCTAGGCACTTACTGCCTATTATACTTTATTTATTAGTAGAGAAAGGAGCTATAAAGACTTAATAATAAGGAGGATAATAAAAAGGAGGATAATAATAAGAAGGTTAATAATAATAAGATTAAAATTAAGGCATTAAAGGGTAATTATAACTAGATAAATAAAATTATGGCATTATAAAAGGCACTAAAGGCTAAAGGATATATTAATATAGCAGTATTATAAGAAGATGCTAACTTATTATTATATAACTCTAAAAAGGATTATATATATATTATAGTAAAAAGGTTAAACTGTTAAAGGTTCTATTAATTAAGTTATTTAGGCTAGCTAGAAAAGTTAAAGTATTAATACTTTTACTAAAATAAGTTATATTTAGGCTAATAACTAAAAGCTTTAATAGCTAAGAGAATATAAGCTAATTAAGTTTATAAGATTAATATATAATAATTTTAAATATAATACTATAATTAAATAAAGTTGTTATATTTATTAGCAATTTCTTTTTTATATAAATTCATTTAATTAAATTTATTTTATATATATTTAACACTTTCTGGTTAACCTCTACTAGTAATACTCTTTTCCCATAGCTCCTCTATAAACTCTTGACTAGCAGTCCCCATCGGCCAAGCTACCCTCCGTAGTGTCCCCTTTGCTTGTGACCAAGTCACGATACCCAAAGTCCTTGCTTGCCGCTTCAAGGCTTGCTCAAAGAAACTTCTAGCGGATACCAATCCTTTGTCGTGCTCAGTATCTTTGAGAGCGCGTAAGGAGCCTAGAAGCCCTAGCAATGCCTGCCACAGCACAAACGCTTCGTTCTTGCGTCTGTCCTTTGAATTAAGGACCTTGGCAACATCGTGCTGCAATAATGTAACGGCGTATTTGTGAATCCGTTTGTCGACGTACTCTAGCGCCCCGAGAACATCTTGCATATAGAAGATAGAGGCAATAGTCAATCCACACCATGGCCCGACGAAAGATGACGGAGTCATATCGGAAGTCTTCTCCTTCTTTCCCGGTACGGAAATAGATTCGATATGTGCAGTGACATATTCTCCCAGTACCCTCGATGCGGGACCTCTCCGCCAAAACCCGTCGAACTTTCCATCAGCTGTCTCTTTACCTGTATCTTTGAATATACGATCCTGCGCAGCCGTAAAGTCTCGTATTGAGTTGATGATAACTTGTCCGTCGGCATTGTTGAGTCGTGCTCCCTGCGGCAGTGGGCAGAAGAAGAATGGGAACAGACGAATAGCTTGTAGTTTGAGATCCAAGTTCTCCATGGCTTCACTCATGTGCCATGTATGCGATAGCTTGAGAAGATCTCGACCCGGTACAACATCGAGACTCCTACCGTGGCCGCCAGTTCGACAGATTCCACTCAGTAAACTCTTGAGGCCGGTGATGTAGACATAGGACCTATGATAAGATGTTAGAAAGAAGCACGAGGCGTCGAGGCGTCGACATAGATGTGTTTGTGGCAACTCACATGACGAAATAACGGTTAGCTAGTTCTCGGTCAGTGGAACAGCAATCAGAGCGTGTCGGATCACTTTTATCAGGTCGGGCAGTTTCAATCAGCGCCAGAATGCCACTGATGTGAGTCTCGGCAGCAACGAGCTCTCCATGGCATGCCTAGACTCTCAGTAAGTAAGATAATTCTGAGGAGCGCACAGTACTGTGACTCACCTCTGTGAAAGCCAAGGTGGCCATTTCTCTAATAATCGCAGCTTCGAGTTTATAGTCTCCTGATGCGATCCATCGATTGATGACACGCATAACCTCGATTTTGTGATATAGGAAGGTGGACTCGAATATAGCGAGGTCGCCAAATTGGAAAGAGAAATGCATGCCGGCCATGAGAATGGCACTTCGGAGTCCACATGGGTTATCTATCATACGCGCGAGACTATTTTGGTGAGCGACGGATGTCGAGATCGACAGGTATACTAACTATTCTGTACCAGGCACTTTCTGTGTCGTCTTTAGTGTTCGGCTTGACTCAAACACTAAATTGAGTCAGCAAGTCCACAAGTATACAGCTGTTCATAGTAACTGACAGTATTGAAACAACTCGTGAGATTTGAGCGGCATGGCAACAGCCAACCTATTAAACCCTGTATCATGATTCAGGCGACTCAATCGAGGAGGAACATTCGGCTTCTTCAAGAAAGCGATGTCCTTGGGTTTGGGCTGCTGCTCAATCTCCCAGGGCGTTTGATCCCACGGACGAGCCTCCTTCTGCTGCGCCCTTCGTTCCCTTAATGGAATCTTCGGGGGCGCATAAACACAGGTCCTCTGACCCTTGACACAGTTGTGACTACATTTTCTCCATTAGAGCCGGATCCCAGCTTACAGTGGGGGCCAAGGATTCAGGATCGCCATACCATTGCGGTCGCTGCTCGTCACATCGTTTCCGGCGGGTCCGGCAATTGGAGCAGCCTGTTCGACTTCGAGTGTGGAACTGCCGTACCCTGGAGTCTGTTTCCGGCGTTGTTGAGTTCTCTTTTTCTGAACTTGAAGACATTTTCTTGATATTTATTGAAGAGATAAGGATGATAATTGAGTCAGCCTGACAGGGCGTCGGCGATGGAGACAAGGTGGCGCGTCAGCACTAACTCGGCTTGTGGGATGATTACTCAGCTATCCTGATGAGCCAATCAGAAAGTTTACGGAAATAATTTGAGGTTAGGTACCGGAGACACTGACTCAGGGAAGCTAACCTAGACCACGGTATTGGGAAACGCGACGCGATGTCTTTCGTGTAATGCAATACAGCTTTTACTTATTCAAGCAACCGCCAAAACAGAAAAGATGTATTATTGTTGGGACAATGCTTAGGCAGGGCTTACCTCTTCCACTTGCTGCTTAGATTGCATTAAATGCTAATTATTAGCAGATAGACCATTGGCCTGCCTCGTTTCTGACCCCCCTGCAAACAAAACCCATATTATACGAGTCGTTAAGAAGATGTTTAGACACCTTCTCGGGGAGTAGCTTTCGCTTCCAATTCCGTTTCTCTATAAGATATACTAACCTCTTGGGTTCTCATAATACTCCCTTTTGTAGAGCGCGAGGCTGGCAGGGTAAGGCAGACGATGGTGGCATTGACTTCGCTGGCTGTCCAGATGGTTATTAACCGTACTAGTGAGGTCTTGCCAAGCTATGGAGATCCGCCCTGAAATACGCACCAGAACAGGGGATCATGGCTCACAATGTCGGATTATCCGTCAGATGCCGTTTGAATATCCCTGTCAAGGACTCGTGTGACCGGGATCTCCGTGATAACCTGCTGGAATCCGGGATGTGAAGGTCTCAAGCCAGGCCTTACCAGCGTATATGACAGTTTCTTTACAGTACTTCAATCTTATAAAATAATCTCTTAAATTATCTCCAGGTAGAATGCCACAGCTAAATGCTTCATCTTGCTGTAGTATCATCCTCTGCTCGGCTTGACCTTGTAAACAGCATTCTCGACAGCAACAGACGCATCCTCATCAATAAACCAACGCAGCTCACTGACAAAAGCGGTGCGCTCTACCCATTTTAGTTCGGGATGGCTGGTCTCAATAATAGGGGATCCCAGCCATTCATTCTCTCCAAACTCAAGTGTTCGAGCCTTGGATCCCCCAGTGAAGACCTCCATCCACTTTTCATCGATCTTTAGAACACCTTTGAAGTGGATGTAAATACTGTGGCCCTCTTTGGATCGGAACTGAACTCGTACGTCGAGATGTCCTGTGTTTGTGTCGGGATCACGCTGTCCGATTGTTAGCGTTCGTCTCCCCGGACTGGGTAGGAACGTACCAAAATCCAATCGGCGCCACCAGGGAGAAGCTCTGCCTCAAAGCCACTGCCTTTGATGTTGCCGTGCGTTAGGAAAGCAACAATACGGTGGTTGTTGCCTTTGGCTTCAGGGATGACGAGGGCTTTGTCCGGGGATGTATACATTCTCATTGTGAAAACGTGCTCGAGTGAAGGTGTCATGGTAGCGACTTGTGGTGCTGGTAATCTGGATTCTGTAGTTGATGTGGGATCCGAGATGCCTTTCTTTGATTCAGGATGTGTTGAGACTCTATGCCGTGTGTCGCCTTTTTACAGGGCTTATGAACTCTACGGGCTGGACTACATGTCGTGCTTGTGATTCATCATTTGAGGTTGCTTATATTATCACTTTCACAGATTCATGACCCTTATGGTTTGTTCAAACGGGGTTCTGAGTAATAATTTTCTGGTCACCTCATCGTGGAGAAGAGCGAGTAGAAATGGTAATTGCTGATCTCCACTTCAAAGCGTCTGGCCAATGAACCGTGGTTTGTCATAGGAGTGAGAGACGGCCTGGTCACTAAGCACCTGCGCGTAATCCGAGAATGACATACAAAAGCTTCATGGATTATATACAGCATTTAGGGGTTGGGATTGCATCACCTTCTAGGGGTCTTCTAAGTTTCCCTCATTTCAGTTCGTGATACGCTGATGTCAAAAGAAAGAAGCGTTGCTGATCAGATAAGATAAGCTATCTTATCAACCTCTGGTTAGGTGTTGAGCCATCGATAGTTTTATGACATCTCATAATTCACATCCGTAGCCGACTAAAAATTAGTAATGCAAGTGAAGAAGCTATGATTCAAGCCAAGGTCCCAGATATAATTTGACTTCGTCATCTAGGCTCACTAAACTTGGCCGTATCGATGTTGCATCCAAGGCATTCATGCATATCAGTAATCAGCTCCGAAAAACAATGTGGAGCCAGCTCGTCTTGTCGGCTTTCCACGTAAAACAAACGCCCACTATTCCCGTAACCAATAAAGCTAATGTGCACTTGGAATTTCCTCGGCGTTCACATGATATCGCGATTTGAAAGCAGATATGACCTGTTCAAGATAATGCATTTTAGTAATTCATCGATTGTTAATCAATGGATGAAGGCAATCAGGGCGTATATATATATGCAGTAAGTGCTAATACACAGGATTAAGCTATCAAAATTCTACATCCAAGATCGCAAGTACACTTCTACTTCTTCACGCTTATTCAATCCCACTAGACTATAATTGGCACATCTACGCTAAACCATAATGACTTCACAGACCTCCAAGCTGTTCAAGCCAATCCAGGTCGGCGCTCTTGATTTACAGCATCGGATCGTCCTCGCTCCCTTGACTCGTGGCCGTGCTGATTCAGTTGGTGTTCCCGCTACCTACGCCGCAGACTATTACTCACAGCGCGCTACACGTAAGTCCTCACTATGGCTTACGACTGGGAAACTATCACTAATTATGATTGCTAGCTGGCGGTTTGTTGATCACAGAAGGAACCTTCATCTCCCTCGAGGCATCAGGGCGCCCTTTCTCACCAGGAATTTATTCTAAAGAACAGATTAAGGCGTGGAAGAAGGTCACTGATGCAGTTCATGCCAAAGGGGCTTTTATCCTCTGTCAGCTCTGGGCTCTTGGGTGAGCTAGCCCCTCGTTTCTGATTGTCATTTTGTCCGCTGACACTACTTTAGACGTATTGCCGAACCAGATCTGGTCCCTGCTGTTCTCAGCCCCGGCTCACAACCATTCTTCGAAGACGATGATGTCACACGAAAGATTCCGGACAACTTCACTGTCATGAGCGAAACTGATATTGATGACTTTGTGGAGTATTACCGACAGGCGGCTTTGAACGCTATGGAGGCTGGTTTTGATGGCATCGAGATTCATGGCGCCAATGGATACGTAAGTATTCATGTTCGAAGTGATAGGTTCGATGGCTGACAGACAACCTGCAGCTTATTGATCAATTTGTGAGTATCTGCTTTTACTTAGAATATGGAATAGGTCTGACAGTACCATAGCTCCAATCAACCAGCAACGACAGAACAGACCAATACGGCGGCAGTGTCGAGAATCGTATCCGCTTCCCCCTCCGCATCGTCAATGCAGTCAGCGACGCCATCGGACCCGAGCGCGTTGGCGTCCGCATGTCACCATTCACGCGCTTTCAAGGGATGCGAGAACTCGAACCGCTATCGCTCTTCGTTCCGTGGGCGCAAGCTATTGTAGACGCTCAACCCCGCATCGCGTACATTCACGCCATCGAGCCTCGAGCAGATGGGTCAATGGATACACCTGAGCATTTACGCAAGGTTGAGGATGCTTTAGCGCCTATAAGAGAGGTAGCTACTCGTGCTGGTGTGCAGTTTATTGTGGCCGGGGGATATACGCCGGAGAAGGCGTTGCAGCATACTAGTGAGACAAATGACCTCGTGGCCTTTGGGCGTCACTTCATCCGTAAGCGCCCCGTTCGTATGCGTTTCTTCTGTTTACTAACATTTCTGATGCAGCCAACCCTGATCTCCCTGCGAGAATCAAGAATGGCTGGTCGTTGACCAAGTACGATCGCTCCGTCTTCTATGAGGTCAACGAGGTTGGATATAGCGAGTGAGCTAGCACACTCTCTATGTACCTTTGAACACATGGCTAATACATTCCTCATAGTTACCCGGCTTACTTATATGATTAGGCGACGTGAGCACTCCCATATAGTCTAAAGGCTTACCCTCGAAGCCGTGTAATGGATATCTTGATGCCCAGCTTGTTCTAGAGTTGCAATCGCATTTAGAAACCCAACACAGTATTGAACTTGGCTAGTGTAATAAAACTTAAAAGGGCCACGGGTCTTGACGGCACGAACCTTCACCAACTTTGCCAGTAACGTAACGACACATCCCCATAACCGTGTTGTTCAACTTTGTGTCATCGCCCTTCCTCGTAGCGTGCCGAAACCAGAGTTTTACTCCTTCTACAAGTAACTCTGACACCCAATTTCTATCCACGATGAAATACTCCTTCTTGTTCCAATTACCGAATGCAAGAGCCTTTGTGTGAGAGGCAGCCTCCGGAAGCCTCAAACGGGAAACGGGGCGTATTGCACCGTGTACTTGAACTAGTATTGGTTCCAGGAGCACCTTGGCGTTTATCTCTAGGATCAAGAAGCCACAGTTGTCCGGACAGGGGAAGCGTTTATAAGGATGAATACAAAGAGCTTCAAGACTAATATGTGCAGGTAGCCTTCTCTCGGGCGCTCGACACCAACTGAATACTATCTTGAACCTAGACTGGACACTGGCCCCAGATTTGAGGAACATGCGTATAGTATCCAAGACTGCAAGTGCCTGAGTCGAAGTGAGTATAGCTTTCACTCTACCGCTAAGTTCCCCCTGTAGTGCTAAAAGATATCGAAGCCAAGGGCTGCCAAATTTGCAAGTTGTCGTCTCTGAGCTTCCGGGCCAGTTGGGACTGTAGCCGTTTTCGATCATGAACTTGACTACCCCGCGATCATGCATCATATTTCCGTCATCATCCGGGGGATGAAGCTCGGCACAAACATTATAAAAGATATAATAAGCAGTCTCGTATCTCTCAGAATTTGGAAAAGTTGCCAAGTTGTTGAACGCAAATGTAGTATGACCAAAAGATACTGCATATATCAAGAACTGTCCCCGGCGAGAATGAAGGGGTAGAAGTTCACGGTAGATTTCCGGTGTCAATAGAGATCCTCGCTCATACATTTTCTGTGCAAGGGTCAACATAGTGGTGCTAACGGTGAGTGGCAGGCTCGCTTCGCGTATCCACTTGGTCAAGGTCTCCAAGACAAAGGGCAGCTCACAAGACTTCATTTCTGATACGATACTCAGTGACTGATAAAGTTCATACCAAGCAAGTTTAGCTTTCGCCCTTCGAATCAAGAGCTCTTCCTGCGAGCATGGGCAAGACTCCCAAAGTTTGCGGCCATCCTCCGTGTCAATCAGAAATTCTTCAGCGCTTCTATGGATAAAAGTGATTGTTGTTCTGAGCCAAGCAAGTAATGGCTTCGATTTGAGAGTAGGAGGTCTGTCTTTTGTCGAGGAACGAACTCCCAATAACCCGGCGCAACCAAGTTCTAGGTTGTTCACCACGCGCAAGCCCTTGGTTACAAGATTTTGTGCAGGTATTCCCTTACGCCGGACGACAAATTGATCCAACAATGGCTCATCCGTTGCCAAAATGGCTTCAAACAATGGCATAGGTTTGCCCTTTAGGACAAGAACCAAATTGAACATCATAGAGGCAGATTTATGGTATATGTCATGATCAACAGCAGATCGCATTAGAATATCCCGGTATAGGTCCATGAGGTCTCGAGGTGTTGAATCCAATCGTCGATAAATAACCCTCATTGAGTCGCCGTTATTGATGCCTCGAATCAATGACCGCGTGACAAGCACAGCCCATAAGAAAACGCCCTGAGACATTGCACTTATACGCCCTGCTAGATCTGGGATATTGAGGCCTTGTGGTTGTAGCAGGGTGGAATCCCGTATGGAAACCTTGCTATACTGCTCTATGTCCAGCCACGTCAACTTATGGATCTCAAGACCTGGTTTGCCTTGGAGGCGAAGTCGAAACAGACGCTCCGGTCGGCTTGACACACATATTTTGGTAGTAGGGGAGATAAGAGTTTTGAGAACGTGTAGCGTATCGAGCGTATCCTGCTCCGGCGAAATCTCGTCCAGAGCGTCGATGAAGAAACATATAGGCTGTGACGAATGATTTCGATAGTGCAAAAGAAGCTCTCGAAGCTCGTGTTGGTCCCAATCACTTGGTGATTCCTTCCCATCTTTATCTTGAATGATTCTCTTGAGAGATTTATTTGAGATGCTCCTGTCGTTCTTCAGGATCTGACAGAGCAATGAACAGAGAAAGCCCTTGAAAGAATGCTGCATCGTACCGCCTGGCTTCCAAAAGAAGTGTGCAATGATGATTACATCCTTGTTCCATTCCTTCAGCGCATCTAGCGTCCTGGAATCGGATACGATGAATTTCATGAGAGTGCTCTTCCCAGAGCCCGGTTTACCACTTATCCAGTAAACTGGCAGATCCGACTTCAGCCAGTTGGAAAAGCTGTCCCAATGTCTCCATTGTCGTCGGCTTGGGGTGGAATCCTCGATGGTCTCAGATCTACCAACTGATTCTGTCGCCCAGTCTGCCCCCATGTCATCGTCCGCTTCAGGGAAGCCCTCTTCTCTCGAGTCCTCATCTGATGCTGTTTCCCAGCTCGCTTCACTATGTTCATCCTCTTCAAGGGAATCTTCGTTTCCGGACTCCTCGTCTGACGCTGTTTCCCACCCTGTTCCATTATCTTCATGCGCTTCAATGGTCCCTTCTTGCTCTGACTCGGTGTTCGATGCTGTTTCTGTTTCCCATTCAGGCTCCGATTCTGTATCAGTATCGTAATCTTGATCTGAAAGCCAGCCCGGGCCTTGTTTTCCAGGATACTCAACCGATCCCTCGAAGATCCAGTTGAACGTAGATGGTGCCTCTGATTGAATATTGTTCCTTCTTTCGTTCATGTCTACATAGCTGAGGCTTTTGATAATGCGTTTCCGAAACTGCTGAGGCTTGGATGTAGATTCGGCACTTCAATTTAATATCAACATTTAGGAATTCTTCATAGTTGTAGGGCCCTTACTGTCTTGTTGAATCCCAGTATCTAAGGAATCCTTTTGTATATGATGCTGCACAAGCAGCAGCATAAGGCTGCCAGTCCTTGCTCTTATGGCTGTCAGCGTAATCGCATACACTTTTGATTACGACGCATGGGAAGACTTCCCATACGCCGACACTCTCCATCTCGAATCCCAAAGCCTGCGTCTGCTTCGTGATATGATCACGATCTTTGCCAGACTTCATTACCGTATCCCCTGACGCGAATGTACCAAAATGGACAAATGGGTGAAGTTCCTCTCCCTCCTCATTATCTCTTTGCAAACACTGGCTCGTGTCGCATCGTATCTGTTCGCAGCTTGAGGTGAGGGCTATGTCGCAAATTGGATCTGTTTCCTGGTGGCACGATGCACATAACGTACACGCCAGCGAGTCTTGGTGTTTGTGACGGTAATCAACTGGAAAAAGTAGATCTTTTGATCGTCCTGGGAAAGTGGCCGGACTCTTTGCGTCTTGACATATCTTATTCAGATATTTCCAACTTTCTATCTACAGACGGTCACTCTCCCTCGTTGTCATCAGTTTTGATAGCAGGCTTCTGATCTCAAGATTTGGTCTTCCGGGGATATCATTGAGACTATCCTTGATCTCGAATTGATCCGGAAACCGACGACCAAAGTCGTATTGAACAATACCGGTACTGATGATCGCGTCGCCGAGACGTATTCGGCTTTTGCCTTTATTATAAGTAGGCGCGCCGCCACAGATACCGACAAGTAGCGCTAGCTTGATATTGGGAAAGCTCATGCGGCAAAACGCAGCGATGTTGCCAGCAGAGACTTTGCCCATCCCGGGTAGATGGGCCAATACCACATTGTGTTGCCCAATGGCACCAATTGAATAAGCATTAGGGTCCCCTCTAGCCTTGCCGTAGGAAAAACCATCATCTTGCCAGTCATGGTCAAAGAGAGCGATGACGGCGTCAGCTTCAAGAGTCAGAGCACAGATGATAGCGACCTCGAAGTCATCCCGCTTTTCCGGCCGATTAGGTCTCCATGGATCCATGGTGAGCTCCTTGAATCCGCTGAGCTATGCGAATGCAACGGTTGAGGGTTAATAGGGTATGTGAAGAGTGGAGAAAAATAAGATAAACTCGGTCTAATGATAGCAGCTTATGAACAGAGAAGCTTATTCGCTTTAGTTAGAAATAGACTAAAGCTATCAGGAGACATTTCAAGTCTTAGCTACCTGGTTGCTTTATTATTACGGAACTTACTGCTGCCTAATCTGTTGCTGCCTGACTAGATATCACATGACTTATCTTAATAAAGCATGATGCAGAAGACGTACCCTTTGTGTATTGTTTACATAATACAGTAAGCCACATAGTAAAATATTAGGCTAAAGCTGCTATACAAACCATTATAGTTATGCTAGAGGATAAACAGACTTAATCAGTAGTATGTTAGATATGTTTAGAAAGGGATAATAAATCTTGATATAGGTTTTTAGACTTTTGAATAAAGCTAGGTCGTTTGCTATTTTGTAAGACTTTTATATACAGACCTCTTGATATAGTATTTTTGGGTTTTGCGTGTATGGCTATGCCCCGTTTTATAGCTTTGCCTTAGAAGTATTTCAATCTTGCACTCTTCTGGGAGCTATATACTTCTTTTTCAACATCATGAGACGACTTGCAAAATGGTGTAGCTGGTATAAGTACGTCCCGCTACCACTACTACATATAGAAAGCTTTACTAATTTCATCAACCCCCGCTGTATACAGACTTGCGGTAGAAGTATCATGACCAAGGCGGAGCGGTAGGCATGACGGGGTAGTTCAGAGCTGGCCTTCCACTGACAGGCAAAGGTTCCATAGCTCTAAGCTTGTTCCAAGTCTTGGTGATCATGTCCAAGTACTCCTCAAATCCAGAAACCGGACCGTTATTGTCGCCAGCAAACTCTGAAGCAAGATAGACGAGTTCATCAACGGTCACATTTCTATGATCCACAACAGAGATGCACAGAATGTAAGCCAGGATGTTCTTGTGCATATCAACCACTCCCTCGTTAGCAAAAGTATATTTGTACGTATACATGTCGACGCGAATGATTGCATTGCTAGATTCTCCATGTCAGCATTCCTGGGGCTTTTGTGAAAGTGGAATACAGTTAACATACTGCTTTATGCAAATAAAGAACTTCTTATCATAGCTTTCTCCAGCGGAAGAATCGCCGAGGATCGCAGAGAGGCCAGTCTTTACCACGGATTTGAAGCCATTAAGGGCAACTTTGGTTCCAGTATCCGACGCGCCAAAGAAGGCGTCTACAGCATCCTCAACGCCTTTACCGGGCTGTAGTCACAATATTAGCTATCTTATGTAGGTAAAGAGGCTTATTGAGTAGTAGACCCACAATGCTTTCAGCATCAACAACGAAACGACGCTCGAATCTTAATGCTCTCCTTCCGGGAACAGTAGTATGCATTGCCGATTCACGGTCCAAGAACATCCGCTCTAGTTCGCTTTGGAAGCTGTCAAGCCGCGCATCTGCGAGCTTCATCATCAGCTCTAGCTGTTCCTTTTTCTTCCTCTCGTTCCCATCGTCTGCCGCATTTGGCTCAATCAAAGCGCTGATAGTATTGCCCATCTTAGCAAAGGATGGTTGAGCTGGACGCTAAGGTTGTAGAATGGTGAGAGAATTATTAGATAATTGAAAATCATGTCTCCAGATGAGGAGGGGAAATACGCCACTAACACGCTAAACCTGCCAGATGCGACGCTTGGCCAACCAGAAGATGCGTTCGGGTGCTCTAGATTACCTGTTCAATTAGCCGATCTAACTAAAGTGGCTACATCAAGATTTGGTGCCATACCGGTCTATATCATCAATTATACGAGCGAGCTGCATGAAACTATCACAGCAACTGTCGAAACACGATACGATTTACTCCAGATTAGATAAGTCTCCTCCTTTGATGCGACCCGCAGAACGGGTTCGGCCGGGTTCCTAGACACTGTGGTGCCGTCTTCTTTACATTTTCCTTACACACTGCACTAGATAGACCTCAAGGGTCAGACATACGCCAAAAGATAATAAGTGGTGGCCGAAACTATAGCGTATCCTAGCTTCTGTATTCAGTCCATAAATAGAGGGATTCAGCCCGCGTCATATCACTAATCCGCTGGCGTAAACTCAAGGCGCCATGATTACTAGTCCCTTCTGTGAGTAAGCACTCCGACTCTTGCTGACATCACAAGCACCATCGGCAAACGAGTACATAAGTGCATCAAACTTCAGCTGTAAGGGCTGATTAAGTGATATTTCCCCATAAACCTAATCTCCAACCTTATCAAGCTCCATCAAAATGGCAACTCAGCAAACCGCCAAGACACAATATGTCAAGTCACCCAACGGTGTCACCTTTGCATATCGCCAAATCGGCAATACGTCTGGCATCCCTCTCGTGCTATTGACTCACTTCCGTGGCACCATGGACAAATGGGATCCCCTCATTGTCAATAGCTTCGCAAAGAACCGCCGTGTTATCACAATCGATTATGCTGGTGTTGGCCTCAGCACCGGCGACGTCGCCACTTCAATGCGACAATCCGCCGCTGACATAACTCAGTTCATTGAACTGATTGGCGAGAAAGAGATCGATCTTCTCGGCTTTAGCATTGGAGGCTATGTCGCTCAGATGGTAGCTCTCAACGCTGATCCCAGCAAGGTCAAAGTTCGCAAGTTAATCCTTGCGGGAACAGGCACCAGCTACGGACCTGACCTTGTTTACTCCCAGAACAAAGGTCTCGGTTCTGTTGCGGGTGTCAAGGATGTAGACATCGATGTATTCAAGACGCTCTTCTTCCCCAAGAACGCTGAGGGAGATGCTGCTGCTGAGGCTTGGTGGTCGAGGATTCATGAGCGGAGTGCAGAGACGAGTGGTGAAGAGGCTTCCCTTTGGCTGAGCAGTGGCTATAAGGACGGCGGTAAGGGTCTTATGGGCCAGGTCACACAAGGTCACGACTTTACAGAAAGTCCGGAGAAAAGCAAGGGGGAAGACGGCGCTTATGACAGATTGCCTGATCTCAAGATACCTGTCTTGGTCGCAAATGGAAGCGTGAGTGACGTTGTCTATTCTTTTAATCAGGGTCAAATACTAATGAATGCCCTTCGACAGAACGACTACATGATCCCGACGCCAAACAGCTACCTCATCTACCAAAAGGTTCCGAATGGTCAGCTCATTCTGTACCCCAACAGCGGCCACGGCTTTCTCTTCCAGTACGCTCCGACCTTCGTCAAACATGTCGAAACATTCCTTGAGGGGTAGTACAAATACGGGGTGCCACTACTTCTCTGGGTAAAATGGGATACATGGGAGGCCTATTGGACATAGAGATATATTTATTGAACTACCGCTATCATTCTCCCTTCACCCGTCCCCGCTCCTTTCTATCTCACACTTGTCCATTCATCAAGCGACTAAAACACCATTGCTTTGTTGTCCCAGTGACGTATCCCAATTCTAGTCTTCCTGCATGATGGACATCTTTAACGACTTACGGATATCCATAGGACGAACGGCTGGTGTTCTTCCGAGACACACAGTTGAGTTGACAAGACCTATCAGAAACAGTTAGCCTTCAGAATAAAGTCAATGCGTACCCTGTCTCTTACACATGATCAGTCTTTCAACATCAATCTTGACCTTTGTGTCCCGTTTACTAGGCGTCTTCCACCGCTCCCCAGGCCCTTTACCTTTCGGCGGGGGCGGCATAGCTCCCATCGCCATACCCATCAAGCCAGCGGGGCATGAAAACGAAGCAGGCTCGTCACTTTCAAGATCTTCCTCTTCGAAATTCCCGTTACCTGGCATGTCAGGAGGCGTGTTAGGTCCAGAACTCGTCTCTGAATCTGAGGTTCGCTCAAACATACTCATGTCGATGTAAGCTGTGACGAAGTCTTTGCCCGCTGGAATAGTAACACCGTAGCCGCGGAGACAAATCTCAATCTCATCAGCATCAAAGAAGTCTCCGTCATATTCAGGATCGATAATGCGTAACTGAGGATTCAAGCGTAAATCTCTGATCTGTTCGATGGAGGGTCCGAAGGGTCCCATTGAGAAGCCTGACATCTCGGGGGGTCTATACGCCTCATGCTCCAGTGATCTGTTGCCAATCGGTAAATCGCCACTACCATGGCCCTGATCAGGAAAGAATGTCCCAGCACCACCAATATTAGTGAACGGAAACCTCCAATTATTAAGCGTCATCTCTTTCGACTTGCGCAGTGCTTCACCCAATCGACTGCTTATCTCTTCCCTCGTCTCAAAATGCATGCAGAAGCCAAAGACCTTGCGATACCATCCAGGAGGCGCATGTCTCATTGACGCTAGAAGAAAAGCAGCCTCCTGAGAGGCTCTGTGGTACCGCCGGCCAAAGTTGAGCTCTTGGCTTGCGTAGGATCGGGGGTTGGGCAGGGTAGAGTCCCACGTTGATCCGGGGAGTTGGTACGTCATGTCGTAGAAGGGCGTTTGGGTGGTGGGAAGCTGGAAGTAGGAGGTTGCATCGAACGAGTGTGGTGTCGAATCGGAATTGGGCCGTTGCTGGGAAAGCATGGGATCGATTGGGCTGGTGGTGTAGTCCATCTGTCCGCCACCGTCCATCATAGGAAAGTCGAATGTCTGGGCTTGCGGAATTGGTGGTGTGAGTTCAGCTGGGTCTTCGACTGGGAGATCGTTGAGAATGTCATTCGGCTCCCCAACTTCGACGCCAGGTCTCTCACTCTCATCTACCTCTCGAGCGCTGGATAGCAAGCTTATGGTGGTCTGCTTAATATGTTCAATGATCTGCGGATTGTTCTTGACAGTATCCTGCTCAAGAATGACAGAAGTGAAGTTAATAAACTCCCTCCCCATGTCTTCCTTCGACCGCTCCAGCTCTTCAACTTTCTGCTTCAGGATATCAATGGCAGACTCCTTACGCTGTCGATACGCGCGCTGGGCCATGCGATTTTGCATCCTTCGGCGCTAACATGGCCAGTTAGAAGACAGCTCAATACTCAAAAGTCGCATCACTAATCACGCCGAGATGTCAAATCATGGCGTACTCACGTTTGTCACTGATCCACCCTCTGGCACTTCAAGTGGTCTTCTTCCCCTTTTGGGGCCCGCCCCCATGTCTGCTGCATCAAGTGGCAGTACAGAGATACTATCCATTTCCGAGGTTGAAGAACTCATGGCTTAATAAGAATATTTTGTCAAGATGGTATGACGCAAGATTCCATGGCGCATTGGAGAAGCCGATCGGTAAGAGATATATTTCACCAAAGATCGAGAGAGATCGAGATGGGGAACTCGTCTCTGCGGTGTTGCGGCCCGTCGAGTGTTCAAAGTACAAAACGCTGATTTCAGCTGAGAGGTAAACCAATCATTTAGTGAAGTGGCACTGACTAAGTGATTACAGATCGGACTGCTTGACCCGCATCTCCACCAAGACGCCGGCCTGCAGCATAGACGCCGGCATTGGCTTGCAGCTGAGGATGATGCAGATATTAATAGCCATTAAAATTTGGTTTCTTATCTACTAAGCCCTCTGATGTTACAATCCTGGTGGATGTTCTTCTTATGCTATCCTGTCAACATCGTGAACTACAATGAGCTCGGAAACTATGCACGATGTTATTTCCTAACACAGAGAACAACTCTAATGAACCCAACAATCTCACGTCAGATTTTGGGGTAAGCCATCATATGGCGACATACCGGTCAAATGTGGCTTCTCGTGTTCAAGACGCCGGCGTCTCGCTTTCGCTCCACGATAGCGCTGCGGGCGTCGTTACACCACGTTATAATCCAACAAACGAACTCCAGTGAGCGTCAGACCATGGCCACATAAGCTCAAAGTCATATTACTTAGGTTGAGCCTAATGCAAATAAAATTTGACCCGTTCTGGCGAGCTTCTATTGTTACATGAAGTCTGGCAATGCTTGCAAATGTCGGGGTTTTCGTATCGAAGACGTCGGGTTACGCGAGCTTTGTCGGGATCTATCAGCCCTAAGATAACGGGGCTGATTCCCTATTGGGGCGCTGTTCGGATGGTCTGACCGGTCGATTCCAGCGTGCATTAGCGCCTGGCACGCCGAACACTGGAGCCCGAATACCGACCAAGGATGGGTACTGGGGCACAATAGCTGCACATAAGACCCAGGCCCTTCTCTTTTCAGTAGCTTGCGCGGTTATACCTAAATAACATTCATATCGATATCGTATCAGTACCCAGATCATGATTGGATCCGGTCACCCATGAGTCATATATATCAAAAAGGTAAAAGCAGCCATGCTGTTCATGACACAAACAGACTCATGAATAAACAAGAGCGGGGTATCTTTCAATACAGCTAGGTAAAGCTCATTGTCCGAGGAAGGAATAGATTTAACTATTGCAAGCCAAGTCTAGTTGGGCATCTCTAGAACAGCCCTATATCTCATCTTATTCTGCTCGACTAGCTCAAAAACTTCTTTGATGGTTGATTCACCCTCATGCTTGAAGAGCTGAACCATAGGCTTGACACCGTGACGTCCAGAGAACTCAAGCATCTCGTCGTGGATATTGCGCGATCCAACGAGGCTCGAAAAGATGTGGTAGCCTTGGAAGAACATTGCTCCCGCACTACAAGACAATCAGTATCGGTAAGTATATGTGGATGGCTGAACGTACGGCAAGCTTAGAGGTCCGTGGACTGGGGCCGCAAGAGGGACGATGGTTCCGTCTCTAGCGAGGAACTCCTTAGTCATGACCCTGCAGAAACATTATTAGCCAAGCCTCTCTGTATGCTAAGAAAGACGTACTGGTCCCAGTCGGGATATTTTGTTCCACAAATTACAAGAACGTCAATAGGCGCAGTAGCCGTATCAAACATGTTCTCAATGAGATGAAACTCCTTGGCACCCAGCTGTCGTGCCTCTGCCTCCTTGCTAGTGCTTGTGCTGTAGACAACAACGTCGGCACCCATTTTATCCGCATACTGGATGGCAAGATGGCCAAGACCACCGATGCCGAGAATTCCGACACGCTTCTCTGCTGTCACTGTAGCCTTGAGAGCAGCGTACACAGTAGCGCCAGCGCACTGAAGAGGTGCAGCATGCTCACTAGAAAGACTGTCAGGAATCTTGTGGAGATACGTCTCCTTGCCGATGTAATAAGTACCAAAGGTACCATTGTCAAAGTCTCCTTCGCCAAAGATCACACGTTCATAACAATAGATGTCTCGTCCTGACAAACAGTATTTGCAGTGACCGCAGGCGTCGCGGTGAAAGCCCCCACCTGCCCGATCACCGATCTTGAATTGTGTCACCAGCGAGCCAACTGACTCGACAATACCAATTCCCTCATGGCCAAGAGCTACAGGAGCTCCTAATTGGCAGAGAACGATGTCTGAATGGCACACGCCACTGTGAGTCAAGCGGACGAGAATGTCATGAGGACCAAGGTCAGGCAGCTTGACGGAGGCCGGAGAGAAGCCGCCGTTGCCATCGCCGGCGCGATAAATGGTATGTTCTGTAGGGGCCATTTTGATGCTAGAAATGCAACAGATAGAATATATTACGATTGTAAAATGAAGATACAAAAGCCAGATAGTATAGCCTTGTCAGTGACGGCAACGTTGGAAGATATAGTGTAGAGTATCCTAAGTTCGTGATCAAGATAATCGTTCTGATTTATAATAGCAAAAGGCTTCATCAGACCGAGCCTTCCGTATATCAACTACGAATACTCAAAGGCTATTCTAAATGATTACTATCTTGAAACTGTTTCATTATTGTCCTGCGGCTTCTGCCAGTCGGGCATTTCTGTCATCGGCAGTTGTTACTAATCTTTTCCGGCCTTTAAGGTACGAGATGTACCAGCCAATTGTACTGCCTAAGTAGATAGCCATATTACTCACTGATGGAAAATAAACGACTTAAGAGCAGCAACGACACTCGGTAACCACATAACAGTCTGATAATTATAGTAGCGAATCAATAGATATAATAAGCAAATCTTGATTCTATTCCGCGATATTGATTCGAGAAACCTGGTGACGAAAATGTCAGACGGAATTGATTGAAGTGCGACTGAATCGGAGGGTTCTTCTAAAGATCCCGACTAGCGTCGTAAGCTGTCACGTCGGGCGGGTGCAGATGCCGGTGTCTTGATTAGGTCACAAAGATGAGGTAATGCAGGCAAGGGTATGATCAGTAAGCAGAGTGCAGAATGGAATGGGACAGTGAGGGTATCACGAGAGGTAGTAAGCAACAGGCCAACAGCACAATATTAAAATAGATAGATTGGTACCATGTAGATATGGGTATCACCATTCAATCTTCACTGTACTCAATTTCAACAAAAGTAGACTCAACCAATTACATCTTGAAAATGTCTTCGCCATTTAAGAACATTCTTATCGTCGGAGCCACTGGCTCAATCGGCTCCATCATGCTGGACGCCCTTGTCAAAGAACCTTCTTTCACAGTCTCCGTCCTACAGCGCTCATCCTCCAAGGGCAAGCTCCCATCAAACGTCAATGTCATTAAGATCGAGGATTCATACCCAACTAAAGCTCTTGTCTCTGCTTTCACAGGCCAAGACGCTATTGTCAACTGCATGACCTCTTTAGCCGTCGCTGATCAACTCCGCTTCGTGGACGCTGCAGTCGCTGCCAAAGTGAAGCGCTACGTTGCTTCCGAGTATGGTCTTAACAACAACAACCCTGACGCAAGAGCCTTGAACTCGGTGTTCCGAGAGAAGGGCCAAGTGCAGGATCATCTCCGCTCCAAGGAATCCACTGGCCTGGAGTGGATGGCCATCGCTTGCGGCATGTGGCTGAAGTGGAGTGCCGTGCATGATTTCCTGGGAATGCACATCAAGGACAAGAGATTCGTCATATGGGATGACGGAGAGGGCTGGTTCAGCTGCACCACTGAAGCCAACACGGCTCTTGCTATGGTCAACGCCCTGACTAAGAAATGGGAGGAGACCAAGAACAGAATTGTTTGGCTGAGTGATTTTGCTATTACCCAGAATATGCTCCTTGAGACCATTGAGCGCGTAAGTGGGGAGAAGTTGAGTGTAGAGAAGATTGATAGCCAGAAAGTGATTAAGGAGAGCCAGGCTGCGGCGGCGGGTGGTGATCCTTACGCTGTTTACAATCTTATCGAGACGGGTTTTGTTACGGGACGGTTCGGGGGACATCTTGAGAAGGAAGGGGAGATCATGAATGATTTGTTGGGTCTGTCGAAACAGGACTTTGAGGAGGTTGTTCGTGCCGCTTTGAAAGCTGTTGAAGAGTCATAATCTAATGTGTGTAGCGTCACATAGTAAGGATCCTAGGTTCCATGGTAGGAGTTATTTTGAGGTCATATGAGCTTGAGGAGAACCCTTCATTTCCATACAAGCCACTGATATTCAAGTCTTGCCCATTGACCTTGGAAAATGCCTGGTGAATTATAGTTTACCTCTAGCATGAAAACCCCAATAAAATCAGTAGTAGGCTCAGTATTACCGCTACGCATTGTGTCCAAATATGTTTGTAAAGGTGGCTTCACCTGACATATTGACAGAAACCGGAAGGATGGTATTGCTTATAAGATACAGACGTTGGATAATAGGGTGATGGTTGGAGACAGAGCATCAAGAGAGAAATAAAGCTTGTTATAGATGGTTACTGTATAGACTAAGTTTTCTGTGCTGATTCAGCTCTTAGCTACAAGTTTCAATTACAAATAACACATCTGGCTCACAATTAAGACGTTGTACAACAATATCTGGTCAATTGCTACAAGTTTTTGACAAAACCTGATCTCGTGAAGCTAATGAGGGTGTATGAATATGCCCGGCTCATTCCATGACAGCAATCCAACATCAAAATATTTCGAGTTCACAAAGTCGTCATCCAGCACAGGGTCAAGTTCGTCGTACATTTGCGGCATGAACGAGCTCATGTCTTCGTTCGGGCCCATGGTCTGGGTATCCATATCGACGTAGTCCAACAAAGGCGGTTCCATTCTTCCGTCAGAGAACAACGTGGACCTATTCAACCGGTCTTCAATCCAGGATAGGCCTGAGATAGAGAGGTTGTCAGGCATGGCCGGAGACATCACGTCGGTATTTGCTTGCCCCAGTTCGGCTTTCAGTCGTGCTAGGATGGCGGAGAGGAGACGAGCTTGGGCTGAAATTGCGTGGGTCTGTGGATCAGAGTGGCCCATTGACTTGGCCGCGCTGACATAAGCAGACGTGCCTTGAGCAATTGTAGTGATAGCTTCATTCTTTGAGATCGATGACTCGTCGATATCTTGCCTCAATATCTTTGGAATCATCATGGCTGAGAAAGCGATCATTAGGTGAGCTGTATCCCAGAGATAGTAGATGATATCTAACTCTCCCATTTCGATAGCCTGTCGCAGTACGCTCAATCCACTGCAGAAACATATTCGAGCTGTATGGGTGATGAGATCATGTGGCGTAGCTCTGTCTTCTGAGACGAGCATTCTATGCAGAAGTACCGCGTTGAAGTAAAGACGCATGTAATCCCTATAGAGGTAGATCAGAGGTGTTTGGAAAGGCTCTGGGTTGGGAACTAGATGCTGTTAGGTATGTTTTTCCAGACTCTTGTGTTACTTACATGTAGCGAATGTAGCCTGCCAATAGTCTCCCCATGCAGCAATCCTATTGTTAAAGTCATCTATATCCTTCTGAAACGTGCCAAAATCCAATGCTGACAGAGAAACACGAGAGTCGGCGCGGGTTCTCGCCATGCTCTCGTAAACTCTGTTGGCAATGCCTGCCAACTCATGGCTAGCAACTGCCTTTCCATCTCCGAGTAAATATGTCCATTCTGTCAGGGCCATCCACTGTCTAGACGCCACATGCTCAAGAACGATTGTTGTTGAGAGAGGCCGGTTGGTGAAGTAGCTTGATCTAGTGACTGTAAGCTGCGCCTGTCTCCATTTTGATTCAGAGGATCTCACATCCGGTCAATATTTCCCAGCATCACCCACGCCCTATCTTTGTCTCTCAGCTGCCGCACTTGCAGCTCTCCCGACTCCTCGATACCGTGCGTGTCGTAGGCGACGCTTCGATGTGACATGTTCCATTCCGCTGAAGCCGCCATTCGAAGCGCAAACCCGATCAGGGTGTAGCCTCTGGTATCGTTTCCATCTTTCCAGTGATACATACAGATGATGGTCCAGATGTTCTCAATCGCTGAGTCACATGCAAGCAAAGCTTGTCCAAGGAGAAACTCAGCATGGTCACGTATAGGTTTATGAGATTCTGGTTGGAAGATCCGTGATGATATTGTGAGAATCATGGTTAAAAGGAGACTTGACCTAGATCGTGTATACGTGAACGTATAGAGACTGGGGTCGAGCAGTCCAACGAGGCCGTTGAAGTGTTTGAAGAATCTGCTCGAATCAGTAACCGGACCCTTTTGAATCATGGTTCACGCACCCTTCATACAGATTTTGTGCAGATGGCCGACTGATGAGTCCCATATCAACAGGATCGCGCGTTCTCGGGGAATCCATTGCTTCAGGGAGATTATGCTGGAGGAACGTATCTAGGGAGCTTCCGGGTTCTCCTTCCATCGATCGGTCTGGGTTCAGAGCCGAACCTAGTGACAACCCTCGTGTATCCTGGTAATTTGCAACAAAAGACGCCGGTGTAAATGGCGACTGATCAGATCTGGAAGACGCGGACACTGACTCGGGAGCTCGATTCTGATACGAATATCTCCGGCCTGGTAGATCAGGTGCTTGAAAGGCTTGGGTATCTGAGACGCGCTGCGATCCTGAGGACCCAGAAGCTAATCCATCCTCTATGACCTCTTCTGCATGCCGTGCTCGATCTTCCCTACCAAGAAGATTAACTACATCCCTTTGTCTCATGGAGGGACTTACCTTCTCCCTGACACATCTCTCCTCCAAAGGCCCCTACGATGTGACTCAAATATACACTGTCTCCTCAATCTTTGGCAGCGATCACACACAAGAGATGCCGGCTCTGAAGTAACACACTTCATCTTTGAACGCCGACAGGGCGTACAAGCGACTCCATGGGGTCTATGTCCATTAGCTCTCCAGTCATAACCCTTTCAGTGTTCCTTACCTTTGTTGCAATTGGTCAGCCATGGCCAAAACAACTCTCGAAATATCCCATAATTCCAGAGCGAAGTTTCCTATCTTGCTTGCTGACAAGTCAATATTAACTTATAAAGGCAACCAAGCTGCTTTCGGTTTGCGGCGAAAGCTGCGGTCATTGCGGCGATTGTGCATTGCGCTAAGCCCTGCGACGCTCAGCTAAGCGGCATCCCCAGGGTGATTAGTGAACAAAAACTGCTGAAAGTTATGCAATTCCACCGTGTTTGCTCCAGCGGAACGATTTTGTGATTATTCCTCGCGACGTCATTATGTACGCCTGCCATGGTTTTTGAGATTGAGGGGATCGCGATCGTGGTGGATGTATTTGTCAGTGGTCAAGGCAGATGCGTTCGCAACACCATCGTTGCGAAGCACTCGGGGAACTTATTACATCGTGCCGGGGCCACGAAGCACTGGGTCTCGGCGGTCGTGTCATTGTGAAAGCTGCCTGGAAAGGTGAGGAAATATCGCCGCATCAGTAATCAACCACTGCGAAAGGATCGAGATGAAGGGTGCAGAATGATGGATGAAGAGAACATGGTTTTGCTGTGCAGATGCACTCTTTTTGATGCAAGACAGTCCTTCATTGATAATCATTCCGCCTTTCTCTTGACACCTTGGACAAGGGCAGTGTACCAATCACAATATTGTTAGTGCCCTCCAGCATGATTTATTGGTTGATTGGTCTTAACCGACCGGCGTTTTGAACTCAGCGCTCCACCAAGACGCCGAGATAGGTCAGTACTTATCTTATCTGCTATCTGTTACCGATTATCGGTTATCTCACTTATCTCAGCGTTCAAAAGTTTCCTAGGGATAAATCACCCAATGTACTGTTTGGACTTGTAAGACAAATATGCGGCTATAGAAATAGCTCTAACTTAGCGAGGTGGTAATGGGGATGAGGAATGTGAATTTTAGATCCAGTTGTGATTATTGAGGGAAAAGTGTCTTTTGGTAGGTAACAGCTTTGTGCGCAAAAAATTTGTCTTTCTGGTTGTGGGCGTTGATTCTGATTGTCGCCAGACGCTTTCTGCATAACCAGTCTCTTTAAGTACAACTAGTCCTCAATATGTAAGTAAGTAACTATTTAACTCTACATACAAGGTTAATGTCAGTATGACTGCAACGAAGTAATAGATATTCGCAAAACACTGGACTTACCCTACGGCTTAGCCATAGTGGTGTCCAGAATCTGTTCTAAAGATAGATATGCGCTAGTAGGATAACAGCTTAGTCTCAATCTCCCCACATTTATAATCATTTCGCAAAAAGTTGCTCCAAGGAAGGACTGGATATAGCCGGCATATTACCGTGCTTATCCTGTCTGTGGCTGCTTACCTGATGTTGGTAATCGGGGGAATGCATCATTCCATGGCGGAGATACTCATATTATTTCCCTCATGCCACCAAGATATCCAAGAAGGATCAAGAGTGGAAAGTTTTTGCGAGCAACATTGTGTCATACCTCTGCGCCATCGAAATGCCATCTCTGGGATGCGGAACTTGTCGAGGTTCGCCCTGTCCCCAGTCCCCTGTACTTGGCGCTACTGACAGAACCAATAGCGCGTAAAGTGCGTTGTGACCAAACTTATCCGAAGTGCAATCGGTGCATCAAAGCAGGACGCCACTGCAAGGGCTATGGCATGCAGTTGTCTTGGCCGCGTCGGAATGATACCCGCCGGGCGATAGTTGGCCCTAGACCACGCATCAAGAGTAAACAGTCTGAGCATCGATTGGTGAATACCACCTTTACAGATATTAGGCTGCACGATGTAGTATCTTTGTCGGATAAAACCTATGGAGTACACATGCTGGGGCTGCCTGAAGTATCCTTTGGATCTTCCGATGCAAGTTCCTCTGAGGCATCAGAGCCACTATCATTGATCAAAGGTCCGGCAGTGGGACCCATAGCTAGACTCATACCAGCCGATCAGAGATCCTTTCAGTATTGTAAGTTTTACCGTCCACTCCATACTAGCATGCCCCTTGCGAACAGCTTCCACTTACTCCAGCCAGTCATACAGACAGCTTCACACTCCATCACGTCTTTTGGACATGATGCTCCAAGGGTTCGGGAACTGTTAATCCAGATAGCCCTCTCGGATTTTTCACCTTCATCTACAGCAGTTCTCAAATCTGCTCTAGCACTTGCCTCCTTCCATCGCGGCAACTCACCACAAACGACCGCTCATTATAAAGTAGTCGCTCTGCGAAAACTAGCAGAGTCAACACAAGGCCGCATCAGCGTTACTGATTCAGCCTGCCATATAGCAGCTGGCATGATACTAAGCACGCTAGAGGTACGGGCCGTACCCTTGAAGAAGTACTGCACTAACTCCGGCATTAGATACAGCAAAACTCCATGAAGTCGAGCCATTGGCTATGGTATGCTTGTGGCGCTGCCAAGATCGTCAAGACAGCTGGGCTAGATGTGGATAACCTTGACCACGATACAGCTGCTCTTGTAGGCTGGGTGCACTATTTTAATACTTTATCTAGGTTCAGCTTACGCCACTGGCAGCCACATGTCACGCTTGATCCCGATGACGCTGCGGATTCGTTTCACCCAGTTGTATGCGGCAATGGACAGGTATGTACTGTACACTACTCAGCAGAGCTAGCTAACAGAATGTTTCTTGAAGCCCGAAAGTCTTACAGGTGCGCCGCATGAGATATTATATCTCCTGTCTGAAGCTTTCAACGCCGCAACAGTGCCTTCTGACCCGCGCTACGAAACGAAGGCCCATAGAAGCCATCTTGAAACACTAGATTGGAAGCTACGCAATCTTGAGAAGAAAGGACCGGATAACAATGCTTCTGCTGATACAGCGCATCCAGCATTCGATCTAGTTGTCGAGCTGTACCGCCTAGCTACTCTGATCTATCTCAGACGCGCATCTGCAGGAATCCTTCCACTAGATCAAAAGTTCACAACGTGGGTAGGACAGGCGTTTGAGTTACTTGAACGACTACCTGCCTGCCAATGGCCATTTCCTTTACTCATTTTTGGCTGTGAGGCAGAAAGCGATAGGCAAAGAATGATCATTCTGGATGTTATGGACAGGACGAGTGAAAATATGCAGTACCGAAATATTGCAACGGTCAAAAGAGTCATCGAGACGATCTGGGTGCAAAAGGACTTGTATACTGAGGAGATGAATTATATTAGGAAGTTGGGCGTTATTCTGAGCTCGACTCACAAGTCGGTACCAGCGTTTATATAGTGGAAGGGAAGGACAGCATAATACCAGATGCCTAGTTACGTGTATTAACTTTTGAATATAATTGGATCATTTTCATCATACATTCAATTATTATTAAAAAGTAATTACTGTCACGGTTTCTCTGCCGTCTTTAAAACACCCAGCTTTATTGATGATCCTCATAAACCTAATATGATGATAAAATTAGAAATATCCTGCAGGCCACAAAGAGCTGCATAGTCAGAGCAATCCTCAAAAGATTTATAATGAGCTCTTGGCTGCATTATCTTCTGAATACACTTGTGAAGCGGACGATAATGCGACGTCGACGAATGTGGCTTATGGTAGGTCTTTAGTGCAGGGCAACTTTTTGCGAGGGCCCCACTATAAACATCCACTAGCTCGCTGACCAAGAGGCGTATCGCGGGCAGGGTCAATCCGAATTACAAAGCACTAATACTTTCATGATCGAAAATGTGTGTTGAGAATGATATATATAAGGCCTCGAAGTTCATCATACAGCTTCAATTCCCTATCAAGCACAATATCTATCATCAAACAATACTCACTTCACCCAGCCTAAACATCAAACCATCATCACAATGCCATCTTATCTCATCACCGGAACATCCCGAGGCCTCGGTGTAAGCCCATCAGACTCATCTTTCTGACGACGACATTGATATCCCATAGTTCGAGTTCGTTCGTCAATTGTCTGCTGACTCAAAAAACACGGTCATTGGATTCGTCCGCAATAAAAAGGCGACCGAAGAGAAGATTCAGCGTGAACTATCTGGACGATCCAACATTCATACCATCCAAGGCGAGATCCAAAGCCTTGAGTCGGTAAAGGTATGTAACTACTTTGACTTTTCACAAATAATCATGCTGACCACGGGAGCAGAACTTGGTCAAAGAGGTGGCCAAGATCACAGGCGGTAGCCTTGACTATATTATTGCCAATGCCGCTCTTCAATCCGAATGGTCTGCCCATAACCCCATCGGGGTTCTGTAAGTTCATTCTAACACTTGTATCGCCAAGTCGCTTACAATCCAGTGGCGAGGAACCCGAGAGACTTGAAGAAGACATGCTCGAGTCCTTCAAGATCAATACTCTTGGAAACATCCACCTATTCAACCTAGCCCTGCCGCTTATCCGCAAAGGCCAAGCCAAGAAGATTATCGCCATCTCGTCAGGCATGGCTGACCCGGACTTCATTACCAATTTCTCAATCGCTGATGGGGCCCCTTACACCATCAGCAAGGGCGCACTCAATATTTCCGTTGCAAAGTTCGATGCCCAGTATAGGAAGGAGGGTATCCTGTTCATGGCCATCTCTCCGGGTCTTGTTGCTACCCAGGACACGTCCAATTGTATGTATATGACCCCCAAGCTCCTTTGCATCGCATGCTGATAAGAAAAAGACACCGAAGAGCAGATTCAGGGGGTTCGTGATATGGTGGCTGCTTTCAAAGGCTACGCACCCCACTGGGAGGGAGCAATTTCTCCCGAAGAGTCTGCCACTGCAGTTCTTTCTGTCATAAACGAGGCCAGCATTGAGGCTGGTAATGGAGGTTCCTTTGTGTCCCACTATGGAAACAAGCAGTGGCTTTAAGCCGGCAGCCTCTTATTATGAGGGATGAAAAAGGCTGCAGGGGATTATTTTAGCAATCTGGACTTTCGAGGGGATATGTCTGTGCTAAGTAGTGGCGCCAACAGGGGATTGTGTCCCGTCGCAACTCGCAACCTAACCCCGAAGAGTTACCTAAGCTGCATAGGATAATGCTGGGGATAACTACGAGAAAACTCTAATCGTACTTTTTACTTTGCAACCTCTGTGACCATACACATCCATGACAGATTAGAACTGATTCAAAATATCTAACGACTCAACAGCTTCGAGTCAGTGCCAAGATGGTCCAGAATTTGTTCTGTGGAATTAGCAGAGGCGAAGTGGGACTTCAAGCACTGGGACAAGTGATCAATGACGATAAAAGCTAGGGCAACCTCTTTTAATAACGAATGTGGAGTGAGACATGTTACGACTTATTAGAACCGCCTCTCAACCAAAACACAGTCTTTGTAAACCTTGTTCAGATGAGCAATCGGGCCGACAAAGAGCGATGTCTCAAAGCTTATCTCCAGCCTTGGTCTGCTGGCCAAGAGACGATCGTTGATTGCTTGTAGAAGAGCTGCTAGTACAGGAAAGGAAAGGTTTTCCGTATTTCAAGGGCGGCTGGTGCTCCCAGAGCGGATCCTGGGCCACGCCTCGGACCGCGATTGCCAATGTTTGGCTGCATACGCAGTCCAGGATGCCATGCCTAACTATAGCCCGTTAAGACTTGAGTCATAGAAGTCGAATAGCTGGGTGGGTATTCGGCAGATGTGCTCAGATCTCCAAGGATGATATGTGACAGGCGTTTCACACGTATCGAGATTGCGATCGGGCCGTGGCGGTACCTTATCTAATGGAGGTGACCAACAAACGTATTGCAATGTGAATTCAACCTATATTATCCCATCAAGAGTCGTGATTCTCGCATGTGAGTATATCCGCGACCCACGGACTCAAGAGGGCATTCCGCAGGCAGCCAAAAGGAGAATCGTCAGTGGAGCAGAGTGCAGGGGTTGCTCCCATGCCAAAGTTTAATCTCCAGCATGACAGACACAGTCTGATTCAGCTACTTGCGCTAGGGAGACCAGCTCCCTGGAACCCTAGACCGTCTCACACGTATAAAAGAGCGGCACTTGCAGATCCTAGGTCAGTGGGGTTCCGGGTGGCAAGCACTAAGTCGGTGGAGCGATGGTAATAAGCATCAGATCATATTAGTTCACTTAATGCTATGTGATGAAACATAAAGCCGAAACGTGCGGACTTAAAAAGCATTAAAACATCATACCCACGCAGTCCAGACCAGGACTCTTGACGCCGCCAGTATCTCCCACGGACCAACTAGTCCTCCAATATGCCGAGCGAAACCGAGAACCCGAAAGGTTTGTATTCCCGGCTATTCGTGCTTTTCGTGCCGATACTAAATCTTCTTAGAAAGGACAGCAAATGTGGGCATCGAGGCTAATAATGCAGCCAAGACATATATAAGTTTCTTGCAGGACGAGGTTCAGAGACTGAAAGATGAAGAAGATCGGGATAGATGGATTGTTGAGCTGATGGAACGAAATGAAGTTCTGGAGAAGGAGATACAACGATTGAAGGAGCAGATTAAGAAGTTGAGTGACGAAGAAGAACAGGAGACCGACAAGTAAGTGAATGCATTAGACGGAACTACGTGTCGGTTTCTCTTGTCGCTTCGGTAATGCCTACAGCCTTACAATGGTTGCATCCCTGCGGGCTCAGGCCATTTTGCTCACCATGACGAATTGCCATTTCGCGTTGGTCTCGACTATCTGATTCCTGACTATGCAAATACCCGTGAGTACTCTTCTACAATGAGAAAAAATTCAAAGCAAATGTTTTGAATGAATAAAGAAGTCTCCATGTCTTGATAAGGCGCTTATCAGTTAGAAGAAGTATGCTTACATAGCATAATTGACAAAGTATTGTAACTACCAAGAGAGCAAGTTCTTCGAGTCAAGAACACGATCCACTTAAGTCAATATAACAGCGCATTCTTCAATCAAAGGACCAGTGACAACACAGGGATCGGCGGAAATGGAGCCGCATAAAAATAGTGTTTATATCATACCTTTCGGTACGTAGTCTCTGACATCAAGGCACCAAGGCTCTCTTCCAGTTCACTAAGGCATAATTGATACAGTAAACAGTAATACCATTCAAGCTATATAAGGTCTATAGATAACTGTAGTCGCCGTTATCGCGGCTATGTCCACTATACAACGAGTGTTTCGAAGAAGAAATTTTATCCAATCGCCCAAAGGAGCCACCAAGTGGTAGCTCCCTCCCCACTAGCTCAACTCGTAGTGGCGACAGCGCGTATACAGTGACAAAATGAAGACATTAAATAATTAAGGAGTGTCGTGTCGCGTCATGATCCATCATAGCCTCGCCGGAGGCGCTACCCATCACTGAGACAAGTGACGAGTCAGAGGTAAGAACATGAACCTCTGAGGCTGTCCATAAAGAGATGCATATCTCTTAAGCCTTGTAGTCCTTGCCGGGCTTGTGGTAAGTAGGATAAGGCTGCTTGGTGACAGTCTTGGTGACAGTCTCGGTCTTGTACTTGGTGATGGCAGGCTTCCACTTGTACTTGGTGACGGTGTCGGTCTCGGTTTCCGTCTTTGTCTTGATGATAGGAGGCTTCCACTTTGTGATAGTGTCGGTCTTTGTCTTGGTGACATACTTGGTAACGGGCGGCTTCCACTTGGTGACGGTGTCGGTCTCGGTCTTGGTCACGTACTTTGTCACGGGGGGCTTCCACTTTGTGACATACTCGGTCTTGGTGACGGGAGGCTTCCACTTGTACTTTGTGACGGTCTCGGTCTCGTACTTGGTGACGGGGTATTTCTTAGTGACGGTCTCGGTCTTGGTGATCGGGGGCTTGTAGATGGGCTTGGTGACGGTGTGAGTGACTGTTGCGGTCACGGTCTTGGTCTTGGGGGGAGGTGGGTAGTGGTCGTTGTTGGGGTTGGGGCTGGCGAAGACCAGGGGAATTGAGATGAGAGGAGCGATGAAGGTTGAGAACTTCATGTTGGCGGCTGGAGCGAAGGTATGATGGAGATGTGGTGATGTTCTTGAAAGAGTGGTCAGGAGAGTTGAGCCAGTGGTTGAGCCTGAGTGAGTCTTGGAATGAGGAGATCACAGGGACTCTTTATACAAGTCATCTAAATACCAGTCGTTCACTTCTGCCGCCCAACCTCTCCCGATGAGTTGCTCAATTACTACATATTGCGAGATGCACATGCTCAATCGTATCATCAACCAAGTTGGCCCCACCTTCTCATCAACACCCAACCTCAATCCCGCTCGGCCGAATATTGAAAGGCGCTCTTGTTGAGTTGTTCAATATTCTCACCTCGACCTGCCAATCACAACAATCATGTTCAGCCATAAGCTCGTATCTGCCGGTCAGCTCGTGTTTATGCAGCCATGGACAAGTATTAATGCAGGTCGACAGCCTTTATTGACGCGGGACGGAAATATGGTTAAGCTCATCCGTTGTGGCGACTTTGCTATAAGTCAGCTTACCGGTTGACCGCTGGGCTTGGAGGGTTGCTTTGCATATCAGGCTATCTTATCAGACCGTCTCATTCGACGGGTGTAGAAACAAGCTCTGTACCATCTTAACAGTTTGAACTGTCGCGGGCTTGAACTTGCGTGAACTGCATACCAGATTGCGTGATCGCTAATCTTATCTACACGGGACGCTTTGACATCGTATTTATGATGGTGAAGCTTTAGTCTAAAGGCCGGTATTTTTAGCTACCAACGTTCTGGCCGTTTTGCGGGGGATTTACAGGTACCGGGCCTTAACGCGGAGGTGGTGGCTACACGACGTTGCACTCTGGGAGCCAAGAATAACAACAGCCATTTACCGGGCCAGCTGAATTCACGTCCCGTGATCCACACACTCACCAATTTCACCTCTTGGCACGTTATTTTCCGAGACACATCTGTAGGGTTTTCCGCTTTGAGAAGACTCCCAAAATCTTGTTTTGATAGCGTTACCTCGAAGGATCCAAGCTCACCTCCGTCCCAGCCTTACGTGAGTGTCAGAAACAAAGCAAAGGACCTTCACAGTCCAGACCTTGTAACACGTTGACCGGTCCTGTTGGGCTTACTGTGCATCTGCAAGCTTCAGGTCAGGCCCCGCGTTCCAAGAAAACTCCCGCCAATAGACTGTGACTGCTGACAACCTGTTATATGGGGATAGAGGGGAGTTGTCAGATTGCGCAATCGCAGGGGTGCAGTGATTGGCCAGCGAGGACAAGGTACCTGAGCCTACTGATGACCGATCAGGGCGATCAAGAAAACTCGATGACGCTAAAACGTAGTGACAACAATGTCTTGTTAGTAGTGGTTGCGGTTATGCATTGGACTATGTCAGAGATGAATCATAGAAGATGCCGGATATAACCCTCCGCTTCGAGGCAACAACGCATGAGAAGAGTAATGTCGCGAGAAATGTTACTAACCTCGTGCCGTGATGTTACCATCTGCGTGAGACATTGCTGGGCTTACTTTGGGCAGCCTTGCTGGCAATAATGGCGTCGGCTGCATCAATAGCCTTGACGTTGTGTGATAAATGTGATTGAGATACCAATTGGCTCGAAGTGGAATCCAATTGAAGCATTCATTGGCATAGCCAAGTTTGTGATCAACAGAGGCGTTTTTCGGCTGCATAAAATTGAAATGAACTGATGTGTTCACCCAGTGGCTGCCTTGGCAACCTGCAGCCTTCTTTCAAACCTGGACATTTATTTTCAGCTGTTGATAAGAACTCTTCAAAATGGCGTTTTGTCAATCTTGCGAGATAACGCTAATTCTTGCATCAATTGAACTTGCACGCAATGATTCGACGATGGGAGTGCCAACTAGCATATTCGCTGTTCACGGACAGCGATATCAATGCATAATATTGAATGTGTATCGATAAGATGATATGACGGCAATCTGTGACTAAGAGGTTGGCGGTCTTGATCCAAGCGACGTAGCATTGCATTTTCCCTATAGGGCTTTGTGCTTCACAGTGGCATGCTTCCTGCAGTGAGATGTATTACATTGGGTGTTGTGTTTGCTATTGCACTTAGCATTGCAGGATGGTGTTATAATAAGCTCTGAGATGGTTCGGGAGTGGCGGGACTAGCAGAAACGTGCACTGGTCAGAACGGTCATTTTGTAAGCGTCATTGGTGAGATTGTCAGACTGCGGTTCCCCTCATCTACCTGGACGTATAGAGGCTGCCCTGACGACAACTGATCTCTTCAAGATCTTTTCAAAGAATTTTATTTCAGAAAGACGTATTGAAATGGATTGGTAAGGCTCAGAATTGCTGTTGGAATGGTCTTCGTCCGATAGCACTCGTAGATGAATGCCATGAGCGGCAGAGAGCAGTACTGATCCTTGCAGCTTGGCGCATCAGATCACAACTCAGGTCATCCCAGCCATTGACGGTGACCAATCAAAGCTGCATTGACCTTCCGATGTCCCCGTAGACGGTCCATGCTCCTCGACTCTTGTTGTCTCCTAAAGCTTGTCTTCTCTTCTAGTCGTCGAGACTGCCACAAGAGGAAACGTCAAGAGGCTGTTCAATGGCCGTGGCGCGTGACTTGACTCTATAGGCATGCAACTTTTCACAATAGTGAGTAGCTACCCCAAAAATCGAGTCACATGATTGGTATACATTCTGACAGTAGTGTATTGTCAAGTGCGCCGACGGCGCAATATGTATTGCAAGGTATGTGAATGTTGATTACTAAGGAAATGTGAATGTCCTATCGAGCCATACTAGTCTGACATGATTTCCGACATCCGGTTCTTTGTAAGAGCTCTTTTGTGACCCATTATGAATACGATTATGAATGCGACTGGATGAATCTCTCCAATTCCTTCGAGATCCGTGACATATGCTTCTCGCTCCAATTACTTCGACCCCTCAAAACCCATTCGTGATCCAGAGACAATAGACAGTTCCGTATACGAGCTCTCAGCATCTAGAAGTTGTTAGTTTAAGAAGTCCCTTTGTCCTTTGACATTTCTTACCAAGCTTCGGGGTCTGATCGACAAACCACGGGAAGAAGTATCCAGGATGTAGAATGGTCTGCGACAAAGTCGCAATGAGAATCATGCTTCATCCATGTTGTTAGCAGTCCGTTTGGCCATGATATCAAGTGCAAGGCATTACTCACACAGACTCAAAGATGATGAAGGGGATTTGCTCTCTCATCAATTTGTTACCCCAACCGCCTCGCATCTCGGCAATGCGATACACGCAGCGGATATAAATCGCCATAAACGCAGTCGCAAGTCCTCCCAGGAATAATCGAAATCGGCGAGTCCGCCAAGCCTGGAGGGAGTTGCCCTCGAGAGGATTCGTAGCGAGAGCTCGCATTCTTCTGACGGAGAACAAAGTCGCCAGTATCGCAAAGATCGAAAGTGTCACCACTTGAAACGCAATGCCCGCCATCATGATATTGTTACCCATTTCGATCCTATCGTGGTCCGTCCTGAAATCAGAAGTCGCAGTGATACCGCCGCCAACAGCTTGCAATACCAATGATACAACATCGGCAGTGATGAAGATGATGGTGTACCACTTTGGCTCCAGCACAGACCACTTGGCTCCAAACAACGCAACGATATGTTTTAGCATGAGATATACAGCCGCGCTGTTGAATGCAGGGCCGATGATCAGACAGCAGATCTGCGCTTGGAAGGGGATCGCGTCGAATGGTCGAAAGTACATCCCCACGCGTCCAACGTACCCCAACAATTGGGCTAGGCAGCCCAAACTGAGAACAATGGCATAGGCGCGGATGCGGAAGCGAATGCCGAGGACGATGTTAGCAACGAATGCGATGCCGAAAACTACAGCTAAGAAGATGTTGCCGCCGAGATTAGGACGATAGCCATAGGTTGTGAGTTCGATAGGGCACTCTTTAGAGACGTGAGTGCAGATGAGTGGGTCTGACATCGTGAGGAGTGAAGTTGTTGACGAGAGACGAAAGAGTGAGGCAGCGCAAAATGTTGTGTTGAATTGGAATTTAGCATTTCATTGATTGAGATCTCAGCGCTTGCTTATATATCAATTCATTCCCATTTTCTACGACGCCCTTTGCGAAAATTCATCACATCTCGGTGTTTGACATGAATTATCTAAGTATAGACTTCATCTCTGATTGGTCAAAAGACCGAGCGTCGAAGAAAACAGTGATTGAAGTATGAGCTGAGGATCTAAAACGCGTCACCCAAATTAAGCATACGATAAAAGATTACGTTCCCCCTCTAGCTCTGATACTCTTCATCATCAATCTCATTGGCCAATGGCTCAGGCACCGAATCCTTCACTCGGTCTTTGTCTGAGCCTCCTTCAGCGCCGTAAGACGGGCTAATTCTAATTGGACACTGACCATTATCACCCCAGTTATCGCTCGGTCTTTGACTTTGCGCTAGCATCGTTTTGGAGATCATGACTCCCTGTCAACCTCGTGGGGAATGGGGCTGATTTGCTGATCCGTTTTTTATAACCCTTCGGTCTTTGCATTTTCTTGTCTTCTCGGTCTTCAACGAGCCAAGATGGTAGAGGCGGCTAAACCCAAGAGAACGAGGACCAATGTTAAACAGTCCAAGTTTGGCTGTTTCACCTGCAAGTATGACACGTGTTTTCTTGTTGCTGATGCACTGCTGACTCGTTCAGGGCTCGACGAATCAAGTGCGATGAAAGCAAACCGGCTTGTCAGCGCTGCTTGATCTCGAAGCGAGAATGCCAAGGGTATCCCCGAGGTGCACATCCAGACTCGGAAAGCACTACATCGACTACTTTATCACTCGTGTCCGCCTCTTCTTCGCCCTCAGACTCCTCATCACCATCGCCTACAGCAGTCATCTCAACGTTGAGATCGCTCGCTTTCAACCCATACTCCCTATCGAGTCCCTTTGTCGATCTCGGCTGTACGGTTCTGGTCCAAAGTCCCCGTCGTGCAAGAAACAACGTCGAGCAAACATTCTGGTCCCGCACCGTCCCCCAACTAGCCCAATCCATCCCATCCGTGCGTGCCGCCATCGAAGCGTTCGGCACATCCTACAGCGAATATGTCCTCAGAGGCACATCCTCACGACCTGGTTTCGAAACGACGAAGCGCTACTCACAGGCTTTGAGAATGGTGCAGCAAGACCTTGTCACCCTGCCGAACGGTCCCATTCCATGTGTCGTTGCGTGTTTGTTTCTCGGTTTTGTTGAAGCCTTGCAGCAGAGACTTAACAAGGCACTTGTGCATCTTCAGGGCACCTTCTCCCTCATGATGTCACTGACTGACAAACAACTTCTTACAGAGGTTGACACTGATAGTCTTGTGTTGCTCTTGAAGAAGCTTGATCTCCATGTCGCTACATATGCCGTATCACATCCCCCGAACCTTCCCATGAAGCCATTCGTTATGGGTGAGATATTGCAATCCTATCCGCCAGATGGCTCTCTATTCAAGATTCTACACTCGACCTACCATTTCACCGCCAAAGCCTTCCGATACAAGTACACCAGTCGCCGCACTATTCCACCAGAACTTCTTATAGAACAGGGGCGACAGCTTGCCAACTTGAAGCAATGGCTGTCACTCAACGAGGTTTCATCCACTTCCGATACCGAACAACACGAATCGCTGATTGTTCTCCGCTCCCAATGCCTCGCCGCGCTGATTAACGCAGCTACTATTCTCGAGCCACGTGAAACAGCCTACGACTGCTACGGCCCGGAGTTCGAAGAAATCATCACGTCAATTGGAGCCCTGTTATTGAGCAAAGGTCTCCGAGGTGCGCCAAGACGCGAGACCTCGGGCTGGCTACCGTCATTCGTGCCTGAAATGGGCATAATCCACCCATTGTATTTCACAGCAAAGAAATACAGAAGCCCGTTCTGGCGTCGCAAAGCCTTGACCCTCATACTGAAAAGCGGAAAGGAGGGCCCATGGTGCGCTGAGACGGAAGGGTCCTTGATAGCAGCCATCATCAACGCGGAAGAAGGGGCTTTCGATAAAGAGTCGCTCCATTTGGGACACACATTGGATCAAAGTCCCGCTTGTATACCAGAAGAGAAGAGATTCAGTCACGTCTGGGCGAGTGATCCCGAAGGCGAAAATGGGGAATGCACGCATTATACGAGAAAGAGATATACGAGGACCATGATGTACAGATGTCGGGATGTAGAAGCATATATGCGAGATAGAAAAGGACAGATCCCGAGAGGCATTCCCTGGGTGGACCCTGAGCTCTGTGAGATTGATACTGAGTGGTGGACTGAACTGGAGGAACCTTTAGAGATAATATTTTCAGTTAGAGAAGGGTCAACATGATCGCGAGGGAATATTTGATGATTTTAGTGATTCTCGTGGGAGTATAAGTGAGCTGAGTGAAATAACAAAGATTGAAGATTGGGGTCTACTATAGACACTGCAAGATGACAGATAACTACATGGCTATAACCTTACCCCAACCCTTTTCCGAGCCCAATCCAAAACCAAGAAATCAATCTTTGCGGTCATTTACTCCTTGAGACAAGTCTCCTCCTTCTCATTCAAAGTAGTAATAACCGCAGCCTCACAAAGCGCAAAACCAGCAGCCTCAAGGAACGTCGCAACACCAGCCGTCAGAACATCAACAGCGACAGCAGCCGTACCGCAGGCAAGAACCTCAGCTACGGCTATAGTGACAGCGTTGACACGACAGCGGTTACAGGCCTCGCTGCAGTTCCCCTCGTCGAGAAGAAGTCGTCCACGGCCTTGTCCGCCTTCAATGGCTTTGGCGGAGTCTTCGCGGGCTTGTTGGAGAGCGGCCTCATTGGCGGCGTTTTGGCGCTTGGTGGGGAGGGTGCCGGCCCAGGCGGAGGTGGTGAGGATGGTGGTGAGGATGATTGAGGCCTTCATGATGAATGCTGGTGGGAGGTTAGTTATGTGTAGGTGTATTATATTTTGGAGCAATACTTGTTTAAAAGGTTTTTAAGACCAGCTTGTTTTGAAGAATATAGGATGTATAATAGGAAAAAGAATCGTTGATATTGAGAAAGATGTTGAGTTAATGATGGCGATAGGATTGCTCTATATACAGAAACCAGTTGCGTGAACCATTGACAGACAGCCATTGAACAAGCATATCAAGAACTATATCTCTGGCGCCTAATTGTCAGAGAAATGACTACTCCCAAAGCATGCAGGAGTCAAATTGGCGAGTCATGAGATATTCCATTATCACGTCTCCGATCAGATCTTGAACCACCGGATTCTCCTTCACCCGTATCAACATTCCAAAAATGGTGTGCTTTCAGATTAAAGTTTACTACAAAATCTCACTATCAAGAGTCTCTAACATATCTGTAGAATATATCGCGCGAATGAAGTAATGGAATCGTGTATGAACTTTTGACAGCGGTTTTATTAACCTAATTCAGCTAACGCAGGTTAAGCTTAGAATTATGCATCGATGTGAAACCAACGGCACTGCGGTCTCATATAAACTTTAAATATTGGATTGGGAAATCTGGTTTAGTCATAATACTGCTGTTTCTTTATATATGCCAAGAATGGTTTCGGGGATCTTGGCAAGTTACCCCCCAAGTTCGCGATGCGTCAAAAGACATCTGCAAAGTCCATTCGCCAACGGCATTTATCTCTTGAGATCTGAGTATCCAGTAACTATCAGTTTAGGATCATTAGACTGCTAAGTTCGTAAAGAAGCAGGGAACTGGATTGACAAGGAATGAGTTCTAGGAGTCATGGGAAGAAAGCGATATAGTCATGAAACCTCCAGTAGACTAAACATGCTTTGAATATTCCTGCATATACTCACATTACTCACCTTCTCTTCAATCGCGAAGCCCTGGATCTACCTATATTGGCTTCAAGTTTGGTTAGTAAGCCTTGAAGGTAAATAGAGTTTTTCTAAGGTAAACGTGACACGGTCTCGGATTTAATACCTTCCGAACCTATAGCATAACAGCTGTTTTAGAACAATTTAGTCTCATTATCCCGAATTAGATTCTTTTTTAGGAATATAACGATATCACAAGACAACCTTTACTTGGAACCACGCGATGATAGTATTCAGATACCTCAACTCGAAATCGCGACGACATGGAATAACAGAGAAAATAAATTTTAAATGACTCGCCCGGCTGGTTTCAGACATGCAAAGAGTCTCTCGTTGAGGCAAAACCCTATTAACTATAGTCCTAGACTACTAGGTAATGAAAATTGTTGGTCAGCTTCTCGCCTTGAGTTAACTATAAGACTGGCCTGATTCTTCTACTACAATACCTCAACATCATTATCCAGCAACTCTCCATCTATATCCTCACCAGGTCAATTACTTATCCTTCAGGTTTAAAGAACCACAAATCAAGGTCAATACCTAATGCACTAAACTCATTTACTTAAGTCTAACATAGTAAAAGTCTATTTCACAAAAGTTAAGCGGGTCCTAGCAATATCATCACAATGAAGTTCTTCACCATCGCCCTTCTCTCCTCTGTTAGGTACGCATTCCCCATTCCTAATTGCACTACTCTCAATTACTGACATTCCAAATACAGCACTGTCATGGCTATCGACTGCTTCTGCGTTACCACTGATGACGATGTTGCCGCTGGCCGGCAGCCCCAGCGCAAGTTCAATCTCAGTGGTCGTTGCGAGGAACTCGGAGGAAAACCTAATCTCGAGTCGCGCACTTGTGAACTACTCCTGGATGCAGCGGCTTTTAAGGAAGTGGACTGTAGCATTGATTCTGGTGACAGAGTCCTTGTTCCCATTTGCTTTGCTTCCGTTCTCTAAATCTTGGACGTACTTGGAAATAAGGGATGCAATAGGAAGCTTCTGATAACTAGAGAATAACTATATGAATACACAACCTCATGACCTGAGTTACTGAGACTACTTAATACCTTGTGAAAGTCTACTTCTGCCAAAACAACAATCCATTTCCCTTCTTGGGAACCCTGATTACCCAATATGCTACTAACGCTGCAACGATATCAAACAGGATGAAAGCCCATAGCAGACCAAAGTTTCTCCATCTCTCACTGTAACGAATACTTAGAGTTCCAAGGTATATATCAGTTGACGCAATCGGACAGTAAAGGCAAGTCTGGTTTGATCCCGGGTTCGATAGCGCACCGCCTACCGCCTGGACGAGCTGTCCGACATACTCACCACAAGTGAGGTTCGCTGGAGTCTGGAACTGTAGAAACTCGATTTCTGAGCAGGTGACTTCTTGCTTACCGACACCATTCGAGATCATGGCACCAATCAGGTATGTCAAGGGGGAGACACGGTACATGAAGGTCCAGAATCCAGGGAGGCCAGAATACGGGACGAGAACACTATGCAAATGTTAGAAGATGTCAGAACAGATAAGAAGATATTAGAAGACAAAAATATCATGGAAATAGGTGACATACCCGCAGAACACAAGGGACATCATGAACAGGAACAAACCAAGCGTCGCTCCAACCTCAGCAGTTGGTGCCCCAGCGACAGACATATGCGAGAAAGTCCCCTCATACACCATAAAAGCCCACGTCAACACAAACATGAACGCCCCTCGCTCATGCTGCGTATCCGTAATGCGGCCATTGTCATACATACCAACGAGAAAGTAGAACGGGAGGTAGACTGCCAAAGATGCCACAGAGTTCCAAGCCATTTCGATGACTGTGTTGGCGAGGATAAGGTTATACCAAGCATAAGTTTTGGACGACCTTTCACGGCCTTCGTACAGCGTGCGTTGGGTGACGAAGCCGGGCATGGTTTGGTAGGTTAGGAATGCGAAGATTACGAGAAGCATGAAGATCGAGAACAGTTGGTTCTGGAGACCTTGAAGAGACAGCGGGGAGTTCTGGAAAGAGAGGCCGATGAAGAGACTCTGAGATATGTCAGTAAATGCTTGTGAATGGTGGGTAGCTGACTTGCCGTGATGAAGCAAAGAGATAGTTTCGAGTAGATGTAGGTCGGCGTCCGCCAGTATTGCTGGGCAACACGCTGAGTGCAAGCCAAGAACTGCCGTGAGACAGATGCAGCGTAAGAGGTATCCTCTGTGTCTGCTTCGCTAGAAACATGTGTCGAATGAGTCAGGTTGTCAAGGTCCTTCTGCACACCGTGGAACTCAGAACTCGACTTCCACGTCTCGGCCCAGTCTCGATCCGTATGAGCACCCGGTGCAGCACCTATAACGTGCAGCATCCACTCAGCAGGATTCTCCTCTGATCGGCAAGGTACAGCACCACGCTTCTCAAAGTATCCTGTCAGACCAGCGGCATTGTCACCAATGTCGCCAAAGTACACAGTCCTGCCACCTTTTGCCAGTAGTAAGAGTCGGTCAAATTGCTGAAAGATGATGCCGGACGGTTGGTGAATGGTGCACAGGATAGCTAGTCCATGGTCCGCTAGCTTCTTGAGAAGGGATACGATTGCCCATGCTGTTTGACTGTCGAGGCCAGAGGTAGGTTCGTCAAGGAAGATGAGGGCTTCGGGTTTGGCGACTAGTTCGACACCAATGGAAAGTCTCTTCCTTTGCTCTACGTTGAGACCTGATTTGTTAGTCGTCTGCAACAGCTAGGGTTGGCAGAGTGACATACCTTTACCCGGCACACCTATGACAGCATCTGCATAAGGACCCATCTCCAATAAGTTGATCACCTTTTCAACATAGTCAATCTTGTCGTGCATTGAAATAGCAGTCGGCCGTCTGAGAACTGCACTGAAACGGAGGGCCTCCCGAACGGTAGATGTCTCGAGGTGAATGTCCTGCTGCTGGACGTATCCCGTGGTCCTCTGGAATGACTTGCCGCGCGGTAGTCCATTCACAAGGATATCTCCCGTGATGACTCCCATGGTGACCCGATCAGCTAACACATCGAGGAGCGTGGTCTTGCCGGCTCCGGTGGCACCCTATGAATGTTAGCCCGTGTCTATGCTCAGTGCAAACCACCCAAATAAAAACATAAGACTGTGAAAGAGGATGCTAAGGTAAACTCAGTAAAGAGTCACCTAAGCTTAGGCTAGGTTGCCTAACTCTCTTCATCACTTAGGATCAAGGCCCTAAGTTTTCTTGCCTCCCCTGCCACTTACCATTAAAGCAGTCAGCTTTCCTGGCTGGACCCAACCATTAACGTCCGAGAGAATCCGGCGCGTCTCTCCTTTGACCTTTACATCATAGCAGACATTCCTCCAGCAAAAGGTAGAAGAACTTGATGGTTTTTCAGTCGGTGGGTGGACCGTGTCGTCGCTCGTCGCTCTTGGAGGCTGGAAATCTGAACTGACAGCTTCTTCATCTGATGCCTCTTTGCGTTGAGGCTTCTGACCCTTGCGGAATACCAGGATCTCACCTTTCGAAGCTTCTGATGAGAAGTACTCCGCCGCAAGGAGATAGGTGAAGGTAAAGAAGATGATGAAAGCGATTAGGATTCCGTAGTTCCTAACCTGGTTAGCGGTGTCTAAAGAACAAATGTCATAACGTACCTCCAAAGATGCGAGTACTGGTATTTGTAAACAGTCCCAATAAAGAAGTCACCGTCGATATAATCACGACCTGGCAGGGCACCCGCAACGGAGCAAGTCTGTTGCATCGAGTCGATGTTTTCGTACCCCGGACCAGAAGGTATCATTGTCTGGCATCCAAAAGACCTACCCGAGAACTCATTCGCTACCAGAGATTCGTAAGCGTAAGCGATTGGGTTGACGTAGTTAATCCATCTAAGCCAACCCTTCATACTGCGAATCGGGAGGACGAATCCAGCGTAGATGACCAAGCCGATGATAAAGATGGCAGCGGGGACGAGGGCTTGATGGACTGTCTTGGACGACTGGGCGATGGTGCGAAGGATCATTGACATTGTCATGGTAGTGGTGAAGCCAAAGAGGAGAAAAATGAAGAAGGCTGAGGCATCGCGACGGAGGTGCACCATGAAGTAGAGCGGGATGTTAAAAGCGAGTGTCGAGATGATCTTGGATGGTAAGTCGCAGATGATGGAAGAGACAGACTCGGAAAGAGGGCGGTATAAAGCGTATCTTGCGTGTTTCTCGACAATCGGCCGTTGAACATAGAGAGCCAGGATCTAAACAATTGTCAGTAGGAACAAGAAAGTTGAAGTAGCTAACATACTTCCAGAGCACTGCTAAGGCCATTGAACAAGATAGCGAAGAAGATCACCGATGCTCGTTGGTTCATAACCTCAGCCGTGCTAGGTAGGTTGAAGTAAACACTGCCAAGAACAAGTGACATGACAAAATTGACTGCAATAGTAACAACGAAGAAGGTCTTATCACCGAGAAGTCTCTTGACACCTCGACCAATACACAACTGGATCTGCATCGGAATCGAGATGGTAAAAGGGCTTTTGTCAGATCTGTAAAAGAAGTCAATATCTAAGCACCTCAGTGATAGAAGGTTACGTACGTAAATTTAGCCTTCTGAGTCCTTCTGATACCCTTCAGCATCTCAACTTGTTTACCGTCAAGAGGATACTGGATCTCAAATGCAGCGACATCACCGAGAAGCGAAGCCCTGCGCTGACTCATTCTCCACTCATCGGCGAACTCATCGGGACTGCGAGGAACTTTATTCTCAAAGCCAGGTCTCACGATCCGTTCATCGGGGTTTGTAAGGGAGGTTAAGAAGTCGGCGGTTGTTTGGCGTGGAGGGCATTCGAAGCCCATCGTGGTAAAGTATCTTGTTGCTTCGCTCCCTGGGCCGAAGAAGATCTGGCGGCCTTCGTAGAGGAGTAGAACCTTATCGAATTCCTGGGTAGACCATTAGTAGTGAGGAGGGCAGGGAATTGGGGGGACACTTGCATCATACGCTGCCTGGCTAGCCTGATACATCGCAACAACCGCACTCGCACCACCAAGCTTCGTTCCAAGCCTCAATTTCCTCACAAACTCCAACGCTGTCGCACTATCCAACCCCCTCGTGCTATTATCCCAGCATTGAATAGCGCTCTGGTTCAGAATCGCCTCTGCAATACTAACCCTCTTTCTCTCACCGCCACTAACACCTCTAACAAAGTCATCTCCTACTTTGGTATTAAGCGTGTTGGAGATACCAAACATGGCCATCACAGCATCTCTCATGTGTTCAGCGTAGACGTGACGGGATATGTTGGCGACGATATGTTGGGGCGTGCGGGCGAGGGCGGCGAAGAGGAGGGTATCGCCGACGGTTAATTGCGGGAAGTGAATGTCTGTTTCGGCTTGATAGATTACTTCTCCTCTGAAGTTGCGGTGCATTAGATCCCAGGGGATACCTAGAAGGTTAGACAATGCGTGACAGGATGGATGGGGAGGGTACCTTGGTAGTTGAACTCGGATGAGTCATCGAGATGTAATCCGTGAGTATGTCCAGCGATTGTCTTGAGAAGCGTAGAGACACCACTGTACTTTTATGTCAGAATCACAATAGTGGCTAAAATCGTTGATGACATACCTGCCCGGACGACCCAACACAAGAAGCAACTCTCCACTCTTAACAAGCCCATCAAAATCAGAGATAATCTTGACCTTCTGCTTCCTCTTCGCAAACCAATCAAGCGCAGCAAGGGGACTTCTCCAAATAACATTGAAGACATCTTTCTGAAACTCAGTCGGATCTCTGAATCCATGCACACTAAGATTGCGCCAGGATACACCAGCTGTATACCGCGGATGCTTACTCGGGTCTTTGGAAAAGGCGTGAAGCAAGGCCTTGACCCATGATTCTGGTTGGAAGTCTGGGGATTTGGGGTCAAGGCGGGAGTCTTGGGCGAGGAACGGGTTGATGTTGGTTGAGAGGGCTGAGAATGTACGGGTTAGAGAGAATGTGCGGGCGAGTTGGAGGACGGGCTCGGTGGTTTCTTCGACGGTTGTGTCGGCCTCTGTGTCTTGGGGGGTTGAGGGGGGCGTGCGCTCATGCATTTTGACGGAGCAGCAAGTAAGAAATAGATTGAACGAGTGAATTGTACTCTTCCGTGTAGGTAGTTGGTAAGAAATGAAGACGTTGTGCTGCTTCATATAAGAAGTCTATGAAACTGGCTGTATACGTCGTCATCATGAGCCCACATTCTTGTAATTTCCGAAATATTATTCCATGTACTCCATGCCATAGTCAATGCGTTATATGGGTAGCGATATCCCAACGCCGTTCAAGATATCTCTAACCCTGATATCCATCAAGTCTTCACATGCAACGCCGTTGAGATCCCGGCACTAACCCTGACTAGGCATCGTCTACCCCATTTCTTTCTCTCCCTAAACCCAACACGGAATGTCGGCGCCGAAACATCAACCTCATCTTGTCCCTTAAACTTCTTCAACGCCGTCTCTCTTCTCCGTTATTACTTCTTACTTTTTCTGCATCGCTATCGGAGTCTTCCAAAATGCCGCCCACTCCACCTCTTTCCGAACGTCGACTCCGGAGTACCCTAACGTCCAAAGCTTGTGATTCTTGCAAGGCTAGAAAGATCCGCTGCTCCGGTTAGTCAGTGGCCTGGGCTTGTAGGGTTTGAGGCTGATTGTGCAGGTTACCCTCCGCCGTGCCAGAGTTGTACCGTGAGTGGATATCAGCAGCTGCAAAGTGGTACTGAGATTGACGTGCATAGATCCGAGGCGCGACTTGTCGATTCGGGACGCGCAAAATACCACTTCGGAAGAACGGTCCGTCTATTCTATCCTAAGTTTTTCTCATGTCTAACACCTGTAGTTAATCGAAATCTATTACTGAATACCAGCGAACCGTCGCCCAACATTAAACTCAATGACGGTAGCCCTGCTGGGCAGAATCTTGTGGTATATCTCAGCGGATTCTTTCGTTCCTCATGAGCTGACCCATCTAGCATGACGCAGATCTGAAGCGAGACGCCGCCTTTCATCCTCTACACAATGACCTCTTCATAGACCGGATCTTGTTTGGGTCATCATCAACAGATGTTCCAAATGCTGATGAACGATTTTCTCTAAAGGTGAGCATGTTATATTTATGGAATCAATGCTCAAGACTAACGTGGCAACAGGGAATCGGCCTGTTGAGTACGTCCTCGATCCCTCCGGATTGCCTGTAGCATTGGCTCATTCTTCGCAGGCGGCACCCATAGTGTTACGTTCTTCTCAGACAGTAGACTCGAGACACTCTCGGCCAAGCTTCAGAATAACAAGGTCAATGACCTTATACGGCGAATGTCCTCAGTCATCAACAGCAGGGCTAAGATAACGACCAGTACCTCGCCTGAGCATCTTCCTGAGCTAGCCATTCCATCGATGAATTATTTATCCGCTGCAAAATACATCGCTAGTCGGTCATCTACATTGAAGCAGGGAGAACCAAGTTGAGCTAATTCACCGTAGTATACTATGAACAGGTCCATCCTCTCTTTCCTCACCTAGATCGCGACACATTCGACTCCAACGTCGCAGACCCTAATCTCAGCACAATCCTCACTAACGATACTGCCTTCTCTGCTCTTTATCACTCCGTCCTCGCTGTCGGTAGTCTACACGACGGTGGTGGTAGCTTTGAACCTGGAAAGGGAAAGGCATGGGAATTACTCTCCATCTCATTAGCTAAGGTGCCCGATCTCCCAAAGGCCAAAAGCTCACTGGTCGCTCTTCAAGCGATAACAACAATTGCGGTTTATTGTCTCGGTGTACCTTGTATATCCATCGAGCATAGGATCATGACGGAGATGGCTCGTATGGCTCAAGATCTAGCACCGTCTCTTGGCAAAGGCCCCAGTGCAAAGTCGTTCTATAGGGTATTTTGGGTCGTTTACGTGATAGAGAAGATCATGAGCTTCCACTTTGGCCGCCCTTCGGTAGGTTATCCCATGATGCTTCTGGTCCTCTGGCTCACTTTTACAGGCTATAATCGACGCTAATATCATCGCGCCTACGCCTTACATACCTGAATCCCACTTAGGAACCCTGAACTGGACACACATACTCGCTCAACAGAGCCGTCTTTTGTCACGAGCGATGAATACTCTGTTTTGTCCTGGTGTTTGCCATAGGGGATCACAATACTTCTTGATGACGATTGATCAACTCCTCGAAGACCTTGAACAGTGGAGAGCTTCTATCGCTGAGGAATTTCGCCCAGGATATCCGGCACAGTTCAATTTCCTTCGAAGACCGGTACACGGTATAGTTAGGATCTGGATCAACTATCTCTACTGCAGCCTCAAACTCATCTTGCTGAGGAGCAGGCTACAGATCGACAGCTCTCAGGGCAGTGGAGTGGGAACGACAAGTCATAGTGAACAGCTCATAGAGGTTTCTCGTTCGGTACTCGAGATTATTACATATGTTGACGTCGAGCCCTCAACACCAATGTGGTCAGTTACACTAATGACCTGAGCCACACTGTATACTAAACAATCTGCAGGATTATCGCAGCCGTTCCACTCTGCGCCCTCTTTGTTCTTTTTGACCACGTTATCAGCAATCCCAAGTCTCCAGACACGAGAAGTAACCTCGCTCTACTCAACATAGCCGGGGGACATTTCAGTCGTATTGAGTTCGCGAGCGGAGGAACGTTGCCTGGCTCGCTTATCAGTGAATTTACATATATCGCACGCGAATACATCAATCAGTGTGACAACCAGAATTCACTGAAGGGGGCTCAAATCATGATGCCCTCTGCAAACCATGATATCTCAGGGGACGAAACTTGTACTTCTGGAGTGAATCAGAGTCTCGAACAGGAGGTAAGTCAATATCTCAGCACCTTCCTCCTGATCTAACGATTGCAGTTTGACATGGCTCAAGCGACAGTACTGAACTCTACGTCACTGATGGATCCTATCTATGCACCGATAGAAAGTCTCTGGGACGGTGGAAATGATCCATTGTATGGTATAGATGTGATGAACCTTTTTAATAGTATTATGTAAGAGTAATATGCGAAGGTAGAGCTGGATTATCGAGGGATCAAATGATTAGAGATTAGATAACAGACGAACCCAGGCTAGCACCGGGGAACTTATCCTTGATTCCATCCTCAAAGCTCTGTCCACCAACAGTCAAGTCCTTGAAGGCGGGGCAAGCGAGGTTCAGGAGGGCGGAGCCAAGAGCGTCAGTGATGAGTTCAAGTGGAGTCGCGATGATAGAGAACAAAGTCGAGAGAGAGTTTGGTGCAACGGTCTTGACGATCTCAAAGACAAAGCAGAGCAGGTTGTTACCCTCGAGAAGCTTGGTGAGATTGAGAACTCCGCCCGTGACGTTGCTTACGTCCACTCCAGCGTAGCTGTTGACTTCTCCCATGTTTCCTCCGATGCTGCATTCGTTAGCTTATACCTTTTTGCTTGTAAGGGTTAACTAACCTTCCGAGCTCAGGGTACTTGGTGATCAGATTCAGAACGTCCAAGTTGAGACTGATAAGACCATAGTCAACTGATCTACGGTACCAGTTCTCAGGGATTCTCTCCCAGCCACGCTTATACACAAGCTTTCCATCTTTCTCTTGCACAGCAAAGAAACTCTTGAGTGTTCCAAGGTCTATCTGTCATCAGCAAATTGACTGCAAGTTCCGAAATGCTTTACTTACCCATGATGTCCTCAGTGCTTCCAACAGTATGGTTTGAAAGCAACCGACAAGCAAAGAAGTATCCCGCATTTCGCGCAATCATCCCCGTAAAAGGCCCATAGTAAAAGTTGGGATTGGTAGCAACCGTCTCGTGGAATCGAAGCTTGGCTCGTTTTGCAAAAGCGTCAAAGTCATAAGTACCCTCTTCAGAAGCCATGTCGTAGAGCGACTGAAACAGCTTCATGTCCATGGTAGATGCATCTCCGGTGACGTAAAGGTCATCTCTCGTGTTGGACGAATCACCTTCGATGATGTTGTGCGAACCATTCAGACCCCGTGGTGTTCCCAGCAGCCCGAAGAGGTTACCCAAAATATTCTGCGAACCACTGGCGGTGTTGCCGATGGAGAAGCCCGGGTTGAGAGAAAGAGGGTTTCCGACAAAGACTGTACCCATTGTCGCCAAGATTGTAGCCAGGTCTACACCCATTCCATACACCTGATTGATAGCACCGGCTACCTCGACGAGGCTTGTAACGCCCTTACGGCTGATATATCCATGGTTCGCCAGCGCATTGAGACCAGGACAGGGCCCTCGTTGGTCACCCTTCTCAAAGTTCGGCGGGATAAATTCGTGCTCGCCAGTCACCTTGATAGGCTTGCTCGCGAGACCAAGCGAAAGCCTCTTATCATGACTTCGAACCGCATCGTTCACCTTCCCCGAGAGTCTTGCAGAAACGACCTTTCCGACAGGACCTTCGAGGTATGATGGGAAGCCATACACACCAACGCAGAGCAAAAGTGAAAGAAAGTAATGCCACTGCATGACGAGTAGCTAGCTAGTAAATGAGCGTAACAAAAAAACGAGTGTGAAGAAAGTAAAAAGAAATGCCGAGAGGATTAGAAAAACATACGATGTGTTTGGCTAGCTAGCCTCTTCCCTATCTACCCTCATTGCGCAATCATATTCCGTCCCGGTCGATATTAAGATCTGCCTACCCCCTCTCCTGACAGGCCGCAGCCGCAAACCACGGAACCGGGACAAGCATGCCGGTAGGTGGAAAAGCCAGCCAGATTCGGTAATTGCTTGGAACACATCACTTAGGTCGAATTGGGGAAGCAATACCCGTTGGAGAAAGACTTTGCCTAAAGGGCGTTGGGCGTTTCACGTTTTCTAGTTTGAGTTCCCCGATGTGACGCTGCTTTATGAATGGGGATAAGTTTTTGTGAAGTGCCGACTTTGGTCTGGAAGCTAAAATAACGCATGACATTTGTGTCTCAGATGGATAATGCAAGTTGCTCGAGCGATTAAGTCTGTGCAGAGTATAGCACGAGTCAGCGCAGACTATGGGATGGATATCGTGATATGTACAGTATGCAGGTCAATTTTGACAGAATGACC